TTGCAACTTGTTCGACGCTCAGCGGCCAACAAGTCGTGTCCATCAACTTATCGGCTCTATTAAGAAGGTGTTAATAAGAATTATATCATCTAATAATTTGCCACTATTTTATATTACCACAACATTTTGTTTTATCATTATAGTTTCTTTCACCAATAGTATCTTCAAAATGTATCAATTAAACTTAACAAGTTAAATTTCATAATTAAGAATTAAAGGTTTCCTTACCTAACTTACTTTATGTAACATTTTATTATGTTAACTACCATTTTTTACTATTTTCCTTTTCAATACTTACAATAACTTTGGTTTCCTGCATTGTCCTATATTGCCGAGCACCTCTTCTCAGAAATAATGGCACTTATTCCGCTGAACGCTTCCGCCATTACGGCCATAACGCTCTGAAGCATTTGGCCAACAATTAGTGAGCGTTTGCAAATTGCTCAACACTGGCCCAACATCTTGAGGTGCCAAGAAGTTTGAGTTTTACAAAAAGCCAGCCAAGCTGAAGCAACCATCATCTGCAGAGAGAGAAAATTGAGTAATATTTCTAATTTGATGTATAAAAATCAAAAATTCTGCAAACAACATTCCAGTTTCTTCCGTTCTCTTAGTCAATCTTGATTTTCTTTTAATATTTTAATCAAATACTTTATGCATTTAGAACCCTTTTGTCTGCGTGTAGCAGCAACTCCACTCGAAATGCATTGCATGAGCAGCTCTTCCCGTTAATGAGCAGATGAGATGAGAGTTGGCCAAGAAGCGGCTTCGAGATTGCAGATTATTAAAAATCAGCAAACGAAATTCAGCAGCAAAAACCGAAGGGAAACCTGCAAAAAAGTGATACATTTCCATTTTTCAGCTGCGTTTTTCGCTCAAATCGTTTGCAGAGCAGACACTCACACATCCGAAAAGCCAGCATACGTTGCAATAATTAAAACTTGGTTAAAATATAATGCCCAAGGGGGAGGGGTGGCCTGGTGGTACAATGCATCATCGTGTTGATGTTGCGATGCGAAACGACCGCACCTAATTGGTTTTGCATGAGTTAGTTGCTGCTGTTTATATAGCGGTGGGTGCATGGAAGACTGGGCGGAGAGGGCGTGCCGCGAGATGCCAACACATTTGTGGCAAAAATCGAAAAAAAAAAGAGAAACACATGGTATCAAATCGAGCAGTGTAATGCCACTTTGACCGTTGTCAATTTGTCCAGAATCGGGATTAGATGAAAATTACCTAACACGGCTTACACTTAAAGAAGATTTGTTTTAAAATAAGTTGATAATATCTTTAAGGTATGTAAGTAATAGCATTAATGATTCTAATTCATATTTTGTAAGGTGTTATACTCGAAAAGAAGAAGTGTTCTTATAGAAAATATCTTTTAAGATTCCGAAATAGCAATAAACTTGGATTAATAGTTTTTGTCAGTTGGTGTGAGTTGTTAACAGATCTAAAAATGAACTATACATTTTATATTTTTTGTATTTTGACATTTTGACAACACATCTCTCCAAACAAATCGATTGCAATCGGAATAAGCTGAATGGCAAACAAAGAGCTAAATGACGCCTTTCGATTGTTGCACAAATGCTTGTTTTCAAACCAACATGCCACATCATGTTTGGCCACCTTTGGCTCCCTTTCCCCGCTAATGTTATGACATAATTAAAGCCCGACACATGTTTGCTTGCTTTTCCGCGCTGTGGTCAGCTGTCTACCTGTCTGCTCGTCCAGTTGTCCACCCCTCGCTGACATGTCACGACACCTCGTGGGGTTCTGGATGATGAAGATGAAAGGGTTGGAGCTGTGAAATGTGTGGGAATGCATATTTTAAATGCAATTTAATGTGTACAGCAACCCAGCATGTATCTGTAAATATCTATGAAGCATCGGTCACTAAAATAAAATGGTTGAAACCGAAACAAATGAAACAATTTTCCCTTGCAATTTATCTTTCAAATGGGTGCCAAAGTGCTGAAGGTTTCCTTCCTGCCTCTCAGTTGGGCTTCTGAATTTATGCGTTCACATGGCTTTACTCTGTCCCAATAACCCTTGAAATACTGAGATGTTTCGCAATGAAAAGTTGATGATTTGGTTGGTGTACATATCATAGTCTTTAAATATTGTATATAAAAATATTCAAATTAGTATACTGACTTTAACTGTATTTTAGAGAAGTTCTTGAGTTAGCAAAAATATTATTTTGTATTTTATTAACTACTTTTCCACCTCCATGATTTTAATTTAATATTTTTTCTAGATGAATTTATATATTTTAACTTGGGCTTTTAGGCTCTAGTTACATCTGCAAGAGTATAAAAACGACTTGTTGGAAGGTCAACCTGCTTTCCATTTTATTGCATATATTTATTTTTCATTCACACGCCCGCTCGCACATCCTGGACTCCCAACACCCAACTCCCGACTCCCACATAGCAACATTTTAATATTTCCCCCAGATGAGGACCCAGGATGAAGATGTAGATGTGGATGTGGAGGAGCTGGTAAGGCAACGGCCATATTTCACAATTTATTGTGCTTGTCAATTGCAAGGAGGCAAAAAAATTGCTGCCATGCCATATGCATACTCGTTCTTGAATAGCAAGAGTTTAGGGGAAGTTCGTAGATTTATTCTAGTGGAAATATTGCATTTTGATATCTCGCATCCAACTTAATGTTGGCAAATCATCATCGCAGATCCAAGTGGTTTGCTTTTGGGGGTGTGTGCTCTTGGCCTTGCCATCAAATTTGTTAATGGAATACAACGATTCTGAAAGCTGTGCAATTAGAAAGTGCCTTTAAATTGTATAAATTATTTAAATAATATGCAGTACATTTTTTTTAGTGTCTCCTCAGCTCATCGATGGCCAATGTCAATATCTCTGCCATCTATTATTAGCTTAGCAAAAAGCTGTCCCTCCAAAACAACTTATTGTTTTTATTTGCCAAACGAATGGCATAATCACTGGTAAATCTATATGCACATATGTACATTTGACATTCAACTCTGCCCTGACCCCTGAAAAAACGACAAAAAAAATGGAAGATGGAAAATGAAAACAATTTTAAGGGCAGGTTGAGTTGGCTCGGCAGTTGGCTTGTAAGTGGCTCTTTGACTTGGCCATTAACGCAAACTTGACACATTGATGACAACGTTGTTATTGGCGCTATCGTTTGTGCCATCCATGGTGTCTGTCGCCTAACACTTGGCTATATCTGTGGATATATATATATATATATATCTGGATGGATGGATAGACGTGGCACGGTGTAAGTTTAGATTTATGATAAGTCACGATTCCAGCTGGCTGATGGAAAATTGCGACGAGCATAAGGCCCAAAGGCGAAAAGCATACTTTTTATGCAATCGAAATGCATTTTGGCAGACAGTGGGTGCTCATCAGGCGGCCAATTAAGTTGTTTAATTGAATTGCAAGTGGAAAGTGCCGAGCCAGCCGAACGAGATGAAGAAGCCTCAGCAAAACAATTTGGCAAACGAGCGAAAAACTTAACGAATAATTGTGCCTGAATTCCTTTTATTTTCTTACTAAATATTATTATATTATTATATATGCTTATATATATGAATTAATTCCTGAGATAATTGCCATCTTGTTCCACCTGGAATTTTTCTGTAGTTTTCCGCCAAAGGCCTCAACAATAATGTTCTTACATTTTTGCTTAATTTTTCTGCTGCTCGCATTTCCCGCAAAATGTATTTTCATTCGTGCTGTCTAGCCCGCCTTTTGCAATTTTCACTTCTCCCTCCCGAGGGGTTTTCCAGGGTACCTTCCCTGCACTTTACAAAATTTCAATGAACCGCATTTACGTTTGGTTCGGTTTATCTTTCTTTCCTCTGAATTTCCGACGGCGCCGACATTGCCGTGACAATGCCGAACTCACTTACACACACATATCACCCGTAGACAGAAGGAGTGGGAAATCTGACACTGTAAGAAATTAGTATGAGTTCTTAAAATTAAATTTATCAATATTAAAGTATCTGAAGTTCTAATATTCTAATATTATTATTTCCAAGCAACAAAGATATAAGATTTTCTAGATAATTGTAAACTGCACTCCCTTTTCCTCTCAGCGCGGAAAGTCTTTGCGCTGGGAACTCGTGGAGAATGAGCGTCATCGATGCTCGCAATTTGTGGCTTTCGCCACGCTTAATGCCAATCTCAGTGGGTCCACCTCCCAATCGCCCCCCGTAGCAAGAACCACCCACTGCACCCAATACGGGACCCTCACCCCGCCCATTCCCCCGCAGCCATCGTGCTATCTTGCCGCATTACAATTCACTGACATAATGCAAAAATCGCAGCAAGTCAGGCGCAACTCGTTGATAGGCGTGTTCTGCAATTTCTGTCTGATTGGGAAAGGACCTGGTGAAAGGGGCACAAAGGAGCATTGTATTGTCCCAGTAGGGCTTCAAGGAATTTTGTGAATGGTGGAAGCCTCATGGAGCTGGCTAATTAAAGTTGGTCTGGTTAATATTTACCAGTTCTTGTTTGGCAGATCTAAATTATGAAATAGTATGTGGCGAACTTGGAAATTTTGTTTAAAATTATGACCAGTAATCTTTAAAGGAACAAGCTTTAAAGCAATTATTGGGTGTTTGTTTTGGTAGCAAAGTCTATAAATACACCTAAACATAAGTATAGTATTAGCAAGTATTAGTTAAGTCACTATTACCCCTTCGAGTAGCTGCTAATCATGTTAAGTTTATTGCTGTTGAAACCCATAAAATAATTAAAGTTACCCCCTTGGAAAAGCGTATCGATTGCGATAATCGCTTTAAGTAACCCAAGTGGACAGCGAAAAGTATATAAATCTTGGATTTACGCGGCGCTTTTCTGGTATCAAGGAAACACTAATAAATAGCCCCACTCGACTTTCAATCGATAGATTAGATTCAACCAAAACTGATTAATAGGTATTTGCGAAAATGCTTAGTCGTACGACCGACCTGGAAGGCACCAGTTCAACCAGAAATGCTGAGAGGAGTAGCAATAATTTTGGCCACTGTGGCTTTAGCAGGAGCTATCGACGATTTTGATCCATTCATAGATATACCCTTCAAGCGGATCAAAACTTCGGTGGGTAGATAAACTATAAGGAATTACCTTATAGAAATCTAATCCTAAACTGAGATCAATATTTTAATTTAACTTACCCACCAGATTAGAGTCCAGATTTAACTTCCATTCCCGTTGCAGGCGGAGCGCATTGAAGAGCATGGCTACCCGGCCGAATCGCATTATGCGGAAACCCCGGACGGTTATGTGCTGAACCTGTTCCGCATTCCCCACTCCCCGAAGCTAAACAATGCCGGGGAGCCCCGTCCGGTGGTGCTCATCATGCACGGACTGTTCAGCTGCTCCGATTGCTTCCTGCTCAATGGACCGGAGGATGCGCTGCCGTATAACTACGCAGATGCTGGCTACGATGTCTGGCTGGGCAACGCCCGTGGAAATATCTACTCGAGGAACAACACCAGGCTGGATGTGAAGCATCCGTACTTCTGGAAATTCAGCTGGCACGAGATTGGCTCCATCGACCTGCCCACCACAATTGACTATATCCTGGACCTAACGGGACAGCAGGCCTTGCACTACGTTGGCCACTCTCAGGGATGTACATCCTTCTTCGTTATGGGCTCTTTCAGGCCGGAATACAATGCCAAGATCAAGACGGCTCACATGCTCGCCCCACCCGTTTACATGGGCAATACCACAGAGGGTCTTATTGTGGGCACGGCTCCTTATTTCGGACACCATGGTATTGGCTCCACCCTCTTGGAGAACCAAGTGCTCCTGCCCCAGAACAACTTTATACAGCGGTTATTGGACACCACCTGCAGCAATCGTCCAATTATGCTGAGCTACTGCAAAACTCTGGCCATGCTCTGGGGAGGTCCCGAAATCGGGAACCTGAATAAGGTGAGTGCTTCTTAAGATTATTTTTCAGAAAAATTAATATACAATTTTTATCCTAGACACTTCTCCCACAAATTGCTGAAACACATCCAGCCGGAGTCTCCTCTAACCAGGCCATTCACTACATCCAGTCCTTCGCCTCGAACGATTTCCGCTTGTACGATTGGGGAACCCGGAAGAACTTGGAATACTACGGAGAGGCAGAGCCTCCAGCATATGACATTACCAAAATAACCTCTGAGTTGTATCTTTACTATGGATTGCAAGATGGTTCGGCAAACAAGCAAGACATCTCCCGACTGCCCGATCTCCTGCCCAACGTGGCTCTGCTCCATGAAGTGCCTGATCCCACTTGGGGACATTTGGACTTTATATTTGCCACAGAGGTCAAGAAGGTCATTAACGATATGGTGTTAGATTATAGCAAGGCTTACGATGCGGCAGCATCTAAGAAATAAAATAATTTATTTCTTGAACTAAAAATAATACGAAGTTTAAGTTAAATAAACGCTAAAATCATTTTCAAATAATTTTTCCCAAATTCAGTTATTATTTTTGAGAAAGACCCTAAGTGAGTGACCTCCTGAGACAGTTTTCGCCAAAATGACAAACGTGCCGAGCTAATTACCAGTTAACAAGTGTCTGCTGCTGGTCGGGTTGTATCATCCTCAGTCTGCCTCGCTCCCTTAACTTGGCTTGGTCACGCCTCTGTGATGTACAACTTTTTTCCTCCGGGTTTGTTGACAAACATTATCGCTGGCTGGATAACGTGGTTAGCTGGTCTCGTCTCCACTTACATAACCCCTCAACCACCCGCAACCTAAATTGCAGTAATTAGCACTGGGGTCTCCACGAGTTGGTTTTGTTTGGCGGTTTAGTTGGGGGCAGTCGCAAATATGCTTATAATGATGATTTATGTGGTTAAGTGAGCGGTTATCACTCGGAGGGATAAACATTGATAAGGGGGAAAGTATATTGGTTTCCTAGAAGGGGAGCTTATATGCTGGAGGGACTTTAAAACCAATTAAATTATGATTATCGGGAATGTAAAAGGTATAAACTTCATCAAGCGGAATCACTCGCCAATAAAACTTTTTGAAAAAGGAATTTCTGTGTTATCAGGTGTTATCAGCTAACACTTGTTAGATTAAGAGTTAGATTTAAATCGCGTTAGGTTTAAAAGTCCCCATCTCTACCCCCTGGTGCAGTGAACCCCCTAGATAATTAATTGACTCTAAGTAATTCCCATTCACTGCTCACTCAGGAGAACTTCGCACTTCGGCTGGCTTAAGCCCCTCGCCCCTCTCCTCGACTCTTGGCCATCAACCATTAAAGCCAGCCTGGTGGCAATTAAACCGCAGCTCTTTATTAATCGCGGACCGCTGATGTGGAAGAGGATAATGCCGGTGACGAGGCTCAAGTGCGTCAGCAGACGAAAAAATCCACGAAAAAGTTAATGGCGAACGGAAATTGCAGATCATCAAAGGCAACAGGGGAATAAAATTAATAAAGTGTAAAAGGATTTTGTCCCGGCGGGAGAGAAGACAAACTGGCGGGCGGGATGCACATCCCAGACATCTGGGCGGTTATAAATCTGCCGGTTAGCCCCGCTCAAGACCTGACCCTATAATCCTTTATTTTCGTTTTCAATTTGTTGGAAAAGGCAAACAGAAAGTGTAAAAAGTATTTCTCATGCGGAAAATCCACAGTGACTGGCCAAGCGCTGACAAACTTTTCCCACTTTTCCCGCCTTTCCACCCCAACTCTGGCCCTCGCTCTTCTCCATCTTACCTCTTCTGTCTTTTCCTAAGTGGCTGCGACACTTTTGTATGCATAATTTAAACAAAAGTCGCCAAAAAACTGGGTGGAACGAGGGCCGAAAAACAAGCAGCAGCAACAGAAAGTTGCAATTGCAAAAATTGAAAAATTTTTCGCATAAAAATATGCGCCAAGCATGAACAGACCTCGAGAAAACAAGAGAAAAATCAGAAATAGCAGGAAATCTTACTCGCAGCCAAGATGTCGACCAAGTGTCGTGCATGGTGTTGGCCAAATGTTTATTGTCAAAAAGTTGGGCACAATGCAGATTGCCTTAAAAGAAGAGAGTCAAAGGGCACAACAATAAGAAGAATATTTTCACAGTTATTAGACCACTAATAAACTTTACTTAAATCAAAAAAATTAAAATTCAAAATCATCTAGGTTATTTAACCATTTGCCTTAATTTAACTTCTGTATATAATACTTTTACTTGAACATAAGTCCTTCTAATTTATTAAGCCAATTAAATGTCCATTTACTTGCCCTGCTTTCTCTTGAAAAACAACCTCTAAAAGAAAAGCTTGTTTGCGCCAAAAAGTTTCTGGTTTTAAAGTAATTAAATTTACATTTGCTTAATCAAAAACAATCCTCGAGTTATGATGTTATTGTAGCAACCTTTTTTCATTTATTTACTTTTAAAGTTTCAGGAATTCTTAACATAAACTGAATCCAAGGAATGTTATAAAAGATAGTAATCATAATAGCAAATTAATAAAACTTTTATAAATAATAATGCATTTTTTGAACATGAGCTATTATTACTTTGTAACGGTTACTTTAAATTTAAACCGTGAACACATACCAAAGCAGTATTTTATTTTTCTAGTAGACATTAAGAGCTTTTAGATAGCTTTTCTGTCTTCAGTGACTTCCTCTTACTCTGGTCACACTGCTGAGGCGACGGTCGAAACGAGTAAAAAATTCCGATAATTGCAATTAATATAATTATAAAAAGAGAAGCAGTAGAGTAAAAATGGAGGTGGAAAGCCCGGAACACACACGAGATTTCGCCGAAGTGGATATAAACAACGGGGCGGCATCTGGATCGGAGGACGAGGAGGAGGAGGTACCTGCGCCGGGAAGCGTAACTCTGGATCGGAATGAAAGTGATCTATTTGTGTCGGCACTGAGCCCCAGCAGTATTGGGGATATCCACGTAAGTGAGGGCAATAAACCCGTGAGCAGCCCGCATCAGGAGGTCTATTAAATTAGCTTCCATTTTGGGGCGTCGGTTGCTTTATCAGAGTTTGCTTTGTTTGGTTTTGATGACTACGTCACGAGAGCCGCCCACCAGCAAAGCTTGTTGCTTCATAGAAATGAGTTTGAGTATGAGTTTTTTACACCCTAAATATCCTACAGCCGCTGCAAGAGGTCCTAACCGACGATGGGGACTACTTTATCAGCATTGTTGTCTCGGATCCACAGAAAATCGGCGATGGCATGGGGTCCTATTTGGCCTACAAGTGAGTCACCCGGACGCCTTATCATAGAAATACATTACAAACCTTATCTCCTTTCCTAGGGTGACGACCAAAACGAACATTCCAAAATTCAAGCGCAGCGAGTTCAGCACACTTCGTCGCTTCAGTGATTTTCTCGGGATTCACGATCTTCTGGTGGGCAAGTACATGCGGCAGGGTCGCATCATACCGCCAGCGCCTTCTAAGAACATAATCGGTAGCACGAAGGTCAAGATTAGTCCGCAGCAGAGCGAGCCTGGTACTCCCATGAACCAGGAGTGGGTAGAGATCCGCAGGGCGGCCCTAGAGCGGTTTGTCCACCGCACCGCCCAGCATCCGGTGTTGCGTGTTGACCTGGACTTTATGAACTTTCTGGAGAGCGACCAGGAACTTCCGCGTTCCGTGAACACCTCAGCTCTCAGCGGAGCAGGCGTGATCCGGCTATTCAACAAAGTGGGCGAGACAGTGAATAAGATTACCTACAAAATGGACGAGAACGATCCTTGGTTCGACGACAAGATCACCGAGGTGGAAAGCCTGGACGCCAATCTGCAGAAGCTGCACAATGCCATGAAATCATTGGTCACCTCACGACGGGAGTTGTCGCTGCTCACAGGTTTGGTGGCTAAGTCGGCGGCCATGCTGAGCACCTGCGAGGAGCACACTGGACTTTCAAGGGCTCTGTCCAACCTGGCGGACGTGGAGGAGAAAATCGAATTGCTGCGCTCTGAGCAGGCAAACTCGGACTTCTTCATTCTGGCAGAGTTCATCAAGGATTACTTGGGCCTATTTGGGGCCATCAAGTGCATTTTTCATGAGCGGGTGAAGGCCTTTCAGAATTGGCAGTACGCACAAATGCAGTTGTCCAAGCGACGGGAGAATCGCGGACGTTTTGAACTGTCCAACAGAGCGGATAAGCTAGACCAGGCCCAACAGGAAGTGGATGAGGTGCGTTTGGGTTTTAGTTCGTTCTATTATTAATTCTGTGTTCTTATATTTTAGTGGCAAGGAAAGGTGCAGCGCTGTCAGCAGCAATTCGACGACATTTCGGCTGAAATTAAACGTGAAATGGAGCGCTTTGAATTGACTAGAGTTAAAGACTTCAAAGTAAACATTATCAAGTATATAGAAGACCAAATGGCGCATCAGCAACAGGTGAATTTCAATATTTCCATAGTTTACACACAGGGTTAATGATCTTTGTTGTCTTTCAGATCGTCAGCTATTGGGAGGCCTTTGCTCCGTATGCCCGCGAAATTGTTTAACTTATATTCCGATCATCGATGCATTTCCAGAAACTTTTTGATTAACTAACAGCTATGCGCGCTAAGAACTTATTCAGCGGGACCAAATTCGTTCTTAATCTATCGATTTGGAGCTACAATTTCGCCTTGAGCTATTATCTTGCAATTCGCCGCCGAAGCTCGTATTTTTATGAAACTGCTTTCGATTCCTCTCAAGCATAGAAAAGTTCAACTTTATCGTTGCATTCACAAAGCCTATATCTCTATTCATACACAGTAAATTTTATCAAGGCTTTTATACATTCACAGAAAGCTGAAAGTTTGCAGCAGACTTCCAGTTCTGCGTATTCTCATTCTAAGCATGTTTTTGGTATTATCTAAAACTCGGCAATGTGGATCTAGTAGATAGATAAAAGTGAAGAAGACTCATTGGTCATTTCCAAATTGAAGTTTGTACCATTTAACTGGGAAGCGGTTTTCCCGGTTTATTATTGGTATACTTATGTATTTATATATATACATATATATATTCCTATTAAAAGATTTTGTATCATGACAAAGAGAGCATTTCAACAAATAAATTTGTAAATATGTATAGATGTAAATAGTTCTTGTTGTGTGCATATTTGGGTTTATAAAGACAAGATCCCTTGAAAAGAGTGAATGTACCTTATGTTTTTCTTTATATCTCGAAATTAGTTTTGGAACAAACTCAATTGCAAACATATCAAGTTAAATGTGTTTTTAAAAGTTTCAGGGAACCATAATTCATTTAGAGTTTATTCCGCTTATATGTAATAACCTTACGCATTATTTAAGTGATTCTTAAGTGCAGAACTTTAGAAGTTCAATGTTTTACAGATAATTCGATTCTATAAGGTTATAATAACCAACCTTTCTTTTTGAAAATCCAGCATAACTTAACATTCAAATTTTGAGCGCCATATACTGCAAATCTAGTATTTATTCATACACAGCTTTTTAGCTATGATTTTTCATTAGTGAACGAACGGTCACATTGTTTCACAAACCAAAAGAAGAAGAAGTGTTTAGTCATTTTCAAACGAAATTGTTTCTCGAAGTTTTCCAAAAAACGGCCATATAAGACGCCTTGAAACAATTTCCTTCTAAGCTTCTTCTAAGATATCAACAAGACGACAACAACCATGGAGTTTCCTCACTTGGGACAGCACTGCAGCGAGTCTACTTGCAACAGATTGGGTGAGTCGCCAAATGTGGCCAACCAGGAACCAGAAACTAATTGAATTAATTTCGATCTACATCCAGATTTTCTGCCCGTTAAATGCGACTCGTGCGACAAGGTCTTCTGCGCCTCCCACTACAATTACGAGCGTCACAACTGCCCGGGTGCCCACAAGAAGAACGTGCAGGTTCCCGTTTGCCCCCTTTGTCGTGAGCCTGTGCCCACGCCACCCGGAGTCGAGCCCGACGTCACCGTGGGCCAGCATATCGACCAGCAATGCAAGTCGGAGAGCAAGAAGATCTACACTAATCGCTGCCACGCCAAGGGCTGCAAACGCAAGGAACTCATTCCGGTGACATGCTCCCAGTGTCACTTGAACTTCTGCCTGCGTCATCGCCACACGAGCGACCACAACTGCCAGCCGCAAAGTACGAAGCCAGCAGCTGAAACAGGGACATCTTCCGCCACTGGTGGATGGCAATCCATATTCAAATCCTCCTCGGACACCCGCTCCATGGCAGCTCAGGCAGCTGAGAGGCGTAGGCAGATTAAGCCCACAAGCAACAGCATGAGCAATACCAATTCCAGACCAAGACCAGTGCAGGCCACACAAGTACAAAACATACAGGGCAATATGGTAAGTTTGCGAGTTTCCTACAAATAGAAATAAACTCTTCTAAAAAGCAAGGGGAGAATTTCGTAATTTTAGATTCAAAATTTGTTTAAATAACATATTCCTTACTAAAGTGAAGGAAAATTATGATACAAAATACCCTTCTATGATATCAAAACATTTAACAAACTTAATTTCTTACTTTCAGAGCGAAGACGAAGCTCTTGCGCGAGCCCTAGCCTTATCAATCATGGAGCAGGATGACGCTGCGGAACGCAACCGCCAATCACCAGCCCAAAACAACGCCCAGCAAGTAACCGTGGGCGGGGGCGAAAATCAGCAGGGAAATGCGAAGGACAAGTGCCTGCTGTCCTAGTTTATACAAGGCAGCTATGTCTCAACATATCCATCACTTGACCAGCAGCAAGAAATCTGCCCAACTATTAGATGTTAATCAAACTTCGTTATCGTAATATTTTGTTGGTAATTTACTTCGACTTCGTCACATTCTACGTGGTTTAGCAAAAATAAATCAATGTTAATTCTACATTTTTGGAAAGCTTAAATGGAGTTGTTTAACACGGATCTTTGAAAGGGAAACGAGGAAAACGATCCTATTGCAAATCGGTCTTACTCAACTCTAAAAAGATAAATATGATACAAGACTTAGCTACATAAATAGATACACGTAAATAGTTATACAAGATTGCAAATTATTCGGAATTGGCCTGCATTTGTGTTTCCACAATGTGTTCCTCCACGATTTTTTCCTGTGACGGGCCTTCCGAGGGAACCACTTCCTTCTGGGCAGCGGCTTCTTCTGCTTTCGGTTCCTCCACCAGTTCGGATTTATTGGACAGCGTGCTTAACTTCCTGCCAAGTGTGGGACCTTCCACAGAGGATGATGTGCTGATTTTCCGAGCTGCTGCTGCAAAACTGGCCACTCCCTCGGCGGCCAGAATACTGGCGCTGGACAAAAGTATGGACACTTGCTCTGCCGAAGGGCAACTCGTGATGATCATATCATCGGTAGAGTATCCATTAGTGGTCAGCAGTTGCTCCAGCTTCACAAAGGATTGAATGATGTTGTTCTAAGTGGAGAAATTAATTTATAGCAGCCTACTTTATGGCTTAACTGGTTTAAAACTTACGCGGATCGGCCGAAATATAATGAATTCTGTATCTCGATTGCTCAAATAAAGCTGCATAGCACGCTGAAGCACCGCTAGCTTAGCTTTAATCAGGCGCTGGGTCTCCTGTATGATACTGCTTATCTGCTGTGGACTGGCCCACGGGCTTTGCCTTAAGACATAGCTGACCTTCGAAGTCTCTGGTGACTGGGGCGTTCCTGGGATGGTTTGCGCCAACAGACTTTGAGCCTTTTCCAGGAATGTAACGAGGGGTCCCACCAGCATGTGGACTGCATCCTTGATGTATTTCTCACATACTGACTTTAGCTGGCGATCCACCTCTTTTCGGGAGTCCAGCAAATGCTCCTTGATCTGCGGCGTGCCTTCAAGCAGGAATTCTAGCAGAGCATTGTTGCTGCCCATGGAAAACAGCTGTTTCCGTTTCTGCAGAAGACCGAACGCTGCTGTCTTCACTTTGCTAAAGTCCAAGGAGGTTTCCTTTACTGTAAAGTCAACGCGGAATGGAGCAATCTGTTCCCGCAAAATAAGCAAGTGCTTAATTTCAAACAGCTCGCCATCTATTGGCGTTTTGCTAGCTGAAATTTTTCCAGCAGCATGGGAGACACTTTGAATGCACAGCTTCAGCGCCTCCTGAGACAGGCCCTGGAAAATAGGTCGATCAACGCAACGGTAAAGTCTGGAAAGGCACACCAATGTCCGACGAACTGTGGGATACCACATTCCATGCAGATCAGCAGGAGAATCTAAAGAGTTGACATGTTAGATGTTGTATGTTGTTGGACGCTGTATCGTGCTTTAAAATCTTACTCATTTGCTTGACCCTGTAGGCAGTGTCCACACTTTCCGTCTCCACAGCACTCGATACACTTGATATCATGGATGCGCGAGAATCAGATCGACGCAAGGGGGGAGGTTCTTGGAGCGACAAGGCAATGCTCTGAAATACGCAGTTTTAAGAATATAATCAATTTAAATAGACAGAAATCACTTACTTCCATCATTTCCAATTTTTCTGGGTATGCCAAATCTCCAGACGAGGGATTAAAGTTCTGAATGTCCGACTGGAGGTATAAATGCGCTCGAAAGACCAAACGCTCCTGCACATCCTGGAGAAGCTGATGAGCAATGGTAGCAAAAGCCTCCAGGGCAGCAGCTGTTCCATTAAGAAATTTATTAAATGTGATTCCAATTTAAAAAATTACATTAACTTACGGTTCTGCTGGACATGCTCTTCGAGCATTTCAATACGTAAAATTGAACAAATCTCCGCCAGTGTTTCCAAGTGATTGATGTGTATGATAAAGGGCCGCATGGTGTCGTAGAGAATGGTGCACAAACCCTCTAGGTAAACTCTGAACAGATCGACCAATTAAATACTTAAGCCATTTAGATGACTGAATATGCTTACGTCAGGTGTGGAGCTCCTGTGCTGAAGAACTGGTAGAACAACCGCTGTTCGTCCTGGCATATATGCACCAGAAAAGCGCAGGCACTCCGTGTAAGTGAGCAGTGATCGCCCTTGTGGGCGATTTTTACGTTTTGTATGGACAGATTAACAGCCGGCGACATAACGCTGGCCCGCTGGGCTAAGTAGTGCTGCTGCAGGTCCGCCATAAGCTGTGCGTAGTCATGGCTGTGTTCCGAACGAGCCTCAATTAACTGAGCCACGCGCTTCACCTTCGCTGCGGCAGTTTGATATTTCCCGTAGTACAAGGCAAAGGCAGCATCTGGCGCCTTGAGCGCCGTGGAGGCATCCGGCACATTGTTCTTGGGATGCAATGTGGCCTCGGTAGCCTGGTTGATTACGCTGGTCACATAGTTGCGCACTAGACCAGACGCTTTAGCAAGGCACTGCCTGTACTTCACATTGTAAGCAGCTGCGTCTTTGAATTTCGGCTAAAAAGGAGGTTCATTAGGATTAATTTGAGCAAAGATAGGCACAATGCTCACGTTTTCCTCAATGTAATTAAGGCATTCATCGATTTTGTTGAGGCACTCCCGGAACGCTTCGCTAGCCACAGAAAGCGTTGGGCTCTGAAGTCGTTGGTTGAGCAACTCAACCTGACTGAAGTAGTGCAGACGTCGTTGGATCTCGTGGCTTAGGTCCTGAAGCTTCTCCTGCTCCTCGATCAACTGCTCGCTGGCAGTGTTAAGAGCGCTGGTCTTCTGGGACACAAAGTCGTACTCGTCGCAAAGGGCACCCAAGCGCTCCATGGCTCCCGCGATCTGATCAAGCATGTGGGAGCACTCCGCCTTCCGCTGCACCAGTTGCTGCAGGTATTTGTGGTAGTCGGCATCGCCACGTTGCTCGATCTCGGCACTGACGTCCGCAAACCAGAGCAGGAAATCGTTTGTGTTCTGCAGTCCCTCGACGGGCAGTTCAATGTCATCGCCGCTCTGCGGGATGGTTTCGTTCAGAGGCTCGGCAGGACCTGACTTGATGGACGTGTTTGGTGCCGGTGCCTAGAATGAAAGAAATGAGAGTTTACAAATTTCTGCTCGTCAACCCGACTGAGCTTGCTTACCAATGGTCCGGTGTCGCGCCACAGATTGGTTAGAACGTCCAGATGCTCCTCCTGCTGGATGCTGAGCGCCGCCAGTGGGTCCGTCTTGGACTCCCATTGCATGAGGCGGTTGCGAATCTTCCGCAAATTCTCATTTTCGCTTCTCGCATTCTCTACGTCATCCATTTTTCTGCGGCGGATTTAGAAACAATCAATCAGCTGTTCAGCGATGGGAGCACTGCGCCTTCCAGAGATGACTTACTGTGACTGACAGTACAGCATATGCTAAGATAATAACTATGTACATATGCTTTTAAATATAGTTTCTAATTTAAATTACTTTTCTTTTGTAATTTAAATGTTTTATTAAGGAAGTGATGGTACTCTAGTTGAATACCATGTCGGTTAGTTCGTTTTTATTAGATACCTGCAAAGCGATAACTGTAGCGGCTTAATAGCAATACTGTCAGCACTGACACTAAACTGGCGTTTACCACCACTGCAGCATTACTAAAATTCTGTTCATTTCTGTTTTTATTGAATTTTTGTCAATTTTACCGGGGAAATACAGCTTACGATGGCCCCGCAGCCGGTGGTAACGGGGCTCTCCCCGAAGGAGGGTCCTCCTGGCACTCGCGTCATTATCCGCGGCGAGTTCCTGGGCACCCGAGTGCAAGATTTGATTGGTAGGCGTAGTCTGCCCCAAATATCTTTAGTTTTATGATGACTTGACCTTCCCTCAAACCGTAGGCCTAAAAATCTGTGGCTCCGATTGTCTGCTGTCCGCGGAATGGAAATCACCCAACAAAATTATTGCGCGAACTGGTCCGGCGAAGGGGAAAGGCGACATAATAGTGACAACTTTGAGCGGCGGAGTGGGCACCTCTACGGTGCAATTCCGTGCCTACCACGAGACTATTGGACCGCTCAAAGAGTCGGCCGTGTGGATCGAGGAGTCGCCCTCGCAAAACTTCGCCTGGGGTCGTCGCACTTTGGCGCAATCCGGACTGACGCAGGAGGATCCTCTCGGCCTGTCCATTGAGGGCAACGAGCAGAAGATTCCTGAGGATTTGAGAGACCTGTTTCCAGAAGCCTGTGGCGATCTGTCTCAGGAGCACTTCTCACCGGCCTGGTTTCTGCTCGAGAATCACCTGGCCACCTCCTTTGAGGATCTCAAGGCGGGCCTGTCCTATTTAAAGCGGAAAGTGGAGAGCCAAAAAGAGGGCCAGCTGTCCTTTCTCAAGTCCAATGCTGGCTCGGTGATTGATCAATTGGACACGCTAATGAACATTCGGGACAAGCTACAGGAGGATGTTAAGTTGCACGGCAACGAAACCCTGAATGTTCTGGAGACATCAATAGAAAGTAAGTGATGCATTTATTTAAAGCGGTGCTTTTGTAAAAGGGTTTCTTCCTTTTTAGATTCTATCAGCGAGTCGCAGAAGATCTTTACGGATGTGCTAGTGCGCAAGGAGAAGGCAGACTCCACCCGGTCTGTTCTCTTTGCTCTGTCACGCCACAAGTTTCTCTTTTGTCTCCCAAATTCGGTGGACCGACGTGCTAAGGCGGGCGAATACGACATTGTGGTTAACGACTACTCCCGAGCAAAGAATCTCTTTGGCAAGACGGAAATTCCCATCTTCCGCAAGGTGCTAGAGGAGGTGGATCACAGGATATTGTCTATAAGAAAGCAGTTGCACGAGAAGGTCGTTAAAATGCCACAGAGTGTAGAGCAACAAAAGAAATTGATCAAGGCCCTAATTAGTTTGGAAGTCCAGCAGAGTGGAACCCCTATTGGCGATAAACTGCGTAACATCGATCCGGCTTGGGATGCCATCGAGGCCAGAGCTAAGTATCTGGAAGGCACCTTCCGTCAGACATTCGAACAGCATGCCAATAAAGACTCGGGCGCGCAAGAGAAGTCCAAAAACAGGGATCCCAGCCAGGCACCCAGTCGGGTAAACTTCTGTGAGGAACTGTGCGATATTGCCGCCTCCCAACTGCCAGATTTATGGCGTCTGGGTCAACTGTACTTCACTGGAGAGCTGCGCGGACCACATGATCCTAAACCTGGAGACTTTAAGCGAATGATTTTGAACGCCATTGAAAAGTTTTGTGTCTATTTAAGATTGGCTATTCTCATAGCTGCCGATCAGCGTGCACTTCGGCAATCCAGCGGCTTGGCCTGGCCCATTGGCTCCTCTTCGGCCACGCATCAGTTCCTTCCGTGGATACCGCAATGTCTGCGCTACACCAGGATAGCCTATGCCACGCTTATAAGCTTAGATCTGCCCTCGGAAGCCTTTAGACATCATCCAGAAACTCATTGACGAGGTGCGGCTTTTCTGCTTCTCAATAATCTTCAAGCGATCCACGGATCGATGTAAAAAGTTGGGCAGTCAGGAGACATGGGAGTTGGGTGTAGAAGAGTATCCGGGTGCCACTCTGCTTCCCGCTGCCTTGGAGACATTGCTCATCGAAACGCTGGACGAGGTGCAGTCTGTGTGCATGCAGAGGGAGTCGCGAGAGGGTAATCTCCTCGAGCCCCAGTCAGATGGACAAAGAGAGGTGACACAGCGCTTGCAGGAATTCCTATCCGCCTTTAGTGCGGTAATCGAAGAGCTGGCCTTTCACTCCCACGACGACGAGACGCCCACCCATAACGTGTCGCAGCTACTGGGATTCCCTAATGCTCAGCAACCTGACTCAGTTGCTGGGAGCGGTGGAGGAGGGGCTGTAACCTGGGAGCAGCGCATGCTTTGTTGCCTGGCTAACTATGCATATTGCAACAAGAGCTTCTTTCCGCACCTAGGCGAGATTTTTGTGCGCTACGGTTATCCACTACCTACCCTGGCAATCGAAACGGCCAGGTACACGGTAAATCAGCTCTTCACAAATCTACTAGAGGAGTATGTTGAGCACAAGGGCGATCCACTTGTGGGTACCATAGAGCCATCTATGTATCTGGGTCGGTTTCAATGGGATCACGAGATGGAGATCGGCCAGCTGCGCCCTTATGCCCACGAATGCTGCGATAACTTAGTTGGTGTCTACTCCGAGATCTACAGCATCTCTCCGGCATTACTGCGCCCGATCCTAGAGTCGATTGTGCAAACCATATCCGAGGAGCTGGCTCGCCTAATGAGCTGTGTCCAGCGGTTTAGCTTCACGGGAGCGATTCAGGCCCATGTGGATATCCGTCTACTGAGGGATTCTTTGGAGGGTTATGTAAATGAGACAGCCAAGTAAGTAATGCAAATAAAATCAAAAAAAGAGGTATTACATTTCATCATCTTAATCTCAAATAGGAACTACTTTATGGAGGCGTTGGAGGCCATAAACCCACCCCTAAGTGGCGAACAGAAGCGAAAGGCTGACGAGATTCTGGAGCGAGTTAAACGGAACATGAGACTGCAACTGCTCTGCTTCAGTGTCAAGGATCCTTAGGCACATTCCACTGCTTGGCACTGCCAATGTAGATAGCTTATCCTATAACTAGCTTGTGATTCCCCATTTTCTAGGGATAAATCTTTATTCGGTTGCAAAAAATAATCTTATTTGCTATTGACTCACAGTCCCAACAATTTTGGGTCAAATTCAAAATTGTTTTGGGCCATAGTCTTGATGACCTGTTCCACATCGATGGCGTTGAACTTCTCCTGCACACGCTGCTTAATGGGGTTCTCTATAGCGTCCATGATCTGGTAACGCAAAAGGTTGGGGATCACATTCACCGCAAACTCCATAACGTAATCCAAGGTTCCCGCTCCGTCGCATCGCACCTGGATGTTACCCATGTCGAATTGCAGATCGGTGATTTGCGCCCGCTTGCGCGTGTCCAGAGACTGGCTCACTGCCACGGTGGCGCGTATGTGCTGAACGGTGAACTGCACATGGCCCACTCGCGTCATCATTCCTAGACCCACCTCCCATTGACCGGATCCCGTCACCTGCTGGGTACCAATTTGGAGGACCACCGACACTGTTTTGTTGGCCATGCCAGCAGTTATGTTTCCCACTCGGTAGAAGCTCGAGATTCCATTGATCCATGTGTGTGCCAGCTGGACACTGAACACACCCATGGTGCGGTTCACATCGGGCAAATGGTAAGGATCATAGCCCTTTTGGCGCACCATCTTACGGGCCATGGCTATGGCACTATCCAGTGGAGTTATAGAGTTGGGCAATCGGCGCTCTCCTAAAGTATTCTGGATCATCGTGTCGATTTCGCTTCGCAACTTCTTGTCTGCTTCCTGGAGCATAAATGGCTTCATGGCGTCGAAAACGAGATTGGGAGCTCCGTTAACCACGCTCTGGAAGACGCTGCCCACCAAGCCCAGGTTCTGGAAATCCATTGTCATGTCCGAGAAGGTGATGTCGATTTTAATACGATCGGTGGCTAGGTGGCCATCTCGTTCCACGGCCAAATACGCCGTTGCCTCAGCATAGACGTTCTTCAGAACCACAGTGAAGGGTCCGTTTGCTTTCGAAAAGAATGAGCTCAGCGTATACTGGCCTTTGACCAGCATTTGATCCAGTTGGAGGCCACCATTGAACTGGAAAAAAGTGGATACTAATCATTAAAAACACTATATTCCTGTTCAGAACTCACCTTCATTTCCTTCAAGTCTAGATTCATTTTGTCAATGCGGAACTTGGATAACCCGTAGGCCTTAACTTGCCGCATGTCTAGATTTGCCATGCCCATGCTCTTCTTGACATTGGGCACCTCCAAGGGATCAGGAACTGGCACTCCAGGCAACCCCTGAGGGTCCTCCTGCTGGAAGTGCTCCAGCATGGCCTCCACTTGGGCGGCTATGTTGGCCTGACTCTGCTCGATCGCATGTGCGTCATTCGATTCGCTCGCTTCCTGGTCCACGACTGCTCAAAGGTCAAAATTGAGTGCGTAAGATTAGGGGGATGGGATATGGATTATGCTTACATTCACCAGGTTCCTGGGAGTGGACAATGTGGCAACTACATGTCAAAAGCCCCACGAGTACGGCCACTATCAGCAGCTTCATCTTTTGGGGATTAGCCTGAACTTCGGCTTATCAGTTGAGAAAAAGTAGGAAAACGCGCCAACCTCCGTTCTCGCCTCCGGACAAACACGCACTACCGACTGGTGTATTAATCAGGAGATAATGATGAGCATACAGACGGCGATCCGACGATCAGAAACGCTTATCTTAGGGTGACTCTTCTCGCGAAGCTGCTGATTAAACTCTGAATTGAGAATGAGTGACTTAAGTGAGCGGAAACGGCCAGTGCATTTGAGACTCTGGAGGCACTCGTTTTTCTCACTCCCGAGAACGATGTTCCAGAAAATACGAATCGCCTTTCATAAGTCTATTAAGTGAATACCTTAAAAAGACAATATTGCATTCTGGAAACCACCCATACCTTTAAAATGTCACATTATTACTGAGACCAATTCTCATATTTATTTGCATTTGTTAAATAGTTTATAGTTTATAGTTTGCTCATATATAATATGGCTATATATGGCTTAGTTTGAAATATTTTTACTTAAATAGTAGTTCACGTGCTCAAAAAAATTCATGCTCAAAAAAATGTCTTAGCCTATGAAAAAAATTGTCTTAGCCTATGAAAAAAATTTGTTTGGCTCACAGCAACCGCATTTTCAGCAAAGCCTTTAAGTTATTTTTTAATTCGCTGTTCGTTAAACGAAAATATTATTTAGTCCTGACTATTGCCTTGCTCTTAAATACATAATTTTGCTGAAGAATTGCTTTACCTCTAAATTATATGCGACTGTTTTGCTTAATACCTATTAAAAAAAATTTAGTTTTGGAAACGTTTGCTGGTTGATTACATGAATTTTGGGAAATCCTCAGGATGGAGAAAGCTCCTAAAATACATTTGGGAGGTGACTTGAGAGGTTTTTGCTAGGGTAGAGGAACTGTACATAAAAAATACGAAACCGGACGTTAACAAAATAAGACGATCAGTAAGAAGAACACCACAGTGCTTTAACTAGTTATGGATGGACTTAAGTGGTAAATAGGACCATCCATAACATGAGTCAAAGCTGATACCGGGAAACATAAAACACATACACAAAAAAGCTTTCTAAAGACAAAACAACATATATGGAAGAGTCTCCTTGCTTACAAGTCATCCGAGCCAGACATGATCTCCTCGAACAGTGAGTGGGCATTGTCAGTGGCCGATAATCTATCGCCAGCGGCAGAATTACTCCTGGATCCGCCACTGACAAGCTCGTCTACTGTGTCGAGGGCCGAGAAATTGGCCCTTCCCCTACGGGTTCTACTGGTTCTAAACTTTTTGGGCGGCGGCTCGATGACTTCCCTTTCTGGTGGTGGAGGAGCTGGAGGAGGTGGTGGCGAAAGAGATGGCGGTGGTGGGTCAGGCATCGCAGGCGGTGGCATTACATAGGCATACTGGGGAATGGAACCGTTGCCATCGTTGTTTTGCAGCTGAACTCGAATAAAGCCAACAGTGGCTGGATCAACGGGTTTGTTGCCTTGGAAGATATTAAAGCCTAAAAATAGATAGGAGTTAGAAAAGAATCTACAATGCCACAAATGGGCTTACCCTGGTATTCGCCCTTCTCATTCTGGACCAGAACCAAAGGATGCTGTGACTGCTGAAGGTTGTTGAGGGGTACCAAACTTATGCCGTCGCTCGACGAATCCTGCTGTGCTGTGTCTCGACTGTTATCCCCTTGCTGAGGTGGTGCTGCTGGTTTCTCTGATTGTAGCAGCGGCTCTTGTTCTCCTTTCAGGTCCTCAAAACCATCATCGTCATTATCGCTTTCCACATAATCTTCTTTGTGAGGATTTTTGCAACACACGCAATGACATCCAGTGCAACTATTGAAGTTCTTGTAGCACGGACAACGAGAGTTACGGCAGGTGGTAAGAGGATTGGCCGAGCCCGAGATACCGCAGCGGCACTTGGATTTGGTTGGCTTTGCCTTTTCCTTTTCCTCCTTCTCCTTTCCACGAACCTTTCGGAAGGCACTTTTCCCAGATTGAAGTTTTGTCTTGACTTCAGCTTGAGCCGACTCGATTTTAGCAGTTTGAGGGGCTTTCAAGCTACGGGTTCGCTTACGTTTCAGCGGGGCTTCGGGTATGACTTCCTCCTCGAGCTCTACACTTTTGGGAAGCAATGCCGCTTCTTCTTCCTCCTCGGCAGCTGCGTGTAACTCCCCTAAGTCTTTATCCATCTCCTTTTCTTCCTGCCATTCTTCTAGCAGCGGGGTCAACTTTCGCTTAAGAGTAACTGGGTCCTTCTCTGGCTCCTTACTATCCGCTAGCACAGGTGACTGTGAGGTGTGAATATCCGAGTGTGTATTGTTTTCTTCGAACTTCTCACAGTCAACCAAAGCCTCCGTCTGAACTGCAGACTCATTGATCTCTACCATCTCTTCAACAGTAGCCAGAACCTGCTGAGGTTCTTCATCTGGGTGCTCAGTCAATTGAGTAGAGATTTCTTCGGCTTCTTCAACGGATGATACCACAGCCAACTGAGTAGAGGTCACGTCTGCTTCTTCAACAGCAGAGGCAAGCACAGCCACATGGGTGGAGGTTTCAACGGTCTCCTCAACGGCAGCCAGCACAGCCAACTGTGTGGAGTTTCCCATTTGAACGACTTGGCCGATTTGCAGTTCCTGGGGATCGAATGGCGTGGAAGCACCCGTGGGCATAACATATGACACGGCAAAGTTGGTGCTGTTACTGGGAAAGCTAGACACCGAAACGGCCCCAGATAGGTCTACCTGATCAGTCCAAGCGTGATCCATAAAGCCCGATTCCGATGACTCGGTGGCAATCACTATCTGTCCACCGTGGGACAGCAGATCCATGCGAGATCCCGTCGGAAGCAGGGGAAGTGGCGAAAAGTGTCCCTGCTCGGCTGTGGCCGCCGCTTCTGCTTCGATGTCGCTGATGTTGAGGTGCTGATCGTAGGGTAACTCCGGAGTGGTGGCCGCCGTTGTGGGCGGTGTTTCTGCGGGCAGCGACGTGGGCAGTTCCTTGAGGAAGGGAAGATCTGGCTCAGGCAGGAACGTGTCGCCCGTGTCAGAGATATTGGAGCCTTCTCTTATGAATTCCTGGGTAGTCATGGCCGGTAGCTTGATGCGAGACACCAGCGTCTTGCCTACTTCGGGCCTTAGACCACTCAATTGACCAAAAAGCGAGGACTGTAGCAGATGGACGCACAGCGTCTTATAGCATAGCAGTTGGGTGCCCATTATACGATTCTCCTCGTATGTTTTAAAGTCGGAGCACCCCTCGCACTGGGAGCAGTTGGGAAACAGACGTTTTTTACCGCGCAGGCACAGGCGACACACATTGTGCTGACATCGTTTGCCCTTCGGGGAGTAGGGATCGACCAAAAGTTGACAACAGACAACACAGGACAGCAGTTGGCGCAGCTCACCGATCCCGGAGCTCAGCTCGTACACCCGGCGCTTGGAGAGATTCGAGGCGGAGCGCAGCGAGAGGCGCGTAACCTTGAGATAGGCCGACTGGGCCAGCATTGTGGCAATATTTTTATGGCCGAGACTGTACAAACACCGGTGTTTTTGTTTACCACCCCGACGTTGAGACTCCGCTGGCTGACCTGGCCCACGCGGCCTCTTCGGCTACCTGACAGCTCCTTGGCTATTTACCTGCAATACACTGCCTTCTAAACCTTAGTTACACATTCTCAAACCGCGTTAATCCTTGATTTCTCCATTAAATTGAAAATTCACTGGAAATCTCTTGTAGGTTTCACTTAGCAATGACGTACATCCTTAACACTATGTTTCACGTGCAAAAAAAAAAAAAAAATTGGTTGTTTATGTTTGAGTAGTCTCAAGTCATTATTAATGGTTATGCTGTACGGTGTACGCTTGAAAAACAAATAAATTAACAACTAAAAAAAATTTACCCAAGCAATGTTGCTGAGCGAAGCAGTGTGAACACAGCTCGGCAGAGCAATTATACCAACTAATCTGTTTGCATAGCAGCAGTATGGCCTCATCACCGAAACAGCTGATTCCACTGTCCTGCTGATTTATCGTTAATCCAGCTTGCGGTCCTACTAAAAATTTTAACACTAAGTTTTTAAGTAATTATGTGTTTTTTAAGTATTTTCCGTTCTAAGAAATAAGAATCAATTAAATTATTATCCTGCCACCGTTATCGCATATTTCAGGTGAAAGGAAAGCCAGAAAATGCCGGAGCCGCGCAGTCCGATGGCTAGTTTCGCCGAGTCGGTGCTCAATGTCATCGATGGACCCATAACATGGTTCCGTGGTACGTAATCTTCAAGGATTGCCTTCCCTTAAGGGCCTGGGAGTTTCCAGATTCAGTTTAAATAAGTTTCCTTTGACCAGCGAACGGAAAAAGTGGAAAAAACTCCAGGCAATTACATAATGACATAACCTCAATACTCAGGGCATTTGTTTTTGTTTACACTGCATTGCTAATGCTAAAATTGATAATGCTAAATTTTAAATTGTGTTGTGGTTTTACCAGGATATGGTTTTAATATTAAGAAAAAATTCCCGCAATAAAACGTACACAGTTAAAAAATAAATACGAAGAGCGATGAAGATATATTTTAAATTCCGAATGTTTTTGATATTTGAGTACCTGTCGCTAGTGCTATTAATGTTAATTAATGTTATTTATATTAAAATGATTATTCTTTAAAAAATAATTTATAAATACTTTCAGAGAGCATTGTGGAGCCTAACCAGCAGAAGCAGAACTGGTACCACCAGCGTTTCCGCCGTGTTCCGACAATCGATCAGTGCTATACGGACGATGCAGTCTGCCGATTCGAGGCCGATCAGCAGTTCCGCCGGGATCGCATGGTTGACAACGAGATCGTGAACATTCTGCGCCAGCGCTTTGAGGATTGTACCCTCTACGAGGCCCCCGATCACATTGTTAAGTGCAAGCCGCTGCTGGAACAGTACGAGAAGGCCACCGAGAACTGGTTTATCAAGTGTAAGTGGAATTCTTATGTTTCAAAAATAAAACACCAACTCACCAAAATCATTTCTTTTCAGATGGCGACTTGGGAGGCTATGCCAATGCCAAGACCGCTTATATGAAGCAGAAGCATCGCCTGATCTGGGAGCGTCGTCACGGGCCCGTGGGCAGTGGCATGAAGGAGGAGGCCGCTCATTAAAATCTGCTTTTATGTGCCCAAAGTGCCGATCTGAGCTGATGTTTTCTAGTTTCATTATCCGTTATAACTAAATATACATGCCCTGAAATCGTAATCCCAAGGATGTGTAAGACTTTGTTTCTGTGAAAGCTACATATATCACCTAGTAGAGTAGAAGGGTGTAAGAGGAACTTACCATACATTCCTCATCAGAATTATTAGACCAATTGATGAGGCCATGTCTGTTCTAATAAAAGTGGAAATTAAAGCCATTTGTGTATTCTTTTTATACATCAGTTAAGTCATTCTTTTAATTAAAATAATTATATTTTTTGATAAAATGTTAGCTAACTTAAACACTATTTCAGACAATAAATTCTCAATAGGGAAACAGTCGTGAACGTTTATTAGGCCTGTCTTCAGTTCGTAAAATGTATTATTTTGTATGCGATTTAATTAAGTTTTCAGCAATATTCAATGCATTCGTGAAAATTTCATTACAGAGCTAGCCATTATAATATTTAAAGGTAATTGTGTAAAGGTCTTTCTTTTTCTAAAATTCAACTAATAATTTCTGAGTTCAGCTAATCGAAACTAGTGGCTTGTTCATGAGACTCTTTTTGAGCTTGGCTAGAGCACTATTTCCGGCCTTACCATCTCCTGGTTTCTTGTCCTTATTTTTAGGGCCCAAGGGAATCATTGTTGTATCTATCAGCTTGCGCCGGAAGCCTTTGTAGAACTGCAGCACCTGAGGATTGGCCCACACTTGCTTGGCGTCAAAGTCCAGAATTCTAATGGACTGAAGGGACTTGGCCCGGGATAGGGCCACGTAAGCCTGGCCAGCCTCAAATACTTTTGACAGGGACATCTCCACGCAATCGAGTGTTAGGCCTTGACTTTTGTGTATTGAAAATGCCCAGGCTAATTTCAATGGAACCTGGCGACGTGTGACGAGACTACCTGTGGCGGTTTTGATGATCCACTTCTCGTGCTTGCACACATATTCCTGGTTGTTTTTAAATCTAACTACTGGTAGATCCTTATCCATTCTAACAACTACTCCACGAGCTCCATTTACAAGACCATTGGCTATGTTAATATTTTTGAGCAGCATCACTTGGGCGTTTATCTTAAGGTATAATTGAGAGGGAGCCTGAACCTGTTGATCTAATGTCTTGGTCATGCCTGCATCAGAATCCTCAGACTTGAATAAAACCTTATCTCCCTGAAGGTTTTCCAACTTGGACTCGTTAATGGAGTTAGCATCGTTTGTGTGGGAGCAGAGTTGAGTGGCCAAAATGCCATTTCCCTCGATTTTCTGCTTGGAAGTGGCTGTCAGTCGATTAGTTATGGAATCATTTACATGTCCAATTCGAAGGTGATTCAGAATCTTTACAAACTCTGGATCCGATTGTCGATGCACTTGCTTCAGTTCGAAGACACACTGGATGCAGGTTTCCCAGGCGCTGGACTGGAAGCAGAAGCGCTGTTGGGGCGTCGCAGTGGGCCCTGCTCCGACATCCGACTTAATAACTGGAGGAAGTTGAAGGAAATCGCCACAGAGGATCAGCTGGATGCCGCCGAAAGGACGATCATTGCGACGAATGTGACGGGCAACGGCTTCGATTTTCTGTGTAGAGATAAATTAAAGAATAAAGACGATTAATTTGGTAGAGAACGCCCTAAAGGTATAAAATGAAGCTTTGTTTTTTTACCTAACCGATTTAAAACTAAAGAAATACCTCAAAGAACTGTCCGTCCACCATAGAGATCTCATCAATAATCAGTCGCTTGCACTTCCTCCAGGTTTGGGCACTTACGGGTCTGGAGGCCAGCTCCAAACACCTTTGCATTGTGGCGTCTCCTCCTCCTATTCCCGCAAAGGCATGCAAAGTGGTGCCACCAATCAAGCATGCTGCCACTCCTGTAGAGGCTGTTGCCACTGTTCCATCAGGCGGCAAGGCCGATATGATTCTTCGAAGCAGAAAACTCTTGCCAGTGCCCGCAGAGCCGGTGAAGAATACATTTTTTCCTGAGGTACAGGCCCGCAGAACCTCCATTTGCTCCTCACTCAGCCTTAGGGACTCATCGGTGGCCGTTTGATATAGTTTCTTAGCTGCTGGCATGCTGCTCTTGTCCCTCTCTTCCTTGAGCTCATCGAATCTTCGTTTTTTGGCGCCCTGAGGCGACGGAGTGGTCACCGACCCTTTGGACAGCAAACCCGCCCTTTTTGCGCGCCAAAATCATCTCAGCCGTAGTGACCGGAGAAACATCTTCAAAGCTGCTGGGTTTTCCAGACAGCAAATGCTCGCGAAGTTTTTTCTGCAAGGAGGCATCATCCGGCTGAGATCCTCCTTCGGTTCCGTTCATTTTAATAAATATCGTCCTCAGGAAGAACATAAGAGTGCCCGGCGGAGCATTGGACAAGTATATGGTGCAGTTCTCCGCCTTAAAGTTAAAGGTGGCCTTGCCTTCGGACATGAACTTCTTGTGCACCATGAGATCCTTTAGTTTGAACTTGAGCGGCTTTAATTTCTCCGGCGTCACCTCCACAAACAATTCCCGCAGATCATTCCGCACAAGACGCAAAGTGGCCGTTTTGTAGGCCAGTTTTCGACCCGTAATGCCTACAGAATTGGTCCACTGCATGTTCACCGCACACGTGAGCACTGCGTCATTGATATCCATAGTCGTATTACCTTGGGTTTAGTCAGTTCTAATTTAAATCAAAGTTTAAAATTTAAAAAACTCAAACACACTTCCATGCGCTTGATAGCCGATTGTCCAAGCGACATTAGAGTGAAAACGATCGATATCACTTAGAGTGCGTTGTGTGACCGCAAGTTGATCGTGCAAAAATATCGTATAAACATTGCAATCCTTCAGATAGCTAAGTTACTTTCCAATTGGATATATTCGTTGACGGATATCTAAGTTCCTTTCCAGTTAGTTAAGTTCTTTTTTAGCTGGGACTCAAGCCCCATTTCATTTTACATTTGAATGTCAAACTGTGTGTAATGGGTAGGCCACGAATACTAATTCATTGTATATAAAGTAAACTAATATTCATTTAGATTGGAGCTACATTAACTGAAGAGCGCTATGAATGTGGATCTGAAATTCATTGTGCGCCTTCTGCTGGCTGTCCTTTTCTGTTCCTTAATATCCACGATTTTAATGGGCAACCAGATACACAGAAGAATAGTGGATACCGTGGTGGACAAAATAAATCAAAAGGAAGTTGGTCCTAAAACAACAAGGCAGCTATCAAATAGACAGATTCCTCGGGAAATTTCCTCACATATAGCATCCTTATCCCAAAATGAACTGGATGTTTTGAAAATCCAGCGACATGTAAAGTTTAGTTTACCAAAACAAGAAGCTGTCAAGAATTGGCACGATCCACTCTCTATGAATAATGATAAAGTTAGAATAGGATTAGGTGAGCAGGGAACCCCCGCTGAATTACCAAATGCCAAAGAAATGGATGTGATGGGCACCTATTATGGAGACCATGGTTTCAATGCCAAACTCTCCGATCACATTTCATTAAAAAGAGCCTTGCCGGATATCAGACCTTTGGGGTGAGTTCTTAGACATATAAAAGAGCTTTCATTAAATTTAACAGAGTTTAATTAACCTCAGGTGCCATAATCAAAAGTATTTACAGAGGCTACCCAACGTGACTGTCATTATCGCTTTTCATAATGAACGCCTCAGCGTGCTGCTAAGATCAGTAACTAGCATTATTAACCGCTCTCCTCCGGAGCTGCTTAAGCAGATTGTCCTCGTTGATGGTGATAGTGAGCTAATGGACTTGGGACCAGATCTAGAGGACTTTGTGGCACCGCACTCCAAACTAATCAAGATACTGAGACTTACAGGGCGACATGGCCTCAGTAAGGCGAGGGTAGAAGGAGCCAAAATTGCCACCTGTCAAGTTTTGGTCTTTCTGGATTCCCACATCGAAGTCAATACTAATTGGGTTGGTACTCGAATCCAAATTCAAATTTATTAATAATTTATTTCATTGTTTAGCTACCTCCCCTGTTGGAACCTATAGTTGTAAATCGGAATATAGTCACCGGTCCCATTTTGGACAAAATCTCAGACAAGACTTTTGAGTACACGAAGTCTAACTCTCTGACCCGTTCCGGATTTAATTGGTTACTTAAGGTTAAGGAACTACCAGTTTTTCCCGAGGATGAAGACCTTGGTTTTGCGCCGTACCGCACCCCTCTGTTAGTAGGCCCAATGGCCATCGATAAGAACTTCTTCTGGAATCTTGGCGGTTATGATGAAGGGCAGTTCGAGATGAGTTTTAAGATTTGGATGTGTGGCGGTATGTCACTATACGTTCCCTGCTCCCGAGTGGGTCACATAAACAAAGCACCAGTGCTACCGAAGTCGAGACAACGGAATTACAATAGTCTGGCCAGGGTGAGTGAGGAATCCCATATTGAATATCCCAATTCCATACAAAAATCTTACCTAGAACAACAAACGAGTGGCTGAGGTGTGGATGGATGAGTACAAGAAACACCTTTACGACTCAAACCCCGAACTTTATAAGAAAACAAACCCAGGATCCCTAACCAAATTAAAAACCCTAAGAAAGACCTTGAAATGCAAGTCCTTTGATTGGTACATGAACAAAGTGGCTCCAGACTTCCTAGAAAAATATCCTGTTGTCGATCTACCGATCATTTTCTCGGGAGCCATCGAAAGTGTTGCCTTTCCCGGCTTCTGCGTGGACTCTCTGGATCGAAAACACAAGAAACCAGTGGTCCTCTCCCGCTGCACAGGGAATAGTACGAATCCTTCGGAGTTTCAAAACTGGTTCCTAACACGAAACTATGAGATTCGACTGACCAAGAGTAAAGATGATTGCCTGGAAGCTCAGGGCATTAAAACAAAGTCTGTGTGGCTCTTTCACTGCCACGGCTACGGTGGAAATCAGTACTGGTTGTACAACCGCCGCTATCAGTGGTTCCAGCAGGGCCAAATGTGGGTATGGTGCCTGGAGGCCAATTTGACCATCGGTCAGGAAGTTGGCCAGGTGCTATCCAATAATGTTTGCAATGAAAACAATGCAAAGCAGCAGTGGAAGCTGGGAAAAGTCCAGTTTCTAAGAGATTAATTTAAATATTAATAAACCAATAAAAAAATATTCAAACATTTTGTAACATTTGAAAACAGCGATTTTAAGCACTTTAAGTAATCTGAATTTCCAGGGCTTCGACGTTTTTTTCAATACATACCTCTAGTTCCGAAAATACCTTAGTAGATGTCGCCACCGTAACGCGCGCTTCGGTAATTTGAATTCGCATGCGGAGATGTTTAGTTTGTTATTGTTCTTCTCGCCCGACTTTTTCTCAGGTGAGTGCGGGTCTGCTTCTTACACGTCACCGGGCAGCCGACTAGTCTGCCACTGATTGATAGTGGAGAAGTGTGTTTTTGGCCAACCGAAAATCGAACTTACTCCGTCGCCTTATCGCCGAATTTCCTCACTCCATTTGCGAGGTTCCCAATTACACTAATGGCTGTGCTTTTTTGCCAGGTGTCACCAGACTGCCAGGTAGGTGCTCCTCCGCTGCACCGCCATGCGAGCAGTCAGCGCTTTGGACTTCCGCCGGCAAGACGTCCATATGGCCATGAAGAAAAGATATGTGAAGCGCCTCGTGCGCAAGGTGATCCTGTATTTGATGGTCATCGTCACCGTTTCCCTGGTCACCACTATGATAGTCGAGCGGCGGATGCGAAAGTCCGAGGAAGCGGAAGAAAAACTCGACCCGAATGGGGATCCTATAACGCCCGTTTTCAGGGCTGCTAATATACATCCCACCCGGAAGGCCCCACGGCCTCCGTATCAGGATCGCAACTCAGTAGTCGAGCTGCCCAAAAGTGAGAAGCGTCAGGGTTTCCAGCTTCCGGAACCGAAAGGAGAGCGCAAGGATTGGCACGACTACGCTGCCATGGAAGCGGATAGAAAGCGAACCGGGTTAGGTGAGCACGGAGAAGCTGGAAAAATCGAAAATCCCGAAGAAAAGCATCTGGAAACCGAGATCTACGAGATGAACGGCTTCAACGGCCTCTTGTCTGATCGAATCTCCGTGAATCGATCTGTGCCGGATGTCAGACTTGAGGCGTGAGTATATCCCTAGAAAAGTATTTCCAGATAGGTATTGTATAACTCTCTCTATATCTCTGTAGGTGTAAGTCCCGGAAGTACTTGGCAAAGTTACCCGACATCAGTGTGGTCTTTATCTTCTTCAACGAGCACTTCAATACCTTGCTGAGATCCATCTATAGTGTAATAAATCGCACTCCACCGGAATTACTGAAGCAAATTGTCCTCGTGGACGATGGTAGCGAGTGGGAGAACTTAAAGAAGCCCTTAGATGATTACGTGGAGAAACATTTTCCGCATCTAGTCACCGTAGTTCGAAATCCGGAGAGACGAGGGCTGATTGGAGCGAGAATAGCAGGAGCCAAAGTGGCCATCGGGAAAGTAATGGTCTTCTTTGACTCTCACATCGAAGTTAACTACAATTGGGTAAGGTGTAGTCTTTAGATACTTTAGTTTCAAATTATATTACGAACTCTAAACTTTTCAGCTTCCTCCCTTAATCGAACCGATTGCCATTAATCCAAAGATCTCCACGTGCCCCATTGTGGATGTCATCATGCATGGTGACTTCTCTTATTCAGGTGGATATCAGACAGGAGCTCGAGGCGGTTTCGATTGGAAATTTTACTATAAACAATTGCCTGTTCTACCCGAGGATGCTGCGGACAATTCCATGCCCTACCGAAGTCCCGTGATGATGGGCGGTTTGTTTCGCCATCAACACGGACTTCTTCTGGAACCTTGGTGGCTATGACGATCAGTTGGACATATGGGGCGGGGAGCAGTACGAGTTGAGCTTTAAGATCTGGATGTGTGGCGGCATGCTGCTGGATGTTCCCTGCTCCAGGGTAGCGCACATTTTCCGAGGACCCATGAAACCAAGGGGCAATCCAAGGGGACACAACTTTGTGGCCAAGGTGGGGTGTACTTATCTGAATCAAGATAATATGTTAATATTACGTTTTTTAGAACCATAAACGAGTGGCGGAGGTTTGGATGGATGAGTATAAGGAATATGTGTACACCCGAGATCCGGAGACCTACAAAAACCTGGATGCCGGAGATCTGACTCGCCAGAAAGCAATTAGGGAGCAGCTGAAGTGTAAGAGCTTCCACTGGTACATGACGGAGGTGGCTGCCGACTTTCTCGAAAAATTCCCGCCTGTAGAGCCACCATCCTATGCCTCCGGCGCCATTCAAAACTTGGCCAATCCGATTTACTGCCTGGATAACATGGGCAACGAAAAAGATGCGGCGGTGGGAATGTTCAGCTGTGCGGATAACAAAACCCATCCCCAACACAATCAGTTCTGGGAGCTCTCCATCCATCGAGATCTGAGAATGAAGAATTTCGAATCAGTGTGCCTGGATGCCCATGAGCCACTGCCCAATACCACCGTTTGGTTGTGGAACTGCCACAGCCAGGGTGGCAACCAGTTTTGGTACTACGACAGGGATAACCAGTGGTTGGTCCACGGAGAAAGTGGCGACCGCTGCTTGGAGGGATTTGTAGAGAACGGCAATGCCAAAGTCGTCCTCAATCGCTGCGAAAGGAACAACGATCGCCAGCGCTGGCAGTTCGGATTCGTGAACCACACCATGATGGACGATTTCTACAAGGGATTGAAGTAGTCATCTTTTTAAAATAAACCACTCCCTTTTAAGTAACTACAGCCACATGTCGATCGGATAAGTTCGGAGACCTCGATCGTCACGGGTTTAGTTCATTGATCGTTGTGAAGGTTTCAGAAAAAGTTCGCCAAGTAAATTCCATTTTTCCATTAATTCTTGCCCCATGCATTATTGATATACATATGGTAGCGGAAAGTGAAAGATCTGGACGGTCAGATCGCAATCGGACCGAAGATTCTGTCCGATCGGAAGCCACAAATTCAGCTCTTTATTTGCGGTCTATACACTGTCTTTAGGTATTAACAATTTGAAGAGATATAAATTAAATTTTCGAAAATGAAACAGACTTGAATGTTAATAAATGTGTATAAAACTATCAAATCCGTGGGTATAGGTATAATACTTTGTAATTATTATATTTTTTTTATTTTTCAGATAGAGCATCTAAAACTGTCTGTGGCATCCCATTTCTCATGATTACATTTTTCGACTGTCGCAAACCTTATCGCCGGGGCTGTTGAACTTTCTACAAAAGAGAAAGAGGAGTCGAGAAGTGGTGGCAGACGGCAGATGGCAGATAGACTAGAGGAGTTCCCATCCCTCTGGAGTCTCGGAACCCCTCGAATCCAGACTCTTTGCTTAGCTGATGTAATTTAAGACGCAAATTACGCGATTGTCCCAGGAGAGGACGAAGATCGAAGATCCCTGAATGAGCAGGCAATGACTTAGCGTCAAGCTGTCTCGATCTGGGTTGGCTTTATCCTTATCTATGCAGGTCATTATCTTCCAGACATAAGCACATGCTAATTTATAGACAGCGTGCTGTTGTTTTGGTTATTTCCTCTGATTTTTTCTCAGCCTTTTTTCATATTTTGTGAATAAACAAAGTCAAATGATTTGATTTTTTGGCCAACGCGACGTCGATGCCGCTTCTCATCCGAATTCACAGAATGTGGGTCATCGACGTCAACAGAGATGCGGGATGTGATCGATGTGGGTCTTTTCAGCGTCTAGAGATGCCCTCTTTGAAGGCAGTTGGTCTTGTTAGGAGGGGTTTTGTTAATGCAATAATCTTGATACTTGCTTAAAGTTTCTATATTATAGATGATTATGCAATATTTTCTTGGAAACTTATTTACTACCAAATATCATACATTTAGTTTCCATTTTAAGTATCCAATGGCTGTAGTAATGATGGCGCCTATGGGAAATGTTTAGTTCTGTCCCTATCTTGACGTTTGAATATTTTAAAATTTATAATCTCAGATTATTATTCCACAAGTCGTTCTCGTTGACTTCGCTTGTCGTAACCTATAGAGCATCCACATATCGTTAGCCCGCCGTTTATTTGTTTACGCTCTTCGTTATATTCGCCATAGCCGAAAAATAAAAACAAGTTGGTTCGTCGGGCTCATTCACAACTATCGCAGACTCGTTTAGAAATAGATCCCACGAGTGGTAATGACCCACCGCGTAGCACGCAAGCGGATGGTGCAATTTCATCAGCCACCCCGAAAACGGATTTCATCCGAATTTCACTATATGTCACCTCTGCCCGGCGGAGAGAAGGCACACCCCTCCGGCGCTTAGAGAACCGGCTAAGAATATTTCAAGACGCATTTTCACTTGGCTGCAACGCAATAGGAAAACTTACTGCCATCTCTTTCTGGGCGACTATCTGCTTCTCTCTCTGCGCAGGTACTTTGTATCTGATGAAACCGAAAGCGAAATCCGAACTGGTTCTTCGAGGGTTGATAAGCCCTAATGGCAGTGGAAGTGGCAGAGAAGAGCCCGTCTCTCACCCAAAAAATGTATAAACATATCTCCCGGCACGTAGGGCGGTTTAATGCTGTGGACTACGTGCTAGATGACACGGCATAATTCTCAGCGATTTTTAGGTTCTCGCTCCCTTGTTTACCGTTTGCTTTTTGGGGGTCAGTTGGCACTTAGCTAACTCCACCCCCTAACATGTAATTGATGGATGTGGGTCACGCTTTCCTTACATACTTATGGAAATCTTTCAAGGTCTGCAAAGCTTTCCCTGTTTATCCATCATAAATATTAGCACGCTTAAGTGTTGACCTTGTGCGGATTTCTAGGTGGGCGCCACCTCTTGTCCCACATCGAGATCGTTGTAGATCAACACACGTGGCCACCTTACGTTAACCCCACATCCCTCAAGGTGGCCCGTGGCCAAAAGCGAATTACGTCGAATCGTGGGCGCCGACGCAAGCAAAAGTTCCTTTGCCACTATTTACATGCGTCCAACGATTAAAAATCGTCAACATCGCCCCCGCATGGCGAAACTGCTCGTGCCTCCTCTTAGGAGCACCCTGTCATTGCTACGATCAGTGGGTATATCAGTTATATCGAATCTTACCTACCTTAACCTTAACTCAGAAACTGTTGGGAATGCGTGCCCCAAGAAGAATAGGGTTAGATATTAGTCTTATAAGTTTAACATATAGTAAAGGTATGTCAACAGATACTTGTTTAAGTTTTAGGATAATACCTCAGGCAGTGCTATCGTAATGGTTCATTAAATGGATGTCTTCAACTTAATTACGTTTTAGCTTTCTTTGCATTGCCTTGTAATTTTAGAATTAAACAAAAACAATTTCATAGACTTGTTTTACCATAGCAAAGCATATTTCTTTCCTGCATACCTTTTAACTTTCTCTGTTACTTATTTTTAAACGTTGAATGCCTCTGAAAAACCAACTACTGAGTATCTCGTAGCCGAAAACCCCCTGTAAATAATCGAACTCTGAATTTATATGCTCTCTGAGTACGAGCATGCATGGGAATACACTGAGAACCTACGTCAACGTTTGCCGGCGACGTGTCGTTATGCTAATTGATAGAATTTCGTGAAAATGAGTGCAAAATAATGGCCGCATGGAGGGCAGGCAGTGCTTCCCGAAATTCCCCGGAACACCTACAGAGATCCATTGATAACATCTCACTTGCACCTGAGTCATCACATTTCCCCAGCAAGATCGATAATAGAGGTTTTTTCAGAAAAGAATGCGATTGCCGTTTTGTATTGCTGGCCAACTTGTTTACCAATAATATTGCCGTGCATTAAACAATAACAAATGGCTAAAGATAAACAAGAGCTCAAGGCGAGAAGCCCCTCAAGACACCCAACCCCCGCTCCCCCGGCAATCTTCGGAAACGTCTGAGGTGTGCAGCGGTCTCTCGTCTGCTGTGCAACAACAACAGCAAGAACAACAACAAAGGGGTTATTAGAATAAGGCAAAAACAAGAAGAGCACCCGGTTTGGTTTGTCATAAACTACGCAGAAAATACACCCAGATAAAAACAAAAACATCAGCCGACCAAGCGGAATAATCAGGCGAGTGAGAGAGAGAGAGTACCCTGACAACCGCCCAGAAGGGGAGAGAGCATAGCTGCGCGTGAGCGTAAGAACCAGAGGGGTATAAATACAGCCCGCCGTCGTGATACCGCCAGCAATCGCCTAGCGAACAGCCAACGGTCGACATATAGAAGCCATACAGCGCAGCTCAACAGCTGATAAACAGAATACAAACAACGCAGTTTGTGTAAACAATCAAATTGTCGCAGCCATATCGAGTGTGCTTACAAGTCCAGCGGAAAGTTTTCACAGTTCCATAAAAACACCAAACAATCAATCAGCAAACATGTCTGCTTCCCCGACCGCCCGTCAAGCCATCAGCCAGGCTCTGCCCATGATCACCAGGAAGATTGTCATCACGGACCCGATCCAGATGCCCGAGGTCTACTCCTCGACACCCGGCGGAACCGTCTACTCCACCACTCCTGGAGGTAAGTTTCAAACAGCGGCAATTGAAATTACATTTCAGTTACCTGATGATATTCAGACTGCAAATTTAATCTTACAAGTTTACAAACTAAATTTCCCTCTGAAATGTTAAACGATAAGATATAGTGAGCAAAAACTATGATGAACCATTGACAGTAGTGCCAAACAAATCGATATTCCACTTAAAAAGTAAACAAGATATCTAAAATTCATAACAAGTCCCAAGCAACTGAAGGTTTTTCCATCTTCATTCAAACAAAAACAAGCTTTTGTTTAAAGATTTAATTAACCATAATTCACGCTTATTTTTAAATACCTCACTCACCTTTTTTCGGCTGATTAAACCTGGCCATCTCCCTGAATCAGTCAGTTGGCTGACAATCCGGAGCACATGTGCTCGGGGTTCGTGACTCACTATCACCGCCGAGAAATGTGTACGCAGCTGTCTTATCAGCTTTGGGGAACTTTGAATACCTTTCTGATGCAACGCAGACACCCTGACTAATCAGCACTTCCACCTTTCTTATCATTCCAGGCACTAAACTGATCTACGAGCGGGCCTTCATGAAGAATCTGCGTGGCTCGCCCCTGAGCCAAACGCCCCCTTCGAATGTGCCCAGCTGCCTGCTGAGGGGCACTCCCCGTACCCCCTTTCGCAAGTGTGTGCCAGTGCCCACGGAGCTGGTGAAGCAAACCAAGTCCCTGAAGATCGAGGATCAGGAACAGTTCCAACTGGATCTGTAGGGGACTTGTCCCTAGTCTCACCAAGCAGCAACTGCCAAAATCATTTAGCCATTAGACAACACCCACTAAACCCGATCTTATAAGCTTAGAGTGCATCGTTTTAGCCATACCCATTACTAGATGCTAAGTTCTTAGTTCTTCCACGTCGTTTTGTTCTTTCGGTCATATTGACTTAGTAACTTGTAAATCTCTAGATGTTAAGTAAAAAACAATAAAAAATACGCATTATTTAAAGAGAGTAATAATTATAATGAAATTAATTACTATCAATATCGTACTTTAATGATACATTATTATTTATGTTGATTTCGAAATTACTTTCTTTATCAGCGAATGAACCTTGGGAGGCCACGCGTGCGATAGAACACTTTCCACTTCACCTTGAGTCAGTTTCGGTTTAATATTATTTTTGGCAGTTTGTTGAACAGTTTGAAGAGAAATATTGTGAAGGGGGTTTGTGGAGGGGGAGGATTATACATAGACGGCTGGAAATACCGGCCGGCTTTTTAGTTAGCCAGTCAGTGGCCCCAGCAGCGCGTGTCCCAGTTATCGGATATATACTATATATGTGTGTACAGGCCAAACAAAAGATCAACAACGCGTTTGTGTATATCTAAAAACCGGCAAACAAGCCCAACAAAAAATAGATCTTTGAAACTGCGCAGTTAGGAAACGACCCCGCCTTGGCCCCTTGGCTACTACTTCCCTAGAAGTCAAAAGTATTATGCCAAGCACATGTTCAGATAGACCGATCCCTACAATAGCAGCAACCACACTATATTCTACTCTGATCCCGGCACGTTCCAGCGTCATTTGAATATTGCGCATGAATAATTACTTAATGGCAAACAGGCGCTGAAAAAGTGTTTGCTCAGCCGAGATTTAGCATCGCAGTGCAAAAATTAAAGCACACGAGATAGTACAAATAGTGCTACGCATGCAGATTCTGTGTGATCTCAGATGTTTACCGAGTTATAAATATAAAGCAATCAATTAAATTCAATTAGTAAACTACGCCAGCCAGTCAAACGCGAAAGTTCATCCCATTTACATTTTAAATTATTCTGAATTCGAATTGAATTAACAAATATCGAAATGATTTACAAGCAATAACAAAATGAATTTAAAAATTTCATTATTCCGAGTTCTATTTAAATATAGAAATCTAGAAAGGGCTAATTCAGTTTTAATATATCTAGCAATCATATTAAACATTTGTTAAGTAAATTAGTAAATTATAAGCATGAAAGTATTTGAATTTTCGCGGTATCTGCTTTAGTATTTTTTTGTGCTGCTAAAAATTATAGCCTGCTTTTGTGCGAAAAGGTAAAATTATGAATAGTACCTCTAGTGACCGATTTTACACACCTTTCGCTATATTTTAATAACAATCCTACTGATTTGTAACCATATTTGTATTTATTTGATCAAGTTTCGATGTTTCGCATAGGACAAATGTACAAGAATCTCAAATAGTTTAAGCAAGCTTACGGTCTACACAAACAAGAAGGTGCTTTAATTACATATTTACAATACAATATACATATTTCAATAGATATAGATGTGGATGTGTGAGTGGGTAAGGAGGGTAGCCTCTCTACTTAAATCTCAGCAGGTTGTCCACTCCCCCCAAGGCACCATGACCGAAGTGCAGGGCATCCGAAGTGGATTCCGACCGGGTGCGTGCATCCAGGACAGAAGCCACTCGCTGTTGACCACTGATGTAACCCAGCGATCCGGAGCCCAGGTATACATTTCCGTTGGGCAAGCGCACAAAGCCCAGTCCTCCCGAACCCAGGGCAATGGCGTCTCCTCCTTGGACTCCTCCCTGAGATCTGGGCTGGATGGAGAGTTGCTGTTGCTCCAGCAGCAGGGCGTTGGCCCGAGAATCTATTTGGATTCCGTTCGCCGCGGGAGCACCTACATGTGCTCCATAGCGATCGAAGAAGCTGGATCCCGCCAAGAAAGGAGATGGTGTCTCGTCTATATCGTTGTCTATAATCTCGATGACGGCATATTGCTTCAGCTGTCTGCCATTGGACACGTAGGACTCTCCGGGAGAAATCAGGGCCTTCTTGCCGAAGGGTATGCGGAGATTTCCGCCTTCGGGCAAGGGAGCTGGACCAGTGGGTGGCACCACAATAGGCGTAGCAATCGTGGGAATGGACGGAGTTATCCTCGCTGGTGGTGGAGGCCCATAAATGGGCTTGAAAGTGGGCGTTCCATGGAAAGTTATAGATGATATAGGGGCTGCCGCTGGCGGTGGAATATAGGTGGACACCACTGGCTTGGGCGGCAGATAATGACTAACGATGTTGGCGGCAGGAGCAGTAGGACGACTCCTGGGAATCGGAACTCTGGCCGTGGGAAGTGGAGGAAGTGCCGGAATAGGTGGCAGCGGATGGATGGTGGGCAGGGCACTGAACTGGTGACCAGTGTATCCAGGTCCAGAAGGCGCCGAAGGTGCTGTGGGTCTAGTAGGTCTGTTGTAATGATAGCCCACGTCGGCTTTGGTGCAGGCCAAAGAGAGGAGCAACAGGCCCAGAATACTCAGTCGGTGGTAAGGCATCTGTAATGGGAATTAGAGGGTATCTTTTCAGGAAGGTGATCAAACTAGTTAAGGGGTAATTAAAAGTGGAAATATAGAGTTGGGTGGGGCAATATTTCTTAGCACACATGTAATTATGTGACATCACATAACCGCTCAATCAATCTAATAAATGTTTAATGAGCAGTCGTAAACATAATTGATTCAAAATCACTCAACTACAGCGGTTGCTGCTGTCTATTAGGTTGTTACTCTATTCATTTAAGGGGTATATTTATTATTTTAATTGTTATCTATGAGCTCAATTCATTATAATAATAAATTCTTATATGGGAAGCTCTTGATTTTGCATTTTAAGTGCGTGATCATTAGGAATTTATCTCTAGTTATGAACCATTTAGTCGATTAACACACTGAAAGAGTATCAACCATTCGCTTCTTGGCCTTCCAACTCCACTCTTTTTGATTTAATTGATTTAATTTCGCAGTACGCCGAGTTAAAAGTAACTGGTTGTGGTTTGCCGGTGGATCGGTGGATTGGTGAATCGTTAAGTTGCTGGATCGAGCTGGCCGCTACTGTAATTGGCGTGATATTTCATGCACAGATCGATGCCCAAGGCGGCGATCATAATGGGAGGCGGTGGCCAGAGGAGAGCCACAAGCTAATTAGCAAATCGGATCGCTAACATCTGCTAGTCACCAGGGGTCTGGGCCCCATTCACTCCACAGTGCCCCCCACAAATCGCCGGCCAATTAAATCAAATCGCTGCACTTAATTGGATATTTATATTCATTCCTCCTATTAACACTTCCCACACAAATAGCCCTCCTTTGAGCCGCATTATCAATCTTCTTGGGCCCACTAAACAAAAGCGAACAGCAAGGCGGGCGGCTTAATGATATTTATCAACAGGCAGTCGCCACCGTTGAGGCAACAACAATGCACTGAGCGAAATCTTGTTAGGTTTTGAGAGATTATGTGTTGGTTTGGCTTTGCAATTTGCAAAATAATATTAAAAAGGGATACTTCTACTACAAATGTTAATTGATATTTGATTAGTTTTTAAATGAAAAAATGAATCAAACTGTTTGTTAAATTTCTCCCTGTGTAGATACAGAAACAAACAAAAACTGGCAGCAGGTTCAAACACAGGGGCCATGGCTGCACAAGGGGGACAGGGGGCGGAAAGGGGGCGTGGGAAGTGTGCAGCCAAGTGGCGTGTGGTCATTGTTGTTGCTTCTACTCCAGTTGTTGTGGCTGCGTGGGCGTTGCTCTGGTGTCAGCTGTGGGTTCAGATCATGCATCGAGCTGTTGCCGGCTCACTTGCCGTTGTTTACATAAAAGGCGTTTAATTAAGTCATTAACAAGGGGCAGATAATAATGCCTGTGATTATGCATGCCAAGTGAAGAGTGAAGGAGTTTGTAAAAGTTGTTAAATTCCTTGTAATTTCATCTTTACAATTCCCTTGCAAGCTTAACCTATTTTCGACTTCAGTAAGAACTAGTTGGTTGCCTAAGTCCTTTGTTTACGTCCCTCCGTTGATGAATAAATCTCGTGGCACGCACAAAGGCTCCCCTTCCCCCTTCGCGAACTCAGCTCAAATAGATTTGTAATAAATTATGCGTTATATGCACCATAATAAATCAATAAGTTGCAGCCATACGCAGTTTTTTGCTGGTCATCGATTTTGCTGTCTTTTTCTATCTTTTTTTCGAGTGCCGAATATATTTTTTGCATACTGCGAAAACGCATTTTTTTTCAGAGCTGCCAGCGTGTGCCAAGCAGACAGGAGGGGTTTTTTTATATTGAAAACGAGGAAAAACTGGTCACAAAAGAGGAGAAAAAGGGGTATAAGTCGAGTTTGGAGGTGACAGCTTAGACAGGGACAGTGCTTGAGCTTTCTTAGGGAAAACAATATCACTTTGGATCAGGGACCAAAAACCCCTTCTCCTCTCGACGCCACTGGACTTGAAAGGCACTTGGCCAACAGGCAAAACGTCAACTTGCGTGTTGTTGGCCACTTCAGACTCAATGAATGAATTGCATTGATTGAACGACTCACGCACCTCGCTTTGGGCCTGGCTGTTTCGGCTCCGGTCCAAATCCACACTGCTCTATAAATTGTATGTGGACTTTCCGCCAGCAGGGAAAGGGGCAGGAGTGGGTGGTGGAAAGCGGGCGGGAAAAGTGTGTCAATGCGGCTTGGACTCGCTTTGATTTTTTGATAACTTTTGCGTGGCACATTTCGGATGATATTGCATCACCGAAACTGTGGCGCGCTCTTATTTCTTAGACCAGCGGAAATTAGATTTCTGGCCAATCGGTTAATTAAAATCCTTTGGCCACGCCAGTTGACCGCGATTTTCCCACTCACTTTTGGCCGAGAGCCAAAGGCTAAGAAGTTGTGTCCATAAAAAGTATCCAGTGCGTTGCATATTAAGTTACTGCGATCCAGTAGCCAGGATGTCACGTTATGGCTGCCTCCTCCTCCCTGGAAGTTGTGCAATGTCCATGCTCCAATCTGTATATATTTTTTGGGTTTTTCGGATTAGCCGAGGGGCGTTTTGTTTGGGTTTTCGCATTGCGTCTAAACTGGTTCTATAAACTGGTATCAATTGGCATCGCTACTTAAAAATCTCGGGATGATGGAGCAGGGCCGGAATGCGGATCGGTTATTGCATCGAGGGGGCAGCTAACACAGTCGCCAGCACATTAATCACTCAGCTGTACATCCTTCTACCAGCGATTTACACGCCGAAAATGAGCATGCCCAGACCGAGTGGACATATCATGACAAATGTTGCGTATGCGCCTCGTTGGCCGACTCAGAGACGTGAAAGGAACTCTGTTGGAGCCGCTTGAAGGTGGAATACACTTACTAATGGCTATTGATTGGGTTATTGATTGGCAAACAAATTGAAAATAATAAAAAATTAGTAAATTACTATCTGCATATCTTCCGCAAAATAAATAATTAAGTTTCGGTTATTAAATGTGAGTCTTAAATATTCCTTCCTACGTAACTCCAAGATAGTATCACATTAGATAAATCATCGTCTTATTTCCCCATAAAAAAAACCCATTAACCATCCTAAGGCCATCCCCTCCTTGAGATCACCTAGCCCCAATCGTTTAGGGTACTCAGAAAAAAGTTATCAAATCGAACGACAAGTTTTTAATTACCAGCACAGCACAGCACGGCAAAGCACTTTCAAATGCGTAAACTAGTTGTCTGCCAGACAGTCGGACCATTGCAGATTTCAATTAAAAATCTCTGAAACTCCAGACATCGAAGCCAGCACACACAGTGTCTGGCACTCGAAAACAGAGTCCAAGACCGAGATCCAACGACATGGCCCGATTAGGGTGTGTCGCTGAGTATCTCCCTCTGATGAGGCGGCTTTTAGTGGCTTGGACATTCGGGCCTTAGGGGAGATCTCAGATCGCGGATCTGGGTAACTTCGGGGGGAGTCTGGGGGACGCCAGGGTATGGAGGACTTACAAAATTTGCGTAAGTTGCCGGCGCGTAACTCGAGCGCTGCCTTTCCAAATGGCTTCAAATCTGGCCACGCAATCTTGACCAGGCTCAAGCGGCGAGCTCTGGCCTCCTTGCTGGCTGGGTTACAGAGAGAGAAAACAGGAAGGGTAGGTAATATACTTATTCCTCTGAAATGTCTTTATAAATTCGAGGGGGTACCTATAATAAGACATTGAAATAGGTATAGTAACTAGGAATGTGGTTCCATTTAAAGTTACAAACTATATTTCTCATTTATCTGTTTTATTTTTTTGTGTACTCTACACCGCACTTGGAAAATTGATTGACTTGAGGCGTTTTTCGACGCATTTTCCTCTTGCGCTTTTCAGCTTTTTTCACGCCAAATGTGGAACGCACTTAAAACGCCGCTAATTGATGTCGTTCGCAGGCAGCGACGCTGTTGCAGGTTGCGCGTTGACGCGGCTAGTTGCAACATCTGTCTGGAATCAAAAGCGATCCTATCTGTGTGGGTCTATCGTGTTCTGGCCCATGCTAATTTAGTCAATCACTCATGGTGGCTTAAATTCTTTGCGCCAATTAAAGCGGGTGTTCGAGCGAGGGTAATTAGACAAAATATTTTTGGCAGCCTAAAGGTGATAAATGGCTTAGAACAGGGGCCATAGATTAGTTTAGTTGGAATTCGTTTATCTTAGTAAAGTAAAACATTCTTCATTGATTAATTAGTAAATTACGAAACCCTCAAAACTTGTAACAAATACTCTGGAATGCTTTACTTTTTAGTCTGAAAGACAATAGAAACCATCAAATACCATTGTTGGCATTGAAAATGTTTTAATTAGAGTTGAACAAGCCGGATCTGTAGCAGTTGGAAAGTTAATCAGTGGAGACAATGAGTTAAGTGGAAGATACTGTTAGATGCAACTACTAGGAGAATTGGGTCAGCCGTGGCTAAGAAAACAGTGGGAAAATCTCATTAAAGAAAAGCATTGAAAGTAAACTTATCGCTAATATTTTCTTTTCATGATTTTAATGGGTTATTATCTATCAAGTCACTTCCCCACCTCAATGTGCAGTTCAAGGCAAACTCGATGTGCTCACACATTTTGCAGCCTTTATTCTTTGCGAAACCGAAATTCTAATCAAAAGCTACGCCTTAGTGGCCAGACCACGCCCACTTGTGCGTTAGCTTGGGCAAGAGCGAATGCAAAACGCAATTTGTAGCTGGACAAGTTGGGCGAAGAGAGGGAGGAACGTTGCCTAATAACTTGCATCAAATGACAGCCGACTTGACCTGGATACCGAAAAGCGAATTAAAAGCATAAACAAGAAGTAACATGTGTATGCTATATAAATGCCAATATAAATGTTTCAATAAGCCGGGACAGGTGCCAACAGCTATGCAAATCTTAGAGCAACAGCAACAGATCGCTGCACAATCGAAGGAAACAGCGATTAAGATCCGGAGATTTTAGATCCGAACAGTGAGCTGAAACTATTAATGAGGGGAGCTGACAGCGAACACAAAAGGCAGATTCAACCCGTTTTCGAATCAAGTTCGTTGCCTCAGTCATTCGTTTTCGGCTGCAGGCTTTGGCATTTTGATAAAGCAATTAAAACGGAATTAAGCCGAAGCCACAAATAAAACTGAGCTGAAATTCATCACGAATGCCAGCGACACTGGACGCTTTATTTTGAAAGGTTCTGCTAATTGCGAAGTTCCAGCAAAAGTGTCAACTACCGAGTACTGAAAGGGGCGGTGTGACCTCCAACACATTCTAACGCCCGCTGACATATCACGAACTTTGTCTGGGAAATGCAAATTGAATTTTGGCTCAGGTAACTTCGCCGATCGATTTGCATAGCACTTATACTCCAAACTCGAATTGAGAAATCGCTGGAAAGAGATTCAGATTCGAAATCGGAATCGGAATCGGAATCGAAAGGGGCATATGCGTGACTGCCTGACTGACTTGAGTAACTCAACCCGACATGAACTCGGTCCACAATCAATATTTTTGCCAATTTGAACTTTTGACTGGCCAACAATAATGGACGCCTCGAGGGAAATGTGAATAATGAATTGGTTTCTTCATAGAAATGTTTTGGATGCTCAATTGGGGAGTTGCAAAATAGTCGAGGGAGTTTCATTAAAAACAATAATCGGTTGGGAAATGCTAAATTTGTAATATCTGTGGCACGCCTAACCTTGGTATTTCCTCAGTTAGTCAGCATATAAGGAAAATATTGCAACTACTTCCAAAGATTATCTGATTCATTGGGAAGGTTCCCTGAACTAAATAAGATCTTCGATGACAGCATCTTTGGGGAAATATTCAATCAACTGCCTAATTAATCAGAGGTCAGTGGGTGGAAACCCTTTCGACAGTTTGAAGATTTTTCCAGTTTTTCAAGCCAATCCCCCGCTGGGCTCAATCAATTTGGAGTTCAATCAGCTTTGCTTTTCCGCGCTCTTCAATTCAATTTGACTTTTCTGATTTGCTGGCCAGTCTTGTAAATACTTTCAATTAATTCGTCGGCCTGCCCTTGTTATTGTTTGCCTTTTGTTTCGATTCGGATTTCGATATTCGATTCACTTACAAGGATTTCACAACAATTGTTTGTTTTCCTGTTGCCGCTGCTGCTGTTGTAATTGAACTTTGAGGCAAGCTGTTTGCTTTGGATAATTTGTAAATTGAACATTTAGCCGGCGAAGATACAAGAGTTACATAATCCGAGGCCCAACTGGGCGACGCCCACCCTTAATGAACTCAAAGTTCAGATCTCGGCCACTCCACATCCCCGTCAGAGGGTAATTAATGTAGGTCTCGAAGGGGGGAACTCAATTAGTAAGTGTCTGTCTCAGGGCCCGTCTTGTGTTTCTGTCGCTGTTTTTGGCTCCGACTCCGACTCGGAGGCTCGGAGGCTGGAGGCTGGAGGCTCGGGTGTCTTGTAAGGTTGTCGGGCAAAATGTCAACGGATTTGTACGCATTTCTAGGTGCAGCCCAGACTTTGGCTTGTGCCTCACCCATGGTTCTGATCTGGCCTGGTCTGGTTTCCTTTTTATATTTATTGATCTTTGTGCAGTGAACTGAGCTCACTTGAATTTCAAATCCATGTTCACCTGCTTCGATTGCCCAGGGGAAGTGTCAGGGCTCTGACTTGATTATGACACATAACTTGTGGGGAAACCGAATTGAATTCAAATAAAAGTCATTTAACTTAGCTTCATTAATTAGCCTTGTTTGATGGCTGCGCTAATAGTGTTAATTAAAACGACCCAAAGATGTGCCTGGCAATAGAACGTCATAAAAATAAAACTCCTTTCAAGTAAAGCGAAGACTGTATACTCTAGAAGCAGCCATTAGCCAAGATTTATGGGTTGAAAGTAGACGTAAAGTACATTCAATTTAGGGTTTTTGGCTTACAGATTTATTGGCGATGAATAGAGGCAGCCAGATGTCTTACATAAATTAAGTTGTTGGCTTTTAGACGATAGTTAAATGTTATAAATAAATCTACTTTGCTGCTTTTAAGTCATAGTTAACAAGAATAAAATGAAAATGGGATTTCAGAGCATTTAAGTTGTGAAATCTCTCGGGATTTCTGGGAAAAACTTAAACGAAAAGATGTTATATCAAACTACAAACTACATGATTTCATTTGAATAAATTTTGAAATGGCTAAGAGATTGTAAAAGTAAATATGCAACTCATTGGCCTGCCTTTAACTTTAATTTAAAGAGGAGAAGCAAATGTGTTAAGTCAAACACTACTTTAAAACCCAATAAATTCTTGGCCATAAAACGTATACTTAAGAAGCTCCGGATTAGCCTTGATCGGTGATAAATATCAGGGGATAGCATCACGCACTTGACCTTGGCTTTGGCTTTGGCAAACAACTATCGAGAATAGCATTTGGCTAGTTCCAGGTCTTCTTTTCAGCATTTCCATTTGCTTTTCTAGTTTCGCTTTTTCATTGCAATTAAAAGTCGTGGGAATGAAATTTGCATATGCAAATCTGATGATGGAATACAGTGCGAGATTCGCAAACTTTTTGCTTTGCTTTGGCTTCGCCAAATTTTTTGTTTTTGCCAATGACATTGAATGGTTAGTGTGTAACAATTTGCCAAGCTTGTCACTCGCCAGTCGGAAGTCTCGATAGGTGGGGTTTTATGACTTCGAAATGAAAGAGAAATGAGAGGGGGATGATGCTGCCATAAATTCGCCGACTTTTGGTCAATCAATCAAAAGACTTAGGCAACGAACTTGCTTTCAATTCGGTACCGAAAAGGCACTGCTCTGCTGTAACCACATTTGTTTCGACAATCTGTAGCTGCATTGTATTTAAATTTATTCTGTGTCTGATCTTGCTGCTAGTAGGACCCACCACGTAGCCAGGGCAGCTGCAATGCCAATGGCTCTATTTCGGTTTTCATTTCCATTTCGATTTCAAATTCGATTTGGGTTTGAGTTTAAGTTTGGGTCTGGGGGCTGACATTTTCCATTTCAATTCGAGTGAACTTTATCGACAGATGTCTCCTGCCGGTCGCTGCTCACTCAATTAAAATTAATATGCAAATTAGTCTGTCTGCCACTGTGTGACGTCTGTCAGGCTGATTAGAGCGCAATTCGCTGGCAATTTCAATGGCCAATGCAATTCGAATCGAAGCTAATCAAAATAATCTGCAATAAAAAGACACTTGTACTTGTCAGTAGCCAATGAAGTCGGAGTTCCTCTCTTCTGGCCATTGTTGATCCCCTGAAATCCAAAGTTCGTTCTTCACATTACTTAGCACAATTTGAATTCATTATAGCCAGCATATTTCCGCAATGCAAGAGCTTAGCAAAAACTAGGCAAACTGGTATGAATATTAATAAAAGTGAGCCACAGCTAGACTTGAGTTTATCTAGGTGTAGATCCTCTTAAAAAGTCTATAATTTTGTTCGGTGCCATGTTTATGCAATCTCTGACATTTGGCCTATAGAAAGTTCTCTTTGAAAAACAAAGCATAAGCATTAGAGCTGAAAAATGGTTCATAAATAAATAGTTCTATATCAAGTTCTATCGAATTCTAATGAAACGAAAATGAATTTTTAATTTGATAAATGTTCTTTCAATACCTATCAGGCGAAGTTTAATTTATGAAATTCTATTTAAAACAGTTTTTTTATGCTTTGATTTTATTCAATCTCTGACGTTATAATAATAGATAGTTTTTTATAAATAATTCCTGTTAAATTCTTGGTGAAATCATTCTCGGAAACTGGTGCATTATTAAGCAGTGGATTTTATAGAACTTTTAACATTTTTTTCCTTTACCTTATAAAATCTTCTTGTTAGGAACTCCCTAACAAAAATGCTTAAGTATAAAGGACGGATTAATCTGGAAGATTTGTTTTTAATGAATCTTTTGTGAGTCTATTTGGCAATTTTTATGCCCTTGAAGACATTTGGCCCATGAAATGTTCCAACGTCAAAAACATAACACAAAATTTAGCAGAGCCGACGAAATTGCATCATAAATAATCGTTTTATTTGATGCTCAAGAACATTTCGTGCGAAAGCTAATTAATAAACCAACGATCTCGGAAATTTATGCCAAAAACTGGCTCACATACCCCCCGTTCGCTGCTCTTCTTTCCATGGGGCTTCTTACCTTCACTTTCGTTTAGAACTCAATTACGCGTTGTATCCAAATTAGATGTGTTTATTCCGGTTACTGCAAATGAACCTATTTAAGAGCCTTGAGAACGGAGGTTTGAACTAGCCACACACTATATAAAGGATATAGAAGCCTGATCCTTGGCCGCACTTCACTTCCGCGCGATTTACAGTACGTGATTTCAATAGAGGCGTTCGCGACGCTTTCGGTTTGAAGGCGTTTGCTCCACTGAACCACTTTTTATGCAACGCCAAGTAGAAGTAGCCGCCGACTCCGAAAGTCCGCTACTCCGAACATCGGAATAGCCGAGTGCCCGAAGAAACGAAGATACGAAGCGAAGCTCAGCAGGCTTCTCCTCCGCTCGGCTCGGGTTGATGTCTCTGCTGGCTCCGAGGCTTCGAAGATGGGATCCATAGCAGCCGTATAAAGAGACATCTTAGCCCCAGAACCACATGCAAATGACCAGGAGATTGTCATCTTCAAGCACCTGCTTGTTGGTCTCTCGGCTAAGGCTAATTAAATTTCAGATCGCCATCAATTAGAGGCCCAGCCAAAGGCCACTCCCTGGCCCCCTAATCACGGTTATTATTTATGGGCGTTTGGATAAATCATGATCAAATTGAACTATAAATCCGAGACCTGAAAATTGCCGCCGGTGGCGATGCAAAATTGGTTCAACATTTCATATTTCAAATGCTCGATCAAACAAATCGTAAATTGAATTTGGCCGTGCTGGCCGGGCTTATGGCTTTATTTGGACAATGGGACTGTGGATCGCTGCGAGAGTTTATCAAGTCATAAACTATATAAAGTGTCAGCCGTGTGCATGTAAAGTTTCATAATCTCGGGAGTCTAAAAGTGGAGTGTCTGGGCATGTCCATGATGTCGATTCTGCCGCTGTTGCTGCGGGGTTGCAATGTTGCCAGGTCTCCCTCCAAGTGGCAATGTTGCTGTTGCTAATGTTGCTGGTGTTGCTGGTGTTTCTGGTGTTCCCACCTATAAACCGTCAAACCAGAAAGTGAGTGTGAATTATTGCACTTTGTCTTGACACGACTTTTCGAGCTGCTGCTGCTCTCCTGGCCCTCCTTCAAATGCCCAAAAATTCCCGAACCTCAGCCTCAAGTACTATCCATATCGTTGCGAGAGGCCTGGCCAAATGTTATCTAAATGTCTCACACTTCCCCCATTACATAAGCTCTTCCACGGCGTTTGCATTTCACATGCCTATGCAAAAATAATATTCGATTGTTCCCTTGGCTAAAGATCAAAGTCATTATTGAATGAGCATCGAGGATGGCCATTTGTTTTGAAAGAAGTTGGTTGGTAACTTTGGGGTATGCTGACTTTGGGGATCAGCTTGCCAATGTGACTAAATTGACTTTGAATCGTAAAAACATCAGTTTATAAGTTGTAATCCACTAAGTCTTTTTAGTTTTAAATTGGTTCTCTTATCTTTCCGAAAATAAACCCAATTTATGATTAATTTTTCATTAACTAAATGAAATCCAATTTTGGCAATGATTGCTTCCCAAGCCAGCAATAAAGAAATCAAGTTCCACCCATAAAATCAATCGATTAGGGTATAAAAACCACCCGAAAACCACAAAAACTTTCTTGCCGCTTCACCATTCCCGTTGACAACTATTCGTGTATGCGGGATAATGGCTTATTGTGGTAGATAAATTATAGCAACCTGTTGCCGCTGCCGTGGCCACTGCCATTTCTGAACTTGAACTCAACTTTCAAATGGCCAAGTTTCGCGATCGGCTGGCTCATTGTGCTATTTAATCTGCTGGAGTCTGTGACAATCGCTTCTTTTGTGGGCGCTGGGCAGCGCTTCTCTTCACTTTCAAATCGCAGCCGCAGCCGCTTTGATTTCCGGTTCAATTTGCATATTGGCCCGGCCTCTTTGGCCATTTAGCACCCTGGCTTAATATCAAGTTGGCCAAAGAGACCACCCAGAGTAATGAGTTTTCTCACTTCTGGTGCTTAGGTGCTGACAACTCAATTGACGAGTGACGGCGGCGGCAACCCGTCAAAGGAGCTTAATGTGGCCCAGACACGCAATCTGCGGGTTCTCGGAGCTCGTGTGCCTCCGAAAAGTCATCAAATAATTCCCACCGACCTGAAAAACAAACTCCAAAATCACAGCCATAAGCCAAGAGCAAATCTGAAGACGGAGGCGCACGTTTACAGCAAATAAAATTAGCTGCTTGTCTTGGTAATTGCAGTGCAGAGTGCATTTTGGCTAGGAGTTGCGGGCCAACTTGCAGGCGAAGACATATAGCAAGCCAACCCGTCGCCAGCTCCCCACGATGGGAAAAAGAGGCGATGCCACGAATGGGAAATTATGGAACCATAGGTGTTGGATGGATCAGACAGGGAAAAGGATAGGGAAAAATATATATATTTTTGAAATTAATAAAGAAGTTATGAATAAATCTAAAGCTGCTCTTAACTAATCAATAAAGGTTAACAAGAAGTGGACGGTATTCACAAAATGCCTTTCAAAGTAAATTATAATGCCCAAACTTAGTCCGTGGAAATAATAAATAATATAGACGAAATGAGGAAATATTTTAGGCCAAAACGGAACTAAACTTAGCCATTTTAAGCCATTTCCGAACTGGTTCCCAACCACAGTGAATCACTCTTCACCCAGAGCCACTCGCCATTCTGAGATCTGGCCAAGTCAAGAACTCGTGGCCATCGAGAGTGGACTGTCGTCTTGGCCATGTTGCAATTAACTAGCCAACTAAGCAGCAATTGGCCACAATTATTATTATTATTTCTTGTACGAGTAGTATGCTTATGCTCCGATGGCCGATTGTTGTGCCCGCCGCATTTTGGTAATTGTTTTAGCCATGTTTTGCCATTTATGTATGGGCCAGACCAAGACCGAATATGTGACTGGAAACGAGTCGCCTATGTTTTATTTATTACACTGCGAACAAAAGTTGATTTTTTATTTATAAAAATACATCCATGGCAGAAGGAGAGGCTCTTTAAAAATAAAAATATTTATCTCAGTGTACGTTTTTTTCAATTTATTTATTTTCTGCTGTTGTTTTTCTCAGTTCTATTAGCTACCGTGCGTGGACTATCCCCCGAGTAGCCCCTCGCCGAAACCCCTGACCCCCAGAGCGGCCAGATGACCTTAATTCGCGGTGCCCACCGGTCGTTTATCTTTTGGCTCCGCCAATTTGCTGCACATTATTCACGTTTGGATTTGCACCCAGCCAGAGACAGAGATTTGTGGCTTTTGGCTACAGAGAAAGCTTTATTACGGCCGAGGATTACTTATGACTAAGGATATACATACAGATGGATCTTGGATACGGACGCTCGTCTTCGTTCTTACTCGTGTAAATAGATTTTTGGGTCTGTGTATATTTGCACTATTTCAACCAGGAACTGCCCATTGACATGTGTGTATGCATGTGGTTAATATGCAGAATACAGTTGGAAACTAAGGTTAACTTAATCATAACTAACGACAGGGATAGAATCTACAGAGCCTCACGACTATTAACCATATAATGCACTTCGCTTTAGTTTCTGCTTAGACTTGTCCTTAACTTTATGCGTAGCTAGGTAATCAGGTATTCTTTTGCCTTTGGAGGTCCTAAGTGTACAATCCTTGTGCTGGGTGAAAGGGTCAAAGGTTGTGATTTGCTTGATTAAGGTACAATTCTTCCAGCTGCTGGACTCCCGATCGGATGGATCCTCAGTGGTAGTGGGGCACCCGGATCTCGGTTCGCTCGAGCCGGTCGTCCTCGTCGCTCACATACATTCTGGTCAGGTCCGAGGTCAAAGAGACATTGTCGCTGCTGCAATGATCATGAGCCAAAAGCGAAAATCGAAACATGAGCAACACACACACATAAGATTAGCCGCCAAAAAAAAAAAAGGCCAAGAACAATTTCCATTGAGTTTGTGGCCAAAAAAAGGCATCGAAAATGGGATAAAATGCTTGGTAGCCGCAAATGTCTGAAACTGAATAATTGCTTGCCATAAATTTATGTGAGACACTGTTCGGCAATGCCCGGCATTTTCCTGATTTTCCCCGCTTCTGCGGACATATTGACAGAATGACGGCCTGCCATTTGCGCAATCTGTCTAATTGTCAATTAGCCAGGTCGAAATCTTGGCTTGGCTTGGGCCTGTCTTGACTGGAGCCTCGCCTCCATCGCTCTCAATTTTCATCTTGTTTTCTGTAGATGTCATCAGTTGTTAGGTAAACGGGTCACAAAATAAGTTAAGAAAGGGGGCTAGATGGTGGTACATTTCACCATCCTTAATGTATAACAATTATTCATCTTAATTTATGCTTTCAAAGCTGGGCGAATTCTTCGAAGAAATTTGTCAAGCCATAATTTCTGTTTATAATAAGTACTTGGTAAAGGGAGATATGCAGGATGCACCATCCATGCATATTTCAAGAAGTATAAATTACGAAGGGAAGTCTCCATTCAAGAAATCTGTTCAAACAATATTTTCTAGTACTATTTAAGGGAAAGCTTCATAAAACATGAAAAACATTTCATGAGAAGTTTACTGAAGGCAAGAAAGAAAATATTGCTTTGAAGAAATCTGTCAAACAGTTTCTTCTGAAGAACAGCAGGAATCGGTATTAAATTTAACATAATTTAAGATGTTTTTGACTTCCTAAATGGGCGTCCTTCCCACTGGGCTTCCAGTTTCTATCGCACTCACTTTGATTCCTTCTCTTTCTCGTACACAGACGCCACCATGGCACTGTATTCCTGGTCCAAGTTGTTGGCCCGCGAGAAGTGCGACCCGTTGACCTCCAGTCGCTCGAACGACGACTTCATGGATACATCCACATCCATGTCCAGTCCATGTCCTGTGCTCATCAGAGCCACCATGGACAATGAGGACACTGTGCCCCCGCATCCAGAACTGCTGCTGTTCTCGTTGTGGCTGCCCATGAAGGTGTTCAGCAGGTTGAGGCTCAAGGCTGTTGTGGGATTCACGGTGCTCATCGAGGTGTTTGCCTGCGAAGTGGCCACACTGATGGACTTTCCCAGACCTTCATCGTCGACGACTGTTGACGAGGAGCCAGGACTGTAAGGGGAAGAAGCATCACAAATTATGTTAATAGAGGGAAACGTCTCTTAATGTTAATATTTATTTAATATTGTTAATATGTTCTAAGCTTCAAGTTTAGCTACAAAAGAAACCGTTTCTCAGTCATCACCTCCCAATCTGCATTTTCCATTACCTCACCAGAATCCACCTTATATCCCTTCCCTTTCAAACCAACTTCACAGATCTTTGCCCAATTAACCCTTTGGTACTCGAGCCCATATATTCTCACACTTTATGGCCGTAGTAGCAGTTACTGAATTGAATGACTCAACAAGACTCGATGGCTGCTGCAGTTCTTTTTTCAGGAACTTGTTTATTTAATAATTAAAATGATTTATGGGCCTGATTGATGTGGTGGCAGCACCAGTCCACCAGAGAGCAATAGGTGTCCGTGTTGCGGCTGCATGTTGCACTTATTGCTCTGCAGCAGCAACAAAAAGCATTGGCAATCATGCAAAATGTTAACAAAATGTAGGAGCACAAAAAAAGCATAGTTTTGGCCAAACCCAAAACGGAGTCACAGCCAAAGAAGGTCGCCAATTGAAGCTGGGAAAACCAAACGGAAAAATATGGTTAGTAGTTAGTAGTTAGTAGTCTTCTGCCCAATGTTGCTGCTGTTGCTGGTGTTGCTGCTGTGCCTGACAGATTGCGGAGTGGAAAACAGCCCACAGCCCACGGGCCACTTGAAAAGTGCAACTCAACTCAAGCCAGAGCTGTTGACTTTGGCTTCCTTGTGGGCTGGTCGTTGCATATTCACTCGTACGACTCCCAGCAAATAACAGCAAAAAATGAGAAAAATGTCAAATTCAATTTTCGCCAGGCGTCAAAGTAAATTACTTTGGAAAATTGCCTTTTGTCGACGCCCACGCCCCCAGGGCAACGAGTAAAAAGATATTTTTACAGGCGACCGAGGAGCGTGCCTAGATCTTGTGTTAATTTGCTTAAGCTTTCAAAGAGTTGTGCAATTACTTAAAGTATCTGTGAGATACTTTTAGTCGCAATATAATTAAAAATATAAAATCAAATTTAAAGTCTAACCTATAAGAAAGCGTATTCAGATAGCACTATCGCTTGCAAGCCTAGATGACTTCATCCTTAATGATCTAACCCAACTATTGAGTCAGCAAGCAAGTTGGCTTTTTTATGCCATATATCCAAACTAACAAAAGAACTTGTTTGGTTGCACTCTTGGACTCACGCACTGCCTTTGGCTCGGGGGATCCCCGGGGGCCAAAGATCGCGTAACATTTGACTTTTACTTTCCACGTAAAAAATCGGTAACAAACTGTAAACAGAAAACTCGTTTGACAAAGGCAGAGGAGCCGCAGCGTCTGTGCAGCAAACAATAAATAAAATATCAGCAAGAATATTTCACATGCCTTCTTCAAAGAGCAAAACGCAGATCGTGGACAAAAAAATATGCAAATTTTAGCCGAAAACTGGTTCAGTTTACTGGAAATTCTCATGGGGTCGACGACAGTTGCTTCTAAGGATGCACAGCATTCGTCAGAAGATTGTAAGCCCGGCTAAATGTCAACATCTCTCGATGTGATTAATGACGGTTTATACGGCCCAGCTCGGATTTCTAATTACCCAAAACAATGGGCAATTATTCGGGCGGTTTATTAATTAGTTAATTCGGTGTAAGCGCTTTGATTTCGCCCTATAAGCCTAATGAATTGATTGACTACGACCAGCTGCGGTGTCGAGTATCGAGATTATCTGGTTTATTTATGCGACAAAGACAATTTATGCAGGCAGGGTGCGAGTATAGCCACTGTCCTCCAGCTTTCGGGTATCTATCAGATACAACTGCCCCGACATTCATAGGCTCTGTCTCAGCTGCGCGTGCTAATCGCGATGACTTCATTTCGTGTTGCTCTTGATGTTGCTGGTGCTGTTCATGTTGCTGTTGCTGCTACTGCTGCTGCTCATGTTGCTGCTGGGTTTTTGCTGCTGTTGCTGCTGCTGCTGGATTCGCTGACAGAGGTCAGGCCAATGTACTTCGCGAATAGCATTGATTGCCGTATGTTAGCTTGTGGACATGGCCAACTTGTCGAAGGTGTAAATGGTTCTTAAGCAAAAATGCCAACATTAATGGGTTTACTCGAGGGAGTGAAAAGATAGGGTATCGCTAAGGAAAGTTTGACTTCATCAAATTTAAAAATCAACTTTTTAGATTTCTGTTTATACTGCCAACGCCTTTTGTTAAAAACCAATAAATCTTTTAGTTAATGGAGTTATGTAAATATTATCTTGATTGCAAAAATGATACCCCAGAAAATAACACTGCTGAATGAAATGCGAAATATATGGCTGCATTAAATCATCAAAGTAAGTCAGAGCCAGTCTGGACCTATTGAATTATTCAAACTCACAATCGCAATTAAATTCGTTCGCAGTTCAATTAAAGACCAAAGCTATCAAGTGCAAGATATCCATCATGTTTAACTAGTTTAAATGCCCAAATTAGACGCAGCCCCACCCTTCTCGGTCTCATTCCCAGGCGTGTTCCACGGCAGAACCAATATACTTTGCGTTATCCTATAATCGGCTAGTCCGACTATTTATCGCGGATCTAAGAGTTTCGGTGTAACAACAAAATGCCATACAAAAAGTCATAAACCCAAATGCAAAATGCTGTTCAACATGAGCAGCAGCCGTCGCAATCGGAATAGGAAAATCGCAGGAGCAGCTCAGCCAGCGGGTGAGCTGATCGTGTGGGGTCTTGAAACGGAGTCGGACTCGGAGTCGGGCCAAAAGTACGAGTAATACGGACACACATGGCCGAAGCGGATGAGATACACACTCTATATGCATCTAAATAGATAGTCGAGCGGTGGCCCAAAGTGCACTGAAGAAAATCTTAGGGTGCTTAATTCGGGGTTCGCAGTTAGAAGTAGTTTTGCTTCCCCCTTATTTTTGCCAGTGCAGACAGTTCTAAGTGGAAGGCTCTGGGAGACTGGCCGACAGACACAATGGCCAAAACGGAGCTGACATTTAGTGCGCAACTGGCGACAACGACTGTCAACACAGGAAAGTAAATGTACCGGGGGCCCCAAAGTTCATAAATCGCGGCCCAGAGCTCCGAGTTGGCTGATTTCAGCTGGCCGAGAGAGCGTCGCGTCGTGTTAACAATATGTTCGGTGTTCGGAGAGCCTTAACGGCTGCCGTGTGCCATAAATCTGAAGATTTTCGGCATTGTCTTCGCCTAGGTTGGGCTAGGTCGCGCGACTTGGGCTTGGATTGGGATATGGATATGGATATGGATGTGAATATGGATGTGGACAAAGTGCACTTACCAATCGCTGAGATCACCAGCCGGACCTGAGCGCTGATTGCATTTGCTGCGCATAACCAATTGCAGCCAGTTGGGGACTGGAGGAGTGGGATCGGGGGTATATCTGTCAAGTAGAGTTAGGATAGAGGAAAATTAGCAAATCGATTGTCAAATAAAGGTAAACATTCAGAAATACCAAAGCTACTATTGGGTACTCTGTTCTCACCTGATAATGGAGTTGCAGTGCTTGGTCTTGGGCACCGCGAAGATCTCACTGGGCGAGGGTGCCGAAGTCATGGCGTGGGCCCTCTCCACGGCCGCATCCACCTCTGGAATAAGAGCTAGCTCCTCAGACTCGCCGAGGTCCACATCCAGGCTGCTCACCGAGCTGAGCGAGTTCCGGGGTCCAGTGTGGCGGTACCGCGACGGACTGGATGCCGTGGCATCCTCCAGCTCGCTGGCGTCGAACTTGAGGTTGACTATAAGAGCCCAGAAGGAGGAGAAGGAGAGAGGCACACAGCATATCGAGATACACCGACGGACACAGAATGAGATTGGGAGTGGATGGAAGTGCGGATTTGGATTCGAATTCGGGCGAGATTCCCATGATCAAAATTTTACACAGAGAGAGAGCAAAAATTGTTGATAACGGTATACACATCACCTTGAAACATGACTGAGAGGTTGTTTTTGTGTGGGATGACTTCAACTCACGTTTGTCCAGGGGTCCCAGCTTCTTGGCCAGTCCGTACATCGTCTCCGGGGTCCAGTAGTCCGGAATTCTGGCAAAGATCGATCCCGCATCCGCCGGCAGCTGGATGCCCAGCTTATGGAGCAGCAAAACAAATGGCTGGTACAGCATCGTGGTGGACTGCTCGTTATTCCACTGCACCACTGGGATAGATTTCTGTTTGCAGATGCAGTGATAGGCCACCGGTTCCATAATGTGGTCGCCCTCTGGGACCTTGAGACCACTCCTCAGGGTCAGCTTCACGAAGCAGCACTCGATCAGGATCTTTTGCAGCCACAGCAGGTGCTGGGACTTGTGTTCCTTGATGATCAGATCAAGCAGGATCTGTAAGAATGCAGATTATATATATATATATTTTGATAATAATATCAACTAATCTTACTTGAACATCGTCTGAGGGCTTGCCGTAAGCGCACTCCTTGATCTCAATCCCGGACTCTGTTGTTCCGGAAGTCGGTGTGGTCAGCAAAGTGCGCTGATACTCGGCATCCTCGAACTTCATCAAGTCGTCGTACTCCAACAAGGTGATGATATCCTATAAAATACGATTTAAAGTATAAAAAAGCTTTTAGGAATAGTCTCAGGTTATATAATCACCTGTTGCAGAAGTTGCTGGATAATGGAAATCCGGGTTTTCAGCTTGTTGCCATTATTGCTGAACAGCTTTACGATTTTTCCCACGATGTCGTTGTTCTTCTTGCTCTGCACGTAATACCAATACAGGGTGTCCATTTCTTCTTGCGACCAAGAGCTATTAAGATATAAATCATAATTAGTTTTAGTTAATTTGCAGGATTTATTATTCGCTACATTTTGCTAGACATTATCAACTAATTTAACATTGCAGGCTTAGTGTTAGTTTTTCCAATGTTCACCAATGTGGACCATTTGGGTTAGTAAGCTCTTTCATAGGGAAAGTTTGGTTAGTGGCCTTATAATATCAAATAAAGAAATCATAAATACTTGATCCCCTATAAGTTAATGAATGATCGCTGGACATCCACAGATGAGAAATTAGAGAGTGCGAAAAGAAAACAGTAAACGCCGAGTCTTAATGGTCCATAAGTGGTCAAAATAATGTTTATTTGTTTGTGAATGTGTTTGTGGCTTAGATCAATGAACTTATGTTTAATAAAGTTTTAAAGTTTTAAAAATATTCCTCAAAAGTAAGTCAGAAATCCTTACCAAATGGTATTCTCCTGATTGTGTTCTTTGGTCATTTCTGTCAACGAAGTTGTGGGAATGGTGAGAGGAGACTTCGGAGGAGTGTTCATGAACTTGTGGATGACGTACTCGATGAGGTCGGACCAGTCCTACAAAGCAATACAAACTTACAGAAGGGAAAACACTTTTATCTTAAACAACTTACGTCACACAGCTCGTAGTCCGCCTCCCAAATTCTGGAATAGGTCTTCAGAATAATGGGCTGAAATAGAACACCGATCTGGCCCAGATCGCCACCAATATGATGCATCATGGTGAAAATGCAGTCATTGACGAACTCTCCATTGTTGTTAAAGTCCTCCAGCAGAATGCCATAATAGTGCATTACCTCGAGGGTGGCAAACCTTCAAATAAAATATAGTTATTATATTTATAAATTAATTATTACCAAGTTAATTCTCACTGTGTAATGTGCTCCGACAGGCGAATCGCTTGACCTCCACCAAGCTTAGCCGAACTGTCCAGAATTAGCAGGAGAATGTGATTGGTGACCACCAGATCCTGGAGATACTGCTTGGAATGGATGCTGGGATTGAAACGCCTTAGCAGAAGAACAAAGAGGCACCTCAGGTCACACATTTCGCTAATCTGCAGCTGGAGTTGCCTCAAATGGGCTCGGTCATCCTCGTTCAGATGGGTCACTTTGTTGTAGGTGTCGATGGCCTGAAGGAACTCCCTAATGGCCGTCACCACCAAGTGCATCCGCCTCAGATAGGGCTTCAGATCACTTCCCTCCTGTCGAGCATTGAGTTCCAGCTGTTCGCACAGCGACACCCCCTCATAGGTCAGGTAACTCAATACATCATAGGTGAGTATGGTATCGATGTGCTCCATGTCCAGCTCCAGTTGGGCGGCAAACTTCAGGAAGTAAGTGACCAGCCAGAAAAAGTGCGATGTGTCAATGGGCACCTTCTGGAGAGAATTATAAAATAGACTTAGCTTTTTGAAACTTTTCAATTTGTTATAACTAAAAACTAAGATAAGCTTATATCATCCAAAAATCTAGCAGAGCAGGAAAACCAAAGAAAAATCTATAAGTTTCACCTTGTTCTGTCTCGTTTCGTGACAATTTACAAATATAAAATAAATACAAAATTAGACAATTATAAGATATTAATTATAGTAATAGCCGCATACCGCATTGGACAGAAGTTGGGTGTGAAGCTCCTCCACCAGATAGCTGTAGCCCTTCAAGAGGAAGTCCACAGTGAACTCCTTCAGAAGATTGGAAATGTCATCGTCGGTTGGTGTGTGCTGCACCAGGCCCTTCATATTGATGCTGTGGATTACAGATTATTGACCTCTACTATATACTTTGGATGTTTCTAGAACTTACAGGCTGCTCTTGCTGCGCTTGACCAGCTTTTTGCGTCTCAGCTCCTTCTTGTCCATTGGTGACATAATCGTCCGTGGCTTATTCCGTGGTTTCGTGTTACACGGAGGCTTTTGGTGCTGCGGCTTGCCCTGCGGCCCATCGTCGTCATTGCTAGAGGTGGAAATGGACTCCTGGTTCTCCACTTGGGTGCCATAACCGCAATCCGATAGCTCCGGATTGCGAGGAGGGGCACTCCCGCTTTTGGGGGCAGCACTTGCCTTTGGTCAACTGAAGTTGACCGGCGTGTGGCGACTTCTGACCCAGTTTGACCGCTGACACGTGGGACGTGTAAGATGATTCGTTGAACTGGTGCAATTGAGCTTGGGCTGAGGTGGAGGCTCTGACCGGCAGAGGAGGTGGTGGCTTGAAGGGCTCGTTTCCCAGGCAACCACTTTGGCTGGGCGTTGGGTTGGTAGTGTTGTTGACCTTGTCAGCTGGTTGTTGTGTTAGATTCAAGGGCTCGGAGGCTCGGCCCAGTAGCAGATATTGTTCTACTTCATCCTAAGAAAGTAAATCATTTAAATAATATTTAATCAAAGGTTTCTTTTATAATAACTAAACTAACTTCATCTTCATCATCGTCCCCGTCTTCGTCTCGCTGGATTTGCTGGTGGTCCTCGTAGTCCTCGTCATCCATTGACTCCCCAGCAGGCTGCGATTGCTCTGGAGATCCTGGCAGTTCGCTATCGTTCCCTGTCATATCACTGGCTTCTTCGGAACAATCGGGCTTATCGGCTGGCACTCTGGCCATGGCGTTCTGGTATTCCTGCCCCTTGCGACTCACCTCCTGCAAGGTGGCCGCCGTTCCTTCTCGCCCACCGCTCATGCTACGGCCATTGCTGCCGTTGTCCGAGGAATCGGAGGTGGGATCCGAGGTGAGCATGGGACTGGAATCGCCACTTCCCTGTTTCGGTGGCGAGGTATTGCTCTCATTATCCTCAGAACTCTCCGACAGAGAGGCTTCGAACCAGAGGTTCAGCAGTTTCTGGAGGGTGCTGACATGCTGATCCTTGTAGATCAGAGCAATCAGCTGCACCATGGTCACACCCCAAAAGGCTCTCTGCGGACAGGTCATCAGATAGAGGAGTAATTTGTCGATGCTCTGGATGAAAAGATTCCACAGAATCGTATTCTGCATGGAGATGCCATGTGGCATCGATTGCATCATGGGCAACACACAATGGGCATGGGTCTCCGGGATGTGGAGGATGTTCCTCAGCAGGAGCAAACAGTTATTGATCTGATCGCATTTGTGCGGCGATAGCTTGGGTTCCGACTCCAGGATGTGCTTCATGTACTCCACCACGCTCTTGGTGCTCTTAGCCTCGGTGAAGGCCTCTTTGCTGGTGTATAACAGCTTATTAAGCTCGAAGATGGTATGGCGACCCACATCCGTTCGGTACATAACATCCACGGAGAACAGGCATTCCACCGGCACCGTCAGATTGACCAGTATCCTGATGACCGACTCCAGCACGGCATCGTCCTTGGCATTCTCCAGCAGCGGTATCAGATCGGACCTCACATTCTGTCCAAATCCAATGGCACGCCTGAAGGTGCGAAGTGTTTGATCCTCATAGGTGAGCTTGTAGTTGATCTCCTCCAGTATGGCTAAGGGTGGAAGGAATATATAATTAGATTTCTTTACGCTCTAAAACTAAACTTATGAACAGAAATATAAACAATTTAGATCACCTACCCAATGCATTTGGGTTGACCACATAGGTGTCCCCCTCGAGACATCCCAACGAGGAGAACGCACTGTACAACTGCGGAGTTGCTAGTAACCAGTCCATAACCGAATCACTCTATACAGTTTTGATTATTCCAGATGTGATGTTTGAGCTGCCTAACTCTGCTCATTTTCGATTCCAAGCATGGAGGAATCTTACGACCTTACGCAAGAGCTGAAAATATATTAAAATAATATTATTTAAAAATTTTTAAAGTTTTATAGTTGGCCACAAAGTAATTATTTAAAAGCACAAAGTATTCACTTAAGCTTGACTTCCATTGAATTGGCTCAGCAATTGTGACTAGAACCCTTAAATAAATTCTAAAAATAAGTAAAGGTCATCTGCCTGTTGCCGATAACAAAGACCGACCCAACTGCCATTCAAAAATAGATTAATCCACCCAATTATTAATTGTTCCCCCACCCCACAAGGGCCGCACATCGCCGCATTCCATAAATTTTTGCCCATGTGACCATCAAAGGCGCAGTGAATGCAATGTGCTAAAATTGCAGCCACTTGGGGATGAAATCCCAATTCCAATCAACTCCCATTAAATCCGGGCGCATCACCTCACACACGTGTCCGGACACCCGCTGTGAGTCACATCAAGGTAAATGCCTACGAGACGAGCCCCAAAAATTCCGAGAAGCCACACTTATCATTCAGGGTAAAAAGTGGGTTAGATTGGCCTTTGCCACCCCCGCCGCCGAAGAGGGAGAAGCCCAACCTTCATCCATCACGTAACCAGGTAAATCTTCAACAGGCGAGTGCGGCACCCGGTGGCCACATGTGACTCACTTGCAGACATTCATGCTGATTGTGTAAACAACACAGTTGGAGGACAAAGCCATTGGGTCCGGACTACGGACTGCCGACTCTAAAAGAACAATGGCTGCAGCTGAAGCATTCGCACAGGAATGTCGACCCCCGTGGCGATATTTATAGGAATTGAATCTGGCACGGATGCAGAATGGCGCAGCAGCTCCTGTTTTGTTGGTTCCGGTTTTTGTGCGGCTTCCAGGTTGTCGACTTTGAATGCTTTGGCGCTATATTTGGCCACAAAAGTGCAGTTGAACTGCATTGAAATGTGTTGCCTTCTTTTGGGCGAACACGTTAAATGGCACGTTAGGGGATTAAGTCCGGGAAATAAGCAATGGAAAAAATTTACATAGGTTATCAAAAAGTTATAGTCATAGTTTTGTTTTATGAGTTTATAAGCTAATTAAACACAATTCACTTTGGGATATAGTAAAATATGTTGTGCTTAAAACAAAATAAGTTAGCTTACTTTAACAAAAAATGTAGAAAAAGTTAAGCATCTGTTTTTCATATTTATACCGAAATCTGAATTATTATCAGTTTAGCATGTTTTTAAGAAATTTTACCAATCCCTAATTATATCTTATCCGGCCATCTATGTCTATGGGTCACTCCCAGCAACCCCAATACCATTTCCGCTGACTGGTTATGAAATCAAAGACACAACTTACATAAATCGCAAGGCGAGAACTACAAAATGATATGCGCATTGAAATTCCGAGTTGAGTATTTCTTTTAAGACAGTGAGAACATTTTTCATTCTTTCGCAAAAAGGAAATTCATTGAGGCGAACACAAATTTGCATTTGAAACGGAAAGCGAAGATAGACCACGAATAAATATTTAAGAAATTTGAATTTGCAATGCCAATAAATCCCAGGCTCTGAGGGTCGTTAAGATCCTGGGTGAACACAATCAGCATCTCAATTCTGCAATGAAATCTGTCAATTGCAGTTGATAGGGGAGTTCCCCGGAATTATTTTGCTATCCTGACTTTGACAGAAAATCTGAGTGAGGCCAAGCCTCTTTTTCTGCCAGTTCAGTGGCTGCTATTTACATAAGAAATGAAGGAGTTTCTTCATTCCCTTGGAGGTCTAAATTGTCCCTTAAATTTTTCTCTCTTTTCGTTTTAATATGAAATTGTAAGTTCTTTAGATGCAAGCTTAAAATTTAAATTATCCGCCTGAAAGCTGCTACTTTTTAAGAGCTTTTTAAAACGTTAATTTTTCAAAGGGGTTAATCCAAATGGAACCGAGTTAGGTCGTGTTTCTATTCTATCTATTAAGAATTATAAGAATTATTAAGAAAAACATGGTTTTCCTTACCAATTTAGTGTTTTTGTAGTTGTTACTGTAATAGTGTTGTTTCACTGTGGTGTTCGGTGCGCTTTTGCTTAAAACGCAAACAACAAAGCTAATTGTTTATAAATATGTTGTGAGCTTTTCTAAGCACTTGTTGGGTTTCTTTGAGAACTAGATCGTGTTCTATTTTAGGTATTTTTCATATCCACTATGGTAATATGTTACTTTTATATCTGAAAAATGTTTTGGAATTAATTTCGTTTTATTTTTAGGGATTATATCCTAGGTTTATTGTTTAGCTAGGCGCTTTTTTTACAAGATGTACATGTTTATTTAACACTTTGCGAACTTTGGCTTTTTGTTGACACTGCACAAAATACACTCTTTATACTAGGGTTGCATGTTCTTGACTTACGTAAAATGCAAAAACAACAACTTGAACAATTCATTTGCACTTTTTCGATTGCAATCTAGGCAGACACTGAGGGAAAGAGCACTGCATCACATAAGCAAGCTCCCAGATACTGCAGCTTAGAGCTTTCAGAGAGACACTATTGTTTTGCAGTTACTGTTTGCAGTTAGGAAAATTTGTAAAACAATTAAGTCACGTAGTTGGTTATATATTAATAAATCTATTGTTTATAAGAGTTGTTTATTTTTGAGATATTTGTCCACGAGAGTTGTGTTTGGTGGATTTGTTTTGACCCGCTCAACGAACCGCTTACTTGGAACGCACAATGCTGAATGTGATCTGAGTTCTCGCTCGCTCGCCGAAGTCAGATACAAAATGCAACTCACAGATACACACACTGACCGAAGCACCCACTCACACAGAAAGAACGTGCTGTTGGTGGCATTTGTGTGAGTGAGAGCCTCGCACTGAAAGCTTTCGCCGCTTTGCTCCGTCCCTTTTCCACCCACTGGCGAGCGGCCAGGGAACTCGGCTCACGTGTATTCGCAACGTGCCGCACGTTTATTTGCCAACTGCCGCTGGCGAATGTTCGATAACCATGAATAACCAGCGCCGGAAAATACGGAGAACTCTCTGGGAACAACAGCAACAGTCAGAGCTATTCAGTGCACTCAAAGAAAAGCCACTGATTAACAACTTTTTAATATATAATACAGAATGTTTTAATTAGACGATTATATTTGGTAATTTTTGTTTATTTTAGTTTTGAAATGTAACCTCTTAACCTTTTTTTATACAAGACACTTATTGATATGAACACTTTGACGTAAAACAATCAAGGATTCAAAAAAATTTAATATAAAAAAAATATTATTGATATTATTAACAGAAAAAAAAACACAATTTTTTTCAGTGTATTGTTAAATGTTTTTACCCTGCGGAAAATCGCCTTCAGTCGACTAAGTCGTAGGCTTCGTCAGGGTGACTTTGTTCGGCTCTGAGTGCCTCAGATGATCTGTTGAATAATCCTTTTGGGAATGGAATCAACAGTTGGTTGCAGGCACAGGCACTCGCGGCGTATACGCATCGTTCTCATTGCTCACATGTACTGCGAGGTATATATATGTATGAGTATTTACTTGGCAGATTTTCTCGGCCGCGCGAGTCAAGGCACGTCGTCACCGAATCGCGGCTGCAAATCAACTGGAAACGGTTGTTTGGGGTGTACTTTTGCTCAGCCTGAGGCGCTAGTTACAAAGTCACTCACTCGCAACAAAGGCCATTCGACTTGGTCAGAATGTTATTCAACATATTTAAGGAGTGCTAGACGATCACATTTTTATATGCCTTAAAAAGAGGATATCATTTTTATACTCATACTCATAAGAATTATTACAAAACTATTTAGAATTTTAAATTTGCCAGGGAAACAAGGTAACAGCTAACACATAAAAAGTCTTATTTTAGTATTTATAGATTGAAATATAATTATCCCTTAATTTCGCCATTAGTGAAAATCTGATCGTTAAGACAATCAAAGCTAGAATTATGCTAAAGCTCATTGGGATAATGATAAGGGATTAATTTATAGTCAGTTATTACTCTTTCTTAGCAATGTGTTAAGTAAGTTGTATACTAGTTTAACTCAAAACATTTATTTAACATTGCAGGAAAATAAAATCAGAAAACAGAAAGTGACTCTGACGAAACAAAGGCATTAACATCATAGTGATTAGACCACTTCAACCGATCTAGGCAAAGTTTCCAGTAAAGGCGACGTAAGCTGTGCGATCACTTTGCCAATGCCAAGGCTGTGTAAGTACATACATCCAAATTATGCAACGTCTAATGTTAATTTTTCCAAGCTAATTTATCAGTAATCAAACACAATAAGGGGGGACCCCTGTCGACAGAGGAATAAGCCACGCCAACCGATTGCCTTTAAAATTGTTCACGCTGTATACAAGTTGTCCCGACGTATACGTAATGCAAGTAATTGCGTATACGCCGCATGTAACACATGACCGGAGCCCAGAAGCAGTGATAACTAACTGATAAGCCTCCCAATGAAAGGCAAAACAATTAGATGCGGTTCCCAGATGCTGTGGAGACTCCCCTTCTCGAGAGCCCAAGGACCCGTGCCGAGACTGACATCCTTTTAACGTGGCCAACTAGACTCATTTCCAACAACGCGACATCCGCCCACAAAGTGTGCGACGAGCAGAAGGGTCGCGTGTCTGGCATGTTGACTGAGTCCTGGCAACGTGTGCGATTCTCTCTCTTTTCAGAGCGCACAGTATGAAATTGTTTATGCGAAATTATTGGCAACATGCATCCAGATTTGTCGATTTTTGATTCTTGCTGGATCTATTTTAGCTAGGACAGATTTTAATATTTAATTTTAAGAGCCTTAAATGTTTGTTTAATCAACTATTAACTTTTAAATCAATTATTTTATTTGTTGTCTTTTCTTGTCTTTTGCAGGATTCAAAGACTTAAACTCCACTGTGCTCCTTGATCCAGTCCCGAGCGAAACTTACTCGGGAATAGACACCCGGATAGTCGGGCTTAGCGCAGCCGTAGCCCCAACTAACCACTCCCACCAGCTCACCGGCTTCGGTGACCATTGGACCACCGGAATCGCCTTGGCAAGCATCCTTTCCGCCTTCCAGAAATCCGGCACAGATCATGCGCTCGGTGACACCGCCGTACTGCTTGTACTTTTCACTGCACAGTTCCTGATTAACCAGAGGCACCTCCACCTGCCGTAGCCACTCCCTAGACTCCAGCAGATTCTGGGTATTCCCCCAACCACTTACGAAGCAGGTCTCGCCGTCCATGAACTTCATCTGAGGCTCAGGCAGCTTAATGGCCTTTTTGGTTTCGTCGAACTTAATAGGATGAGCAAGCTGGAGCAGAGAAAAGTCATAGTCCACATTGGTGTAGTTGAACTGGGAATGCTGGACGATCTTCTGGACTCGGAGTAGTTGACCACTGCGAGCAAATTCACTGGTGCCCAAGCGGATTTTCAGGCGATCCGCTGTTTTACCACTATAAATTAAGAAGAGTGGAAATGTTCATCACTGTAAAGTTTAGCTTTTAGCTTTATCTTTTAACTTACTAAGTACAGTGGGCAGCAGTCAGTATCCACTCCTCCGAAATGATTGAGCCTCCGCAAATATGAGAGGAAGTCTGCAGAGAAACCTGATGCGGTGCATCGGTTATGTTAATGCGATGACCGCCCACGATACGACCATCCAAGCGAGGAGATAGCTTCCAGGGTTTTTCCATTACATCCTTTAGTGAGCGCTGTCTTTTAATGGGCTGCGGTATTAAACAAACGCCTGCCAGAACCAACAGACTGCACTGCAGCACTAGAAACAAGCGAAGGGCTAACATTATTAGTCAACAACAAAAAGAAGTCTACTGTGAATTACGGCAGACGAAAGCCTTATATACATAGGTGTTTCAGTACTTTCTTATGTTCTTGGATTAGTGATTGCCACCTATTGGGTAGAGGGCCCGCTGTGCAGCCTATCAGCCCACTGACACACTAAACACCTTAAAGACATCAATTTTAAGGGTGGCATTGGAAACACTCTCTCTTCCAGACACTATTGCTATCTTTATATACAAAGGTGGGCTCTAGCCTTCATTTTAATTGGGACACTTGTGGTAGCCCAGCACTGTTTCAAGTTCATGATAGGCATACATTGAGTAGCTTACCGTGTTTCTCGCTAACCCTCGCTAGGAATACCTTTACAACAATGAACCCGTGCAAGTTTAATTTGGATTGGATACAAGCAGTTCACAGTACATTTTAATAGCCAGGTTTTGTTCTACAAGGATTACGTTTCATTTTATGAATAAATTAAGGCTTGTGATGGTGTTCGATTTAATCGAGAACATAAATCAGATTTCTTCCCACTTCAGTCAGTTTTCCGGACTGGTCCAGGCTCACTTTCTTGGTCGCAACATCCAGGATGAAACTTCCCTCGTCGAGCACAACCTTTCCGGCTTTGTAGTCCTCAAAGTTGGGTATCTTCCTGGGACCCAGAACGGGATCCTCATAGCGCCAGATCTTTAGGTTGGCCGTATCTGTTTTTAGCCCAATAATCTTGGAGAGCTTCTCTCTCAGGGACTGCACGGTGTCCCCCTCGGAGATAACGGTGTTGACCTGGAAAAGCGAGGAACGCTCGATAGGATTCGTCAGCTCTACGCTCACATTGGGTGCCACAGAGAAGCTGATGAAGGGAGAGCCGGGACGAACTTCCTCTCTAGTTTTCTCAGGCGCTGAAGGATCATCGGTGTACTTAATTTCCAATACATCCAGCTAAAAATGAATTTAAGTTGTTCAGATATACCTCAAGGAAATTCTATACAATCTATATAATACTCACATCCAACGTGTTTTTCAGGTACTCCAGATTACTGATCAACACTTGACGCTCGTCGAACTCCAAGGTGACTGCTAAAGCTGCAACTCCCTTGCCAGACTCCACCTTTTCTCGAATCATCTGGGCGAAGGGCATCACGCGTTTCATAAACTTTTTCAATTCAGCCTTTTGTTGAAGTGTAGCAGCTATGACTTTGTTATCTGGTAGGGCTTGTGATTTGTTGTACAATTCTTTCATGGTATCGAGGACACAGCACTGCCAAGGAGGATATGTCTTAGCAACCCAAATAAGTCCTCGATTAGGTTTGGCTCCCTGGAGATCCACAGACTTATCTTTTCCAGCCTTGCCCTTCAATTGCAGCAAGTTCTTAAGGTTCAGACGGAAGGAATGAGCGGCTTCCATGAGATACTCCGAGCACAGGATGTCGACTTCATTGATGGATCCAACTTCTGGCCAGCGAGCGTGGACTATAGACTCCTTGTTACCCAGCAATCCCCAAACGTGTTCCGCCATATGAGGACAAATGGGAGAAACCAAAAGAGCCTGTCTGCGAATAAACTCTAGTACCAGATCCTCATGCATTCCTTGTGCGCCACACAGCTCCCTGTACTTATCCCTGGCCAACTGAAGTTCGTAAAAGCCACTCCTCAACGCCTCCTTAAACAACATTTTACGGTAATTCTCATCGGTTTGCTGGGTTTTCAAATTGAGTTCACTCAGGAAAACTTGGTCATTAAAGGTCTTTTCAGTACCCTTTCTAAGACTGCTCCTAGTGTCCAGCATTTCCTTGACCCACTCAATGAAGGTGTATAGGCGGAGGATACCTGCATCTGCAGTGCTCTCAACGAAATTGGCATCCTCCACACTGTCGCCAGCATCAGCCAAACAAAGACGCATGCCATCTGCTGAGAATTTGTCCACAGCTTCGGTAAGGGTAAGGAAGTTTCCATCTGATTTAGACATCTTAGCAGAATTCAGCAGCAGGTGACCATTAACGCGCATTCCCTTGGGCCACTTGTTCTCATCATTTGGCCAAATAGCCGCGTGATTGTACAGACAGAAGGTCAAGTGGTTCTGGATAAGATCCTTTCCAGAGACCCGGAGATCCATTGGATACCAGTACTCGAACTCGCGACGCAGAACAGCAAGATATTCGGGTTTAATGGCCGTCTTCTTTGGTAGTGGGGTCTCCTTAAAGAAGATGTAGTCCCAGATCTCAGCGGTCATGTCGGACGGTTTGATTCCTATAAAAAAAAATCATATTAATTTCCAAACTGCAAGAGATTTTAATTTCTCATACCAAAAGGTCCTGGCTTCTCCCCACGGAAAGTACCGCCCTGCAGGAGGTGTACCACCGTGTAAAACGCCATGTAGATAGTGGAGTCAGAAAGGGATTCAATCAACCACTTATCGTCCCAAGGCAGTTTGGTTCCCAGGCCGTACGTTCTGGAGCAGGCGTACTCGTGCAGCCAATTTAGGCAAGCTTCGAAGTTGTTGCGCGCCTCCTCGTGGAAGGTTTCCATGTCCTGCAGGATCTTGATGGCTTGTGCCTGCCATACAGGTTCTCCATAATTAAGGTACCATTGGTTACAAAGAGCCACCACGCACTCGTCGGCCGAACGTGACATAATGGTCTTCTCCGGTTCGTAGTACACGTCCGCTTCATTGGCGTCGACCAAACGTTTCTGCAAATCCTTCTTAACATCCTGAATTTTGCGACCCGCAAATTCACCCACCAACATTACGCCGTCATAGAAACCTTTTGGTGAAGAAGATTAGGATCCAACCTATTAAGACTTTACTACAATGCACTTACTCTTGAGGTAGCACATCTCTTTAGCTTCGGCCAACTTGTCCTTATCGTTTTGCGATTGGATTTTCAGAGTTTCATAAGCATGGACGGCACTTAGTTTTCCCAGCGTGGGCACATCGATGATGGGAATGGGCTCGTAGGGCAGCACCATCTCATCCTTTAGTCCGTACTTCTGTCTAAAAGCTTCCTTCTTCTGCAGATCCACCAAAGCTGCGTAATCATCAGGCGAATCGGAGGGCACTGAGGTTACCACGCCAGTTCCCTTATCTTCCTTAATGCTTAGCATAGGCAGGGTATAGACGATCTTGTGCTGGGTAAGAGGAGCGGAAAGGGGAACTCCCAGCAGATCTTGCCCAGTTACTTCAGCCAGAACCTTGACGTCACCTTCCTCAGCAGTGAAACCCTGGTAAGTCATATTTCTGGCTGCCCTACGAGTGCTGATCCATACTTCGTTGTTTCTGCTCGTTTGCCAAGCAATGTACTTGATGTCCGGATGCAGCCAGCAGTTCGTCTGACCGTACATGGTCTCCGGACGCAAAGTGGCGGCCACCATGTAAATTGGTTGCTTGATGGAGCTGGAAGAATATCAGATTCATTTCATATAGCATAAATTAAAGAAAAACGTTTTTAGTAAGTTTTACCTCAAAGCTTTGGGAGTCTCCAGAACCTTCATCTTAATGAGCGTGTACTCCTGGGGACCGACACCCTCGCCCGAAGATCGATCATGGTCCATGCAGGGTTGTCCATCTTTGGGCGAATAGATGGTGTACCTCTTGCCGTACATGATCTTGCCCCGCTCCTTCAGGTGATTGAATTGCCAACGGACGAATGAATCGAAATAGGGATTGGCGTCTGTGGTTATGAAGGTGCGTCTCCAGTCGATGTGCACGCCGATCCTCTTGAGGTCCTGTACCGCCAGCGGTGGGAAGTAGTTCAGCCAGTGCTCTGCATTGGCGAAGTCCTTGATTTCCTCGTCCTTGAGGCCCAAGCTCTGCATGATTTGCCATTGGTATTTGGCGGTTCCGGTCTTGGCTACAGCCTTGCTCTTCTTTCCCTTGGACTTGTCTTTGGGCACTTCGGAGGCTGTTTCAACAGGAGGAGGGGTCACTTCCTGAGTTTCAGGGAATTTGGGCGGAAAGCCGAACTGCTCCAATTCGCGAGTTAGCTTGTCCGCACAGGCTTTGATGGGCATGCCCGTGCAATGGAATCCGAAGGGCCAGAGGACGCGACGTCCTTTCAGACGGTGGTACCGTACCGAGTACTCTGCTTTCGAGAGCGAAAAAGGTGTGACCCAAGTGGAGGCGTCCGTTCATGTAGGGAAAGGGGAAAGTCACGAAGAACTTCTCCGCCTGCCGTTTCTTAGGAGCCGTTGGAGCGTCTGACTCGTGAACCCGCTCCGTTTCCCATCGCTGCTGAACCTCTCGCTCGATCTTCTGCAAATATTCCACCTTAAAGGTACCCTTGCGTTCGCCTGTGGCCTGTTTTAGTAGGAAAACGTCGAATTAGCATGATATTTGCATTTCAAATGCACTGATTAGGCGGCAAATTGCATCAGCCGGTTTGCCATCGTGGCAATTTCGGTGCTTCATAAGTGAACGGGTGTTTCACTTTTTCAATGAATACTTACCATTGCTGAATCGTTAAGGGTCTTTGAAATTGTTCAGAACAATTCTTTAATTCAGATTGCAGCAACCACAAAAATCTAACTAAGATTTGTAATGCAACGCAACGTGTGTATAGGGTGTGGCCAGCCTAATTTTCGGCACTTTTTACCGAAACTGCTAGTCAAGGGATAGAAAATTTCTACGGATATGGAACATTGGAGCTTGGAACACGGGGATATGTTTATTTTTGTTAATATTTTTTAAAAAGGATAGACCGTTTTTTTTTTAAATTGGCTAACAAGTATCCATATAATATATAATATAATATATATATATTTGGGAAATCTACTACTATTTACAAAAATAAAGTGCACTAACGCGTTCTAGGGCTTTTCAAATTATCTGCGACGGGCACACTATAAATTTAACCTAGTTTTTTTTTCTTAATTAGTGTGAAAAGTTTTAGGACGTTTAGATAAATTGTAAATTAAGTGAACCGACCAGATTGCGCCAACGTAACGCAATCCCCCCAAGATGCGACCAGTATTTGCCTTTCTGCTTCTGGCACTCCTATGCTTCGCCAGCACCAAATCAGAAAGTGATTTCGAGGAAGACGACAGTGATGATTTTGCCGAATTCGACGACGGCAACTTCTACGCGGAGCCAGCAGCCAAGAACGCTGATTCTTTCTCCGGCGCAGCAGGATCTAGCCATGGAGAGTCCCGGGAAGATCCGTCTGCCAAGGATCAGCGAAAACCAGCACAAAATGAGGAGAGCGACGAGGAGGACGGGCTAGTCGAGGATGACGATGAATTCGAACACTTCCAGGTAAACAAACACAGGTGTTCACTTAGGAGGTTAGAACTTTGATCAATTATTTGACTCGTGGATCACGTATATATATGTATTCAGTTGGCTTTGTTCGTATACCCTTTGCGGGACTTTAAAGGTTGCTGTAAAGTTCTATTGGGAACATCAAAAATTCATTAGCTAATTAAAGCAACGTTTAAGAACTTTCACCTTATTGACAGTTTGTCTTTCCCTTGCCTTATCGAGGAACTAAGGTAGTTTAGTGTGATTGCCATTGAATTTTCCAGGTCTAAAAGTTATTAAACAATTATATAAACATAAAAGCGGTCGGAGTTAATAGAGTTTTTTGGTTTTAGTTGGTATACATTTTTTTTCACAAAGCCCTTGCTTGTATTTCAGGACGAGGAAGAGTTTGAGGGCTACGATGGCGGAGACTCCAAAGATCCACCCATTGATCAAAAAGTTGAGCCTAAACTGAACATACCCAACATTCCGCTGCACTTCCGCACTCATTGGGACTCCTACTGGATGGAGATGCTTATGGTGGCCGGGTTGTTGGCCTACTTTGCCAACTTCTTTGCCGGCAAAGCTAAAAACGCTAGACTAGCGCAACTTTGGTTTAGTACCCACAGGGCCCTGCTGGATGAGAACTTCGCCTTGGTCGGCGATGATGGTAAGGCTGAAAACGAGAATCCAGGCCTGATTAAGGAAAGCGAGAGTCTCTATACGTTGTGGTGCTCCGGTCGTACCTGCTGCGAGGGCATGCTCGTCGAACTGAAGATGATCAAGCGGCAGGATCTCGTCTCCTTGGTGGCGGGATTGATGCGCCCACAGCTAGATCAGGCCCACATCAAAATCGAAGCTCACACGCGGTGTTATGGATGCATTTGTATTTGCTGTTGGAACTAAAAAGACCATAACCAAGGTCTTCAAGGAGTATACGGATCTGGTAAGAAGTTCTTTTTCAAATATCCATACTTTTGAATTAATGTATCCTTTTGAAAACAGAGCAAGTTCTGTAGTCTAGTCGGCAAGCCGGAGGATCGCTACAATGTGCCCACCGGCTTTGGCGTGCTCTCCGAGGTTCCGGAGGCCACGTCCGCTATCCTCGAGTCACGTGTTATCACTGCACTAAATAAGTACCAAAGCTATATCGATTACCTGCATATCTCGGACCAGTTCAGTGGGCCCATCCAGCAGGAGGAAGGGGGCACTCTTAAGCAGCCCGAGACCAAGGCCGTGCTCCTCGCTGGCTTCAATTTGCCGAAGCACGCCGAAATGGAGACTATTAAGCCATTGTTATTGTTGATATTTTACTTGATGGAGCGTCTGAAGACTTATCGCATGTCCAAGGAGGTAATTTTAGTATTGTTTTTATATTTTCAAGAATATCCTATTAGTATCTGAACATTCCAGGGCAAAGCCAAGTCGGACAAGAACCGCCAGCGCGTCGAGGAGGAGTTTTTGAAGAGCACTCATGCCGCACGCGCTGAAGCTGCCGCTCAACGTCGCGAGGACAAGCGAAAGCAGGAGAAGGAACGCATCCTGGCCGACGAGGATCCCGAAAAACAGCGTCGCTGGGAGGCCAAAGAACAGAAACGCCAGGCCAAGAGGAACGCGCCCAAGATGAAGAGACTGGCCGTGAAGTCCCTGTAGATATGTCTTTAGTGTGCCATTAGCCGCAAGGAGCGCTTCCTTAACGTAAAAAAATTGACCACTAGTAGTTGTTCCTCTCAAATGCCAGAATAAAGCAATATCTATTTGTTTCCTATGGAGCGCCAAAACAAAAACCTCAGTTGTAGTTGACCTGAATCATGCAAAAATGTAGACTTGTAAAAGCCAGATAAGCAACGATAAGTGTAAGCTATTGTAATATAACCTGTAGCACTGGTTCACCTATCTCTATATATAACAAACCGATGCTTGTTTGATCAAAAACGAGCAGCCCGTTTTTAAATCAAATACGGTATTGAGGCATTTCTTTGTCCGAAAGAATTCTTAAGTATTTATTAGACTGGGATTTGCGTTACAAATTGATTTAAATGATGAGCTTTGCGAATGGTTGACGAACAAACATCTTTTCACAGGCACGTCGGTATGCGGGATTTAGGGCTTTTTCGAATTAACATTTGACAGGGAAGCAGTTCTCGTTGGATACATATGCGATATGATTGCGTAGAGTTTTGATCTGTTTCTGGGCTGCATCAAAGCTGTATGAAAGGGTGTTGAGTTGACCCTGCATCTCTCTGATCACAGCCTCCCGGTCGTTGACGGACAGTGAGGCAGTAGCTCGGCATTGGGCCAACTCCTTTTCCAGCCGATTGATCTGCTCTTGTTGTTGGGACTTGATTAGCTCGGCCCGTTCTTTGGTACCGGCAATAATCTTGGCCGATTCGGTACGCAGGGTGTCCAGATCGTCTTGGGTGGACTTCAGCTGTTCACAGAAGAGATCTCGTTGTCTGAGGAGCTCCTCCAGTTCGTTCCTGGCCTGGGACAATTCCATTTGGCACTGCGCCAGCTGTGGTCGCACATCGATGTTAGGCGTACTTTCTAATTGGGCCTTGCTGGCCTTCAGCTCCTTGCAAACGACCACCAGTTTCGTCTGCATCTCGTCCTTCTCCTTGCAAACCTGGGCCAACTTTAGTTGCTCGTTCTCCAGAAGCTTGGGGAAGTGCAGCAACTCGTTTAGTTTCTCCTGGAACTTGGCTCGGATTTCCTTGACCTCAGTATTGATCTGCTGTTCAATGCGTTTGTTGTTCATGTTCAGCTTCTCCAAAGAGACACACTGCTCCTCGACCTTCTGTTGGGCCAGAAGGTACTTGTTGCGGTAATCCTCCAGTTGCTGCGACTGCTCCTTCATTATGCACTTAAACTCCAGCTGCTCCTCTTTGAGTTCGTTGACCCGGGAACGAAGAAGATTAAGTTCGGCTGCATCAGCATCCCCATCGCCTCCCTTTGATGGACAGGGACCGCAGATGCCCTTCATCCTGCATGAGAAATGGGTATTCAATTTGACATACATATGTCATGAATATAGTCAAGAGTAACCTACCGCTTCTGCATCTCTTTCATCTGGCAGTCCTTGCGCTGGAACTCGGTTAGTAGCCTGGTGTAGTTCTCTTTCATCTTTTCGTACTTGTCGGCCTTCGTGTTTCGCTTTCCGCCACAGATGACCAGCGGATCGGGATCTTCTGGACACGGCGGCCTGGGAGGGCAAGGCCTGGAGCACGGACCCTCCTCCTCTTCCTCATCATCATCGTCGCCATCACATGGTTCCGGACCATCCCTGTTGCTTACTTCCTGGAGTAACTTCTTCACCGATGACTGCATGCTTTGAATGCGACGCTTCAGCTTTTCCAAAGACTCACACTTTGCGGGGGGGCATGGAACAGGGCATGGGGGGTTTCGCTGCCTTCTTTTTGCGGGACATGGATGACAAGGAGTTATGCTACTGCTGCTGCTCTCTGGGCATGGGGGTGGACACGGACCCTGACAGGGTGGCGGACACGGGGGTGGACAGGGCTTCGGACAAGGTCCGGGAACGCAAACAGGCTGCTTCTTGCAGCTCATGATGGCACAGGCGATTTCCTCTATCATCTTCTTGTCCTCCGGACAGGCACCCTTCATCTTCTGCATTGCTTTTTGAAGGGCACAGATCAGCTTGTCGTCCTGACCAGCCATATCCCGTTGACCTCCTCCTCCTCCACCACCACAAACACTGGCAGCGGAGCTGGCATCCTCACTACAGGGATCTGTGGCACTGCCACCCGGAGGACAAGCTCCTATGCCGCACATGTACGGCGACAGGTTGTCCTCGTCCACGGTGGTGGTCATGGGGAGCTCCTTGTAATGCCGATGGGAGCCAAAATTCTGCAGTTGCACCGCCCTGTTCATCATGGTGTGCAGCTTTATGTTCTCCTGTTCCATGCAGATTCTCAGTCGCTTGATCTCCCTCAGCTCATTTCGCGTCTTGCAAGGTTTGGCGCACATGTCCATGATGTTTCCCTTGATGTCCTGGATGATCTTGTTCTGGCAATCAATCTCCTTGATCAGTGCCAGGTACTCCATGTACATGCGCTTCTGCTCGGGATCGTCAGAAGACTCGCCCAGTTTGGAGAAGAGGTCCTCATCGGGCCCCTCCTCCATCATATGGAACTCCCCTACGTACTGGTTCTCATCGTCCTCGTACTCACCGCCCTCATCCGTGTACTCTGTGTTCTCAGCCATTTCGTCTCAAATTCAGTAAACGATTCCGCCAAAACCGAATAGAAGTTAATAATATCTGAAATATTTTTTTTTCACTTTTCTTCCGATTGAAATTACTAGCGATTTTGGGCTACTTCTATTCTGGGTAAAATTTAACACATATTCTGAAAGAGAAAATTTCGAAAAAGTTTTAGACGAATCAGTTGTTTCTTCGCTAACGAATAAAATGAACTGAAAGATCCACGGACGCGCAGTCTAGACAGTTGGCAACAGATTTGGAATGGCCTGCTCGGACTGTGGAGAGGCGAACGAAAAGTCCCAGAGCTCTGGGTTCGAGTGGAGCTTCTCGAGAAACGAGCGCCTCGGGGTGGGTCAGAACGAATGTGTATCCAAACATTTGTTTGGCGAAACCAACAATTATATTTATTACTGCCGATATTTTTCATTGGTTCAAAATTCAAACGCAGACGAACTTGAAAACGATCAACTTTTTCATTATTAAATAAATAAATAAAATATTGTATTTTGAGAAGGTTGGGCAGTTATTGAACTTTTTGTCTCAGAAATCTTATTGCTTTTTAAATATAAAATGAAAATCATGGCAGTCCCAAGTCCCTTTCCGCCTTCAGCGGATTCCTTCAAGAATAAGATGACGTTCCAGTAGGCGGAAAACATTTTTTCGTTCAAATACTTTTCGTAACGTATCCCGTAAAAATTCTATCTTTTTTTGGGAAATCGAATGTGTCATAACGTTTTAAAAAATTCTCTGTTCGCCAAAAACAGTGCAAAAAATTACTGAAGTGAAATATTAACCAAATAGGCTAAATTTTCGTAGATGTTAAAGCCATCAAGGGGTTCTAAGCCACAAGCCACAAGACAACGCCCACTTGGATTCCATCCCCGAAATCGGGTGTCTTCCATCTCAATGGGATTGGATTTCGAATTGGATGAGAAGACCGAAGATCATCCCGATGAGAAGAGCAGCCTTGTCAGCCTCTCCCGGCAGAATTCAGGTATCCAGGATAAGATGAGTGCTAGCAGTTTGGGATTTAGGGATCGTGGAAGTACTAGTGTATTGCAATTGCCAAAGAATGGCAAGGAAAGCAAAGAAGTTGAGCTAATCCTGAGTGATGGAGAACCTGAAGATTATCGAAAGGGCCTTGGTCCAGATAGGAGGTTACCCAACTCCCAAGCAATTGGTAGCAATCTCAAGGACGAACTCAGCAAGTACAAGCAGGAGCTAAAGGAATACAACGAAACCACCAAGGACCTAGAGGAGAAGTACATGAAAATCAACTACGAGCTATGCGAAATGCAACAGAAGCACGATAATTTTGTGTCCAGTAGAGCACAATCTTCCGAAATGGATATGGCAAGTAAAGCCGATCGTGATAGTTTCTATAGCTCGGCCACCAGTGTGGCTTCGCAAATGACTATTAGACGAAAGAGTCCCAAGGTCCTGCAAAGTAATACCAGTTTCATGACTGTTCTATCCGCCCAGAGTTCCTGTGACGAAATCGGCCGGAAGAAGTACTCATCCGAAAGGAGTAACCATCAGACGAAGAATCACCGAAATAAGAGCAGCCTCTCATCCCATGTAGAAAATGTTTTCAATAGTCGTATTGTGGAAACACTGGCTAACCGGCATATGAGACGAAAAAAAGGATCTTTGGAGCAGGGCGATCGGGAGAGGGAGCCCTCATCATTCAAGGATGTCTACAATGTCCTGAAGGACGTGATGAACACCTCACAGGTAGGAACTTTATAAATGATTTGAAATAGGATTTCTATATCGTAATATAAATATTATAAATATTTTTCTTGCCTAATAGGACCGCAAGTACAAGCACGAACGAGATCGGAATAGAGACAGGGATTCGGGAGACCTAAGTGAACTCCTGACCACAATCAAGAGCCTGAAGAGTGAGCAACTCCAATTCCGGTCACTCATTCGCCAACAACAGGACCGGATTGCGGACTATCACAGTCGGTGTGTTAAGGCCCAGGACATCATGAGCACCCAAAAGCAGGAGATCGACAAGCTGCATGTGAACAACAAGCAGTTGGAGTCGAGCATTTATCATGACATAGACAGTCTGCGATCCAAGATAGACACCAAACTGAAGAGTGTGTCCCATTTGCCAAAGATGATGCGGGACGAGCACAGCAAGTACGAGAAGGTAATGCGGGAAAATTGTCTGCTGGCGGATAAACTTCATGCCCTTCAACAGGAGGCCATGCAACTGAAGGCCAAGATAGATGAGTTGGGCAGAAGAAAGCTTGTCACCATCAACAGACTTAAAGCTGCCGAAAGGGATCTAAAGATATTCAAAAACTATAACTCTGCCTTAAAGTCGGAGAAGAGGAAATTAACCCAGGACCTGTCCACAATGAAGGATCAGTTGGAGCAGCTCCAGGCGAGTAGTAAGCGCCAACTTTCCCGCCATCGTGAGCAGAGTGAAAAGCAGCGCAGAGATCTGCAGAAAAAGATTTACGACCTCGAGCTGAAACTGAGTAGGAGCCAAAACTCCACATCCAGCTTAATTCAGGAACGGGATAGCCTGATAGCTGAACTCCAGACGCAGCTCCATACCTTGGTGCACAATTTCGAGGTCTCACAGAAGCACATAAGGGTTCTCCGGCGGCATATCTATTCCATGACGAATCCGGGTGGTGCGGGAATCGGCTGTAGTGGCGGTGGCCCGGCTGGCATTGTAGGTTCCCATCGACCCAGTCTGATCCGGATAAATCAGCTGTCCCAGGGATCCAGCACCGGACGACTCGGTAGCCCGCGAACGCTGAAGGCCAAGATCTAGGAAGGGGCTTGTCTTAAAAAGTTCAAAACCTAGATTGGGTTTATCAGCTGTCCAGGCAACTTGAAGGTACGATTGTCATCTCCCGGACCATACCATCAAGTTGCCTGGATATGTCCCAAAGCTATCGAGAAACCAATTATTTCACTCTAATGATCATGTTAACTTGTCACTTTTTTTAAAACAACTATTTTTTTATTATTATTGGTTTCAATGGGTTGTGGCTTTCCAGCTGATACTCTTACTGCCCTCCTTCAACCACAACCTTTGTTAAGATAGCTCCCGGATATGGACGTTTGGCCACAATGATCCTTGCAGTTCATCATTTCTTCTTCATTAGACATCGGTATCACTGGTGTTTCCGATGGTTCAGTCAAGGTTGTGGTCTGCCTAGTTTCTTTACATTCCTCACTCGTCACCAGCTTCACGTCGTCGATGGCTATGTCTCCGAAGCGGGAGCTCGCATTGGTGGCCGTAAATATTACTTGAAAGTCCTCTAGCATCTCGTCGATTCTCGTGATTCTTTGAGAAGTTACGGGTACCTTATAGTCACGACACTCGACTATAGGGTTTCCTCTTGTTATCTTTATTATTTGGTGTTGTGCTGATAATTTCTTAAGCTTTCCAGACTGAGTCACAGATGCCAAAATGTTCTGCTTTTATGAGTTTTTTGAAATATATTTATTGAAAAAGCTCGCTCTTAAATTTAATTTGATTATAATTTTTAAAATTTTGCAAACAAAATGGAATTTCAAATCAATATGTTGGTTGTATAGTATTCTTCCAACCATATAATGAACGTTAAAAGGGAATTATAAAATATTAAAAATAAAGCAGTTTTAAGCATAATATAACGGCAAAGCTAAAGCCAAAACAGCTGTGAAAATGGATAGTCCAGTCCTGGGCGAACTGTTTGCCTTTTGATGCAATGCAGAAGGTGGTGGTTGCTCAGTGATCGGCTCCGCTGTTCCCGCAATTCTGCTGCTATTCGTTGGATTCGTAATGCCGGATTCTTGTGGTTTCGATGTTGTGTGGTTGGTGACGGTTTCGTTGGTGGTATTGTTGGTGATATTGTTGGTGGTGCAGTTGCATTTGGGAGTAGTGTGGATGGTTAGGTTGTCGGGCTTGAGGGTGTTTGTGGTATTGTTAGATGTAGGGGCAGGTGGTTGCTGGCAGTGTTGATTTGTTGGTAATTGAAGTTGTTGGTGGAATGGGGGTTACAGTAGACTTTGGTAGGTGATTGGTATTGTTGGTGATGGAGGTACGTTGCTGCTGGAGTTGTGGATTTGTTTGTGTTGTTTCTGGTCGTACTGTTGATGATATTTGGGGTGGTGGTCTTGTAGTTGGAGGTGTTTCTGGTTGGATGGTTTTGTTGGTGGTATTGTTGTTGATACTGTTGGTGGTGCAGTTGCATTTGGGGGTAGTGTGGATGGTTAGGTTGTCGGGTTTGAGAGTGTCGGTGGTGTTGTTGCCTGTAGGGGCGGTGTTGGTATTGTTGTTGGTGGTGTGGATGGTTTGGTTGGTGTTGGCATTGAAGGTGTTGGTGGAATTGTTGGTTGTTGGGGTGTTTCTGGTAGTGTTGTTGCTGCTATTGTTGGTGATGGGGGTTATGGTAGTTGGTGGTGGAGACGTTGCTGCTGGATTTGTTTGTGTGGTTTCTGGTCGTACTGTTGATGATATTTGGGGTGGTGGTCTTGTAGTTGGAGGTATTGATGGTCGTATTGCAGAAGGTGGTGGTTGCTCAGTGATCGGCTCTGCTGTTCTCGCAATATTGCTGCGATTCGTCGGATTCGTAATGCCGGATTCTTCTGGTTTCGATGTTGTGTGGTTGCTGATGGTTTTGTTGGTGGTATTGTTGTTGGTAATGTTGGTGGTGCAGTTGCATTTGGGGGTAGTGTGGATGGTTAGGTTGTCGGGTTTGAGGGTGTCTGTGGTATTGTTGCCTGTAGGGGTGGTGCTGGCAGTGTTGCTGCTGATTTTGTTGGTGATGGGGGTTACAGTAGACTTGGTGGTGATTGGTGCCGGATACGTTGCTGCTGGATTTGTTTGTGTTGTTTCTGGTCGTACTGTTGATGATATTTGGGGTGGTGGTCTTGTAGTTGGAGGTGTTTCTGGTTGGATGGTTTTGTTGGTGGTATTGTTGTTGGTATTGTTGGTGGTGCAGTTGCATTTGGGGGTAGTGTGGATGGTTAGGTTGTCGGGTTTGAGGGTGTCGGTGGTATTGTTAGATGTAGGGGTGGTGTTGGTATTATTGTTGGTGGTGTGGATGGTTTGGTTGGTGTTGGCATTGAAGGTGTTGGTGGAATTGTTGGTTGTAGGGGTGTTTCTGGTAGTGTTGTTGCTGCTATTGTTGGTGATGGGGGTTATGGTAGTTGGTGGTGGAGACGTAGCTGCTGGATTTGTTTGTGTGGTTTCTGGTCGTACTGTTGATGATATTTGTGGTGGTGGTCTTGTAGTTGGAGGTATTTCTGGTCGTGTTGTAGAATATATTTTGAGTGGTGGTCTTGTAGTTGGAGGTATTGATGGTCGTGTTGCAGAAGGTGGTGGTTGCTCAGTGATCGGCTCTGCTGTTCTCGCAATATTGCTGCGATTCGTCGGATTCGTAATGCCGGATTCTTCTGGTTTCGATGTTGTGTGATTGCTGATGGTTTTGTTGGTGGTATTGTTGTTGGTAATGTTGGTGGTGCAGTTGCATTTGGGGGTAGTGTGGATGGTTAGGTTGTCGGGTTTGAGGGTGTCTGTGGTATTGTTGCCTGTAGGGGTGGTGCTGGCAGTGTTGCTGCTGATTTTGTTGGTGATGGGGGTTACAGTTGACTTGGTGGTGGTTTGTGGCGGATACGTTGCAGCTGGATTTGTTTGTGTTGTTTCTGGTCGTTGTGTTGACGATATTTGGGGTGTTGATCTTGTAGTTGGAGGTATTTCTGGTCGTGTTGTAGAATATATTTGGGGTGGTGGTCTTGTAGTTGGAGGTATTGATGGTCGTGGTATTCCTGGTCGTGTTGTAGAATATATTTTGGGTGGTAGTCTTGTAGTTTGAGGTACTGATGGTGGTGGTCCTGTTTTACAGACACCTTTCACTAGCCCCACGTCGTCGATACCGATGTCTCCGAATGGCTTACCCAAATTTTTGGCGGTAATTACTATCTGGAAGTCCTCGTTCACCTTGTCGATGTTGACTCCCTTCTCTTGCCATTCGGCAAGATTCGAGCCAACCAAGCTTACCCTAAGGAAACAACGCATACATCATGTTATTGGTGGGATACTGAACATTAAAATCTTTTGTGATTTTAAGAAATCAAATTATCGAAATTCTACAAAATTTTGCGATAATGACTAATTTTTATCAAATCGAACTTCCGCTGTTGGCAACTTACGTTTCTTTCAAGTCGTCTATGGCCATGGAAACGGGCTTGACGGAAACCCCCAGGGAACCAACTCCCCTTCCGAACATGAAGTACTTGAACCGGAAGCAGACCGCATCTACAGTGACATTCTTAGGATATATCGGCGATATCAGGCTGTTGGCTTCCAAGTAGTTGCCAACCGTGGCCATACGCATGTAGTATCCTGTCATATTGAATGGTCCCGTGTTGTCGTAATGGAAATAGGTCAACGTACTGACACGTTCCCAAACTGCAGAGGAGGGATACTCTGACCAGCCGCACTCATCTGCCTCGAAATCGCAAGAGTAATCCGAAGTGTTTATCCTTCGACAATGTCCTAACTGGTTGCTCCAATTTTTTCCATCGCAATAGGCAATTGTATTGCCAGCCGCCACATAACCGCTTGGGCAGTAAATGTCTGATGATAAAGAGTTACTGCGGATGTATGGGTGACCTCTTCTATCTTTGCAACCTTTTTCTGAAAATTGAATATATTAGTAGAGACAATTATAAGTAATTTACTAAATTAATTACTTGGAAAGAATAATTATCTTAGAAAAGAGTTTAACTTTCATAATTGTGATCGTATTCATTGATTTCACGTTTCCATAAAAAAGACTTCAAACTGAATAAGTTGAGCACTTTAATTTAGAACTTTATCAGTTTTATTCCATTTAAAAATAACTTTCTGGCTTTTAGGTTTATTGTAATGTTGGTTTCATTAAAATAGATCTGAACTTACTGGCACAGAAGGGTTTCTTTCCTTGTATGCGACCATCTGGATTGCAGGAAAACATTGGTCTTCCCATCAGAGTGTAACCTGGATCGCACTGAAATAACAAACCGTCTGCATGATATGTGACATTCCCGTGACCTAATTCAAAGTTATGATAACATTTTCCTGTTGATTGGTCTATTATAATTGCAGAAAGAAGTGCCAAAAATAGGAAATAGTCCATGGCTACGACTACTGCTGTTGTACTTAGGAGTATGTATAATGCCCGAAAGTTGATGAGTGACTGATCCGATCCGTATTCCGCGATCAAACTCTATAACTCTGGGATCCGAAAATTTAAAAATTTTGGTGGAATACAATTGCCTGAGCTGATAACGCTGTTGTGCAACTATTTTCCCTGATTTGAAAATAGCCAGGGAGTATTAGTTCAGATTGTTTTTTCTTATCACCATCCCAATCAAAAAGTGTTCCTTTATTAATTTTCTGAAGATCACACTTTATTATCTAGCTTAAGTGAAAATAAATTTTTAAGAGTATATGTCAGGTAAATTTTTACAAATTTGATAACAGAAATTGCCCATATAGAGCTTCTCGGGCTGAGTACAGGGTATCTTATTGGCTGGACTACTTTTGTATGTACGGAACTCGTGTCCTTCATGTCGATTAAAAGTGTATTTTAACGGCTTTACCCGTCAGTCTCTAGGGATTTCTATTTTAAGCAAAATTAATTTTTTTTTTTTTTAATTTGTGATTTATTTCTTAGAAGCTTAGGAATGCGGAGTTAATTTTTCATGTGGGAGTACTTATTGATAAAAAAAATGAGCGCCTGCAAGCTGAAATGACTGTTGAGAGCTTTTCAAGCCTGAAACCGGAAAAGGATTCCCTTCGAATTGTAATAATTTTTAAGCTAATTGATATTGGAAAAGTCTAAATAAATTTTCTCTTTCTTTTATTTTGTATTGACTTTGTGGTTAATTTTGCATTTTGTGATCTCATTCCAAACCTAAGTACGAAGCAATATGCAATGTAAACAAAGCTATTCCATAGAAATCCACTTGCCTGGCAATTTTCGTTCTTCTTCAGCTGATTCCCATAGTATATAGTAGCGATCGGGTGTTGTATATGTGCATTGATATGTAAACATTTTCCACAGCCACTTTGGAGCGTGATTCTGTGCGAAAAGTGTTTGGAATCGGGTGGTTTCTGTGGGTGCCTGTGGACCTGGTGGGGAAGGGAACTGGGGCCGATGACAGCTGAAATAAAAGAAATAAGTGTGTGCGATGGGGAGCAAGTAGGAAGCATTCTTCTGCGGAGAAAGGCGGAGAATCAGTGAGCAGAGCACGGTCTAAATATATAACCAGATTCTCTCAGAAATAATTTTTAATATTAAAACAACTAGAAATGCTGTAGTTTAGGTACAGACTGAAAAGTGCCTGTCATTTTTCAGAATTCCTAAATATTTCGAAATTTTATTCAATATCAAAATTACCAAGTTATCACAAATGTTCCCGGATTTATACATATATATATATTGGAATTCATAAAAAATGTAAGCCCAAATGCCAGATTTCCGTTTTATGAGATTACATAATTCATTATCGGCTTGGTAAATCTGAGTAAATGAGTCGCAGGAGCCTGTGAGTCAACATGAAATTATATTTTTCCTTGAGTTCAGTGCACATGTCCCGAAACCCGGATGAACATAGCATACCTAGCTCATTTGTAAGCAGTGGGTATCATATTGTCGGAGATGGCCAGCGGGGAGCATATTGAAATGAAGCCAAAGGTGCGCTGATGTTTTCGGCTTTTCAGTTTGGCTTTTCCAATGTGAGGGTCGCTCGGCGATTTGTTCTCGCTCAGTTCGATTTTCGCACACGACGCGGGCGAATGCGGATGAGTTTGATAGTTTAGCGGATTTGCAGTGACACGCTCCGATGGGCAGCTCGCATTTTTCCGAGATGATGACGCAGTGCGTCTTCCTCGTCGTCGTGTTGCTGATTTTGTCACACGTGCGGGCAGCTGGCGATGAGACTTCTTCCGCCTACGAATCTGTATCATTACCCCCTTCCCCTTGCTTGCGTCATTCGGGCGACGCTCTACATGACATCTTATTCGGAACGCACTAGTCAGGATTTCGGTTTGCCTTTGGATATAGATTGCAGTGGAAACGACTCCCTGGAGTTGAATTCCTTTGACCTGGGTGCCAAAAGAGTGGCTGGAAAAAGGCATGTTCTTCTCGATGGATCCCAAACACCTCCATTGGGAATATCAAGTTATGGCCTGGAGTACCTGGATAACTGTGTGGACCTCGAGAGCCTAGAAATCCAACGTTTTGTGGGTGATTCCACCCTGAAACTATCCTGTGGAGGAGCTTTAATACCCAATCTCACAGCTGTATCCCTAAGAAACAACGAATTGGGCACCTTCAGCGAAGATACTTTCCAGCACACACCACATCTGAAACTGCTCCAACTGCAGTGGAATTCCTTGAGGTATCTGGAAAGGATAAAGGGCTGTGCTGAGCTGAAAGACCTCTATATTCAAGACGAAGCTGATCTGGTACTGAAAGATAATGGCTTCCTTTCACAGCTGCCACAGTTGAAAAAGCTTCGGTTGGAAAAAATCAAAAGGGTAGAGGACGCGTTCTTGAATACCTTGCCGGAAAATTTAACAGATCTGGTGCTCGAAGAAACGCCCGTTAAGCCAGGATACCTACGTCTGACCAAAGGCATAGCCAAGCTGGTTAACGTTACCCTCACAAATTGTCAGCTGAGAAGTTTTGCCTTGGATCCTCCGCACAATCTGGACATTATTTACCTAAACCTCAGTGGCAATGCCTTGGAGTCTTTTAATGTTAGTTTTCAAAGTGGTCCAAGCACCCTTCAGATCCTGGATCTGAGCAGAAATAACTTGGAACACTTGAACTTCACGTGGTTTGAGAGGACCACCAGTCTTCGCACTCTGTACTTGCAGGGAAACCTCATCCACTCACTGTCCCTCTTCCAATTGGGCATGGTTTCTCCAGCCACAATTCAGCATATTGATTTGCGATCCAATAAATTGATGAGTATGAGGGATATAGAAAAGGCCAATAACCCTTACTGGAACCCACAACTTCGCATTTCAGTCGATGGCAATCCTTGGAGCTGCCTGTGGTTTCAGAAATTCTCGGACACGCAATTTCAACTATTCAGGCTTTTCCAGTACTCCAAGTATATATTTCACATGAATGTCAAAGGTTTGACCTGCCAGCCCCAAGAACCGCCTACGGAAGAACCCCCCAAGGCGGTAAGAATCATGCATGTGAGAATTAATGGTTCTGACTCTTCCGTCCCAGTGCCACATCCACCAGGAAATGTTTCCAGCTTCACAGTTCTTTATGGAAACCCGATAGAGCTGCACCGGAGTCAGCGATCACTGGCGTTGATAATCGTATTTATGTTGCCTCTGGGGATTGCATTCCTCTTCCTGTTGCTGTACCTATACCTCCATTGCGAACGACTCTTCCACTTGTCCTACTACGCCTCTGGACTGCCCTGCTTTGGCGGCGAAAAGTCATCCAGTGGACCTAGGTTTGTGGATCACGTGGACATAGTGCGCTATCCCATTGCAAACGGCAGTTCTCCAGTGGACTTAGAAACGGAATTGCCTGACGGTTACGAGACTCCAGTCAGTGGGGGTGCTTCGATTTGCAATTGCACCGGACACAGGGAATCGGCCTGTTCGAGGACCCATCATGTCACCTACGAATCTCTGCCAACTGAGCTTCCATACCAACTTTACGCAGAGATCAAGGAGCCAGCAGATGAGAATGGAGAGCAAGGCGAGGTGTTGGCTCTCACTCCAGGCCCAACTGCTCCCATCTACGATCATCTGTCCTTTGTGGAGGAGATGCCCAAATTGGACGAACTGAGAGATATTTCCTAGATATCATTTACGATTTATACCGAATAATATTATATGATAGTTGATTTTTATTAAACCCTATATTAAATGCTTAACTGAGTGATAACATAATCAAAAGATAACATCAACCGAACACATATTCTTGATACATTTACCTTTGAAAATATTATATTTTTCGCACATCAGCAGTAAATGTATAGTAAGTGTCATACGAGCATTGAAATTGTAACAGAAATGCCCTATGACACTTCCTGTACAGTTGCTGGCTGATGACATCCAAAGAGAAAAACTTCTTATAAACTTCTGTTTTTATTGTTACTAAGTTCATTTAGTCTGTGGTGAAATAAATTTATTTTAATTTGTGCCTCTTTGTATCCTTAATTTCTCTGTCTTCGCTGTGTAATTAAATGGTAAGATTGGCCAAGATTAAATTCGAATTAAAGTTCGTTTAAAACACTGATGCAATCATTTCATCATTGGTTTCCGGGAGCTCACTACTATACGCCGTATGATGTTTGGTCTCTTTATGGTGGGTTTAATGTCCTTGAGTTCTTCAGTTTCCATTGGTTTTTCATTTTCCTTGGTGAGCTCCGCAGTTAGAGATCTATCGGTAGGACTTAAATTGTGAACAATGGGATCATTCGCACTAAACTTGACCGTCTTTTGCGAATCTTCAGCAAAAACTTGTCGTTTTTTGGTCAGAATGGAGCGCATATTGTTGTTAGTCGATTCTTTAATAGCAGGAACCCTTACAGGAGTTCCCTTACGTTGCGGTTTTTGCGGCGTGGGACTGTTAAGAATTTCAATGGCCTCGAATCCCTCTTTCTTGGGAGTTTCTTTGAAAGACTCTTCGCCACTGTCATCAGGCTCCATTTCCAGCTTTACGAGCTTTACAGGTGTTCCTTTACGCTGCGGTTTAGCAGGCGTGTCCATCCCAGGCTCTAGCAAGACTTCATTGGACTTCACTTTAATTTCGCCCAAGCGTTGCTTGACTGGAGTACCCTTCATTAAAGGTTTAGCTGGGGTATTCTTTTCTTGGGCGTCATTTTGGTTAATGTCCTTCTGGGGCGTCGCTTCATCAAGATCGTTATGTTGAAGGCTTAAATTGACTTTAACAGGAGTGCCTTTTATTTGGGGCTTTGGAATCGATTCCGAAGCATTGAACTCCATGTTTTCCGATTCTTCATTTTTGATATTAACCTCGGCCGTTTGCTCAAAGTTCAAGTTGACTTCTTTTTTTATTTTGATACCCATAATTGTCTTAAAAGGTGTGCTGTTTTTCACAGGCATAACTCCGTAATCTTCTTCCTGTTTGATTTTTACAGGTGTTCCCTTTCGGGTAGGTTTTACTGCATGCATAAGAGGACCCTCTACCTCTTCCTTAACGTCAGTCTTAATGGGTGTATCTAGAACAATAGTTTCAATAGGAGTTGGAAGAGTTGTGGACGTGGTTTTTGGTCCAATTGAGCAGTTATTCGGAGTAGGTAATTGGGCTAATGAAGATGATGATTGGGCTGCACTGACAATGCGAGGCAACGCAGCATTTAACTCCGCTTCCTTGATGTTAAACTCCATGGCCTGCATGGGTTTGAAACCGATTTTATGCTCCGTAAGCAGATTTTCACGATCAATGAGCACACAGCGGGATTTCAAAGACTCAAAGCGCCAACTGAAATAAATATATATTAGTTTTGAAACCGAAAATTAACCTATAGTAGATATAGTACCGTGCCATTTCCTGCTGCACCGATCGCATTCGTTCCTCTAGTCCGGCCTTCTGGATGTGCAAGCTATGAAGCTGCGCCTTCAGCTCCTCCGTTTCGCGTCTAAATGGGGATTAGGATTATGCATTAAGGGTATTGAGGCTACCTAACTGGTCAGCAAGAACAGGCCGTAGCTGGTGAGGCTCAGCAACTGATTGCCGAGTGATGCCAGCGCGGTATCGACCAAGAGGGGCAACTCATACTTGCAGAAATCCAGTATCGAGTCCAGCCAAGTGACCGACTTCTCGGAGGCCAGCTGACGAAGCCGTTCCTGGGAGAGATTCAGTTGCCTTTCCAGACTATCGTTTGCAGCCATCAACTGACGAATGCGCTCATTCAGCTTATCTGCAAAAGGAAAATAACGATTAGCAGAGGAAAAATATTTAGAAGATGTGCGTCCTATCGCTCCCGTGTACATAAAAGGAAATACCCACTCTGATACGTCTTGTCCGCACTGCAGAAGATGGTGCTGCAGGCCTGCAACTCCGTGTGCATGGCCACGTTCTCCCGCTTGAGACGCCTGATCTCGAACTGACTCTCCGAGAAAGTCTTCTTCATGTCCAGATAGCTCTTCTTCTGTGCCGCCAGCAGCTTCTTCATCACCTGCCTTTGATCGTCCACCTCGGCGAACAGGGAGTTCCCTTTGCGATCTACCAAAAGTATAAAATTCAATTTTACTTCTAGTTTACAAAGCGGTTCTACTTTAACTACCATTGTTTTCAGGGGCGGAAGTCAGCAATGCTATCTTGGCATTTGCATCCACAAGCTGTTCCTGACAGCTCTCTAGCAACTGCAACTTCTCCTCCAGTTCGTCCCGCTTGCAGTTGAGGTTCTGCTCCATGCAGCTCACCCGATCTTGCAGACACTCGATAGTTTTCTGACAGTTTAGGAGGTTACATTAGTGGTTAGGTATTTCAGCTGTTAATGAGTTTATAGTAACCTCTTTCTCGGCGACTGCTAAGGTGGTGGCGACTTGGGAGTCCTCGTAGTCCGCCAGTTTTTGCATCAACTCACAGTTCTCTAGTTCCAGGGCATTAAATCGCGACATAAAATCCTCGTGTGGATCATTTGATTTGGACGCCGCCTTATCTGCAAGTTCTCGTTCAGTAGCGGCCAGTTTATCCCTTAGTTTCCTAGACTCCTCTACATTTGAGTCATAATCCAGCTGCAAAGTATCCTGTTCCTCTTTTAGAGCCTTATACTTCCGACGCAGTTCCTCTAGTTCTTGGGAGTCCGCTCCCGACTTATTGACCACCGGCTGGCTGCTCAGATGTTCCAGCTCCTGGGTTAAATACGATTCTGCCGCCAAAGCAGTGTCCAGATTCCTTTTTAGCTCATAAATCCTCTGCGCATCCTTCTCGCTCTGATCCTTCAACTGCTGGTGGCGATCGTGCAGAAGCTTGTACTCCTCCACGATATCATCCACACTTAGGGCGGAAAGGTCTAGATTTTTATACATATTGCACGTCTTTGAATTCCAATTAAATTGTTTACTCGATTTATATTATTTTCTTTTTGAAAAGAGACGCTTGATATTAGCGTTGCCAGAAAATTTCAAGCTAAGCAGTGTGACCGTAGCCGAAAAGCCTCACTATGAAATAAGAATGATAATTGTTCTCTTTTGCACCGGTAATATAATGCTCTTATCCAAAATCGGAAATTTAATCGAAGCAACATCTATATAATTATAAAAGAGGATTTCTCATAATTAGACATTTTAAGTAACAGAATCTAGGCCATCAACATGTTGCAGCAACATCGATCGATGTCCTATCGAAATATGTATGCGATAGTTGTTGTCGATAATGCACGCTGAAATTTTAAAAGTGTAGCCTACTTTTTGGTGTTGGCTTTTCCTATGAATTTAAAACAATCATAAATATTTATTTTATTTATTTATTTATTTACTTCTTTTAAACATATAAAAATTCGAATAAAGCGAATAATAAAAATAAGAACTTTCGACAAATTACAAAAAAATACGCATGCGCATTTCAAATGTTTGTCCGAATTTCGCTACCAAGGCGACCATTTTGGTTTTCAAACAGCTTGTTCTCTTCCAAGGTATAATTGTTTATCAGAATAAGATCAAGAAAATGCAGCAGGACGACGGACAGGATAAAGCCCAGCAGCAGCTGCAAAACTTCCAGTCAGACGACTTGCTGGAAAAACTAAAATTACTCAACTACGAAAAGCATTTGCTGAAGGAGTTCAAGCTAAAGCCCCTGTCGCGTTTCTACTTTGTGAAGGCCACCAATCCCGGCGAGCAGTTCTATATGTTTACCTTGATATGCTGGTGGCTCTGTAAGAAGCTTGGCAAGGACATGGAGCGGCCACAGGAGTACGATGATCCCAACACAGTGGCTGCCAATATCATCAAGATGCTGGGAGAGATTGTGAGTACTTGAATTTCTTTCACTTTTAGAGTAATTTTTGGAAAACTTTTTCTCAGGATGTCCCACTGGATTTCCAACCGAACAAACTGATACGTGGAGCTGGACCGATCTGCTTGATGGTCCTGGATGTCCTCTCATCGCAAGCCTGCAAGGTGGCCAAGGTGGGATACCAAAAGCTGCACATTGCCCAGGAGGAAGAGTTTCTGGGTGATTATCTGGAGGACAATGCTGAGATTATATTGGAAAAGCTGGAGGATGAGCAGAATGCAGCCGCCTTGAGTGATGATAGCGACATGGAGCTGGAGGCGCACAATTTCAGGCAGCTAAATTGGATAAATCGTCCCCAGAAAAAGTCGATTGGGGATGTTAACCTCGATGACAAGGAGTTGGATGCCCGGATGAGCGATCATCAGGAGTGGCACCTGGAACTGGAGAGGGTTCTGCCGCATCTGAAAGTCTTCGTCAAGGCGGATGCCAGAGATTGGAGGACCCACATCAGTCAGATGGAGGCGCTCAGAGCGACTATAGAAGAAATCTCGGAGACCACCGAGGCGCAACTGAAGAAACTCCACAGCGAGTTCACCTTTAGCTTGGAGAAGATCGAAAGTCGCGAGAAGCATCTAAACAATGAACTCCAGCCTCTGATTCAGCAGTTCAAGGAACTGTCGATTGAGCTGTCCGCCATTCAGTATGCCCAGAATCAAGTGCAGGCGGACACGGAGAAGCAGATGGCGGAGCTCAACGAGGTCATGTTGGAGCAGGAGCTTAAGAAGGAGGAAATGGAGCGACGTGGACAAGTCATGTCCGATGGCAGTGAGTATAAGGGGATTGCTTAAAGGGATTTGGGTTTCAGGGCTGGGTATTTCCATGCTTAACAAATACAGCAATCAGTTGAGATCAGGGCAATATACCATTAACATCGACACCTTTCACTATCTATTTGCTCTGCAATGATAAGAGGTGCTCTGTTTGGCATCTTTGTCCCTGATTCCGGTTAACAGAAAATCACAGATCCCTCTGGGAGCCACCCACGTCGCTGCATGGTGCTAATCCCTATCCGATTGCCTTTCTCTACTTATCAGGTTCGGTGCAGCAGATCAGGAAATCGATCGCCAAGCTGAAGGAGGACATTGCGCAACTCAATCTGGAAGTGGCTCTGCTGGTGCATGCCCACGACCAGGACATAGTGGTGCGGCAGTTGAGCCAAAATCAAACCACCGACGTGGCAAACAGCCCATAAAACCTATAGCCCGTTGATAAGGAACTACTTAGCATAATCTATCATCTGGTAAATCCCTGCCAGCCCGATCTTTTCACACCTTGCCGATGGGTGTCGGTTGCTCTCGTTTGCACTCGTTCTGAAGGAGATAACTGCACTGAAAAATAATGACCTGTTGGAATATAGTTTTTATTAAAGATTGGTTTTCCTGGAAAGTAGTTTGATTATTCTTTTCTTTGGAATTTTAAGAACATCTTTCCTTGCTTTGATGATCTTAGAATTTGCTATTTGATTTCCATTTTATATTTCATAAGTTGAGTGCGATTTCTCTCAGTGCTTTAGTGCAATATACTGATGGCACTTGGACCACCCGCGTTAACCCCGCCTGCTTTGACGAGCGTTTGATTCGATTGCCGGTGCCGCTGATAAGTTCCGTAATTGGTTGGCAAGCCAATTGGGCGGTCAATTATCACCTCTTTGTTATCTGCTCCTCGGACAAACACACACACTCACACTCACACTCGGGGTGTAGTTGCACCAACAAGCGCGTGCGATCCTTATCCTTCGCCCATCGATCGATCGGAGATAACGGTACGGGTCCGTGGCGCACGTACTTGACAAAGACGCCGCCGACGACGCCGCAACTACCACACAACTACCTCTTACATAGCTATGCACTGCGAGAAAAAATGGGTATAAATCGGAATCACGCTATATAATGTTTCTTATTGATAAGTTCTGCCTTTCTAGAACTATTCGACTAAATTATATTTTTTTATAAAGATAAATATAATATAATATTTAATTTATTAAATGAGTTACATTTTTCTGTGTTTTTGAGTTCCAATATGTAGTCATCAAAGTTGTTCTCGGTGTAACCGCAACCATAACCTAAGCAAACCAATCAAACCTGGAAAACCCTCGAAACCCATAAAGGAGGTGTTGTCCGCTGCATCCGCGTCCACATTGCGCATCTGCATCGGGCAACCCACTTTGCACATCTCGCGTCCCACTCCACATCCCATATACTCTGTTTGCCCACTTTTTGGCCCGGTAACTGATAAGCCAAAACGGAGATCCGAGGGTTGCATGTGTTTGGGCCAAATGTGGACTCGGTTTGGCCCGCAACTTGTTGTGATTTGTGCTGCGGCCTGCCAAAGGTGCTAAAAGGTTTTTCCCAAGCGCAAGCCACGTAAAAGAAAAGGAAAACAAGCAGAGGGATTTTCCACCCGTGGAAAATTGGGAAAATTACTTATAGCAATTGGAAATTAGAGCGTTTTCTAAAATTACACTTGATAAGTTAGAGAAATTTCCAAAGTAAACTTAACACAAAGAACTAAAACTTTATAAATTTAATATTATGTATACGTAAGCTATAAAATATATATACGAAAATATATATATATATATATATAAAATATAACGTAAGAACACATGTAAAACTTTTGTCCTGCTGACCATCTCCCTCCCTCTTTCTTCTTTACCATTTTCGCACTACTCCCACTTGGCATAAATTGCATTATTATTAGGCTTATTTGAAATGCGCCGACAACAACAACAACAAAAACAAAAGCAAAGCACTGCAGTGAAATTGCCAAAGCTCACTCAACCAACTACAACGACAGCAAACGTTGTGGAGAGGGGATTGAGTGGGAGGAGCAGAAGGAGTAGCAGAAGGAGAAGGAGAGAGGAAGAAGGAACGTCAGTAAACTGGCTGCTGCTTATTGTTGTTGTCGTTGTTGCTGTTATGGTTGTTGTTGTTGCTGTGCAAAAGCCAAAAGGCGACTACTGTTCATTTCCCACGGTAGGACTTCTCTCTCCCTCTCTCTCTCTTTTCGGATGCCATTCCAGTGAGACAGAGAGAATGAAATGGAGACCGAGTGACTGGCAGCAGAAACAACAACAAAGGGGGAGCCTCTCTTTGCAGCTATCACTCTTGTTGTTGTGGTGGTCTGAGCTTGACTTGAACCGCCTCTCTTGCTCTCATTGTTGTTGCTGTGCGAGTACGCGGATGAGTTTCATTTTCTCATTGTTTGATTTACAGGTGAACTTCAATAAAGGAAACAGTTGGAAAAAGTCAATTAAAGAAATATTCTTAATTTCTTACTTATTATTGTTTTTAATTCGAATAAAAATATAAAAATAATAATCATAAGAAAGGCAATGAAATGAAAGATTGGTATGTTCCACTGTAGACCAACGAAAAAAGTAAACCTGTTGTCCGTTTTCGACTCTGAATGAAAAAAGTGTATTTTTTTGAGATTTGTTGTTTTTTGGGCCTCGGGCTAAAAAGCATTTTGTGAGCATAAATCGTGAGGGGATCGGATCTCTCCCAAAGGTCTCCCTCGCAGCCTTTGTTCCTCTCCGAGTCGTAGGTCTCTAATCCCTGAGCAAGGCGCCACCTACCCCAGAGATTCCTGTGCCCGCTGCTGCCCTCTCTTTGTAATTCCTCAATAAAAATGGAAAAACTAATAAATTTTGCCCAACTAGCGGGCGAAGTGGGGGTTCGGGACCCAGCGGGGTGGCTACTGGAAGCACGACAGACCGAAAAAATTATTTGTTTTGTCATATATGCAAAGTTTCATAATTTATGATCTAATATACAAAAGAAAAAAGTCTCCAGATTGAAGGATGAAAACTTCGGCGCTTCCCATTCAAAAAGTAAGAGAGAAAGGAAAGAATGGCGGAGGGCAAAAGAAAGAAACAAATTCATTGAAAACTTTTGAGATTTTTGGGTTGGGTTTTGACCCGATCGCGGTGTGGGATATCTGGGATCATTGTCAACATTTTGACCGCTCGCTGTGCCCGTAATCATCGGTCTATCCCCCCCTCCAAAGTCCCCTATACCCCAGCCAAATTCGGAAAGAGTGACGCCGCCGCCAACATCGATTTAAATGCAAATCAATGTAATAAAACATTTTTTGGTCTTTTCACTTTGCTGCGACTTACAGATAGAGAAATATTTTTATGATTTGTACAAAAAGTATCATTCGTTAGATACTATATTTAACTTGGTTACTTTCAAGGAATTACTTCAAGTAAGATAATAAATCCTTGGTTGATTTTCTTATGATTTTTATAGGCTTCCAATTATTTCACTGTGCAGCTAACAGTATTGAATGTCGCAAAGGCTAGCCCTAGCCTATTAATTTGGAACTGAATCGGAGACACCCACGCAGGCGACACCTCTCAGATTGAATGTCCCCCACGATCGGAACGGAAGTTCGTGTGGCGCTTAGGATAAGACCAAAGAACTAAATCGATCGTAAATCACTTAGAATCCAGGTGAAAATATGTGGGCTGGTAATTTGTATAGGATGGGGACTGTGTTCCTAGGAAAACACAGCAATTTACAGGTTTTCAAGCACAATGAGGGGAGGAAGGGGAGGGATGGCTGTTTGGAAAACCAAGAGACATGGGTTGACACCTTCTCAGATCAATTGGGCAGTGATAAGAGCCATAAGAGCCGAATTACAATGGACCACTTCTGGGTTGAGATGGTTGGGGTCAAGTGGCAGAGTGATTTTATGGTAAATCACCTCTTTTGGAGTCATTTGTCCCCGTTGACCATTAAACCGAATCAAAGTAGATGGCAAGGGGATTAAATGGTGATGGCTAGGCATTTGAATGAAAGAGGAACTAAGCTGGCAATTCACCATTAAGAAACCCATTGAGCCACAGCTCCTAACTAAGTTATCAAGCCCGAAATTGATTTTAAGACCCAACAAACAACAACCAGCCATGAATACCCTCCTGTCTGCCCACTCTAAAAGCTTTTGCCACACACTTTGCCTACTTCTTTATGGCGAATTAATGACCGAAAAAACGAACAAGAATTTCAAATAAACCATAAATTTTATTAATTTCTATAGCGGCTGCCTCACAAAAAGGCAGGGTGTGTGTGTGTATATGTTTTTATAACTGAACAATAGGATCGATTCATGGAGTTCTGCAGAAATACTACCGAACCACTGCGAACCGCGCCCAATTATAATAAAAAGCGATTCGTGAGTGGAAAAACCTCGCCTGCTCCCACAGAAGTGACAACAAATTTAAAATTTACGAAATAAAAATTAAAATTAAATAAAACACCGCTCGGCTAAAAGAGCCAAAAGCGGACAATGGACGCGGTCTGAAACCGAAAACCGAAAACCAAAAACCCAAAACCGAACAACCGAAATTAGCATACAAACTGAAGATCGAAACGCATATCAAATGAGGATCCGATCAAGTTTGGTCCGGCCAGTTCATTCAGCTGATGCGGCGGATTCATTGATAGATCGCTCGCCGGTTTCCGTCCCCGACTAACTGTTAAAATAGACACATCACCCAGCGACTTTACGAGCCAGCGGACCATAATTCAAATTTATGTGAAAACACAAGTCCGGGCCAAAAAATAAATCAAGTCACGACTTTGCTGGGGAGAGGATACACTCGGAAAAAGCGGCTTTAAGTAGATTATAATTTGTGTACTTCTATGAAATGTTTTATCAAATCAAATACATAGATCATTAAATAAAAACAAGCCAAAACTGGAATATTACCAAAAAGATCTTAAATCACAGCTACCTATCAGTTATTCTGAGTGAAGAGATACCCCCAGCTTTTCAGCACTCGCACACCTTGAATGGGGCCCAGATACCCGAAGCCAAATGACAACTCAGCCAACTACCGTGTGCCAAATGGAGCGATGAGCAGATGAAGATGGAACCAAGTCGAGGCCTCGTCATCATTGGAATCATCCGAATCACCAGCATCATCATCAGCAACGTCGCCAACTGTTGACAACGCCTTGCTGCGGTGGCTGCGGTCCAGTTTCATTATTATTAACCAAAAAAGTATAAAAAATGAAGCCGAAAAAACCCCAACGGATCCCATTCAACGCCCACGTCTTCGACATTTGCCTGCTTCCACAGATTCATCCGTATATATCTTCGGATATATATATATATATATTATTATAATTTTGCATCTGTCTGTGCTCTTTGTTGCTCCTCCAAAATTTATGTGACCGCATCGCTGCCGTATGAATTTTTAATTTTTCACCAGTCTTCATTTCTCGTCGTTCGATTTGTTTGCCTTTTTAATATTGGCAATTAATGAAATTTAATACTTTTGTGTGCACTGTCTGGGCCAGAAGTTTTGGCTCGCTGGAATTTGTTTCTGGCCTTAACTTGGTTCGTTGATAGATTGGGAAAGTTGTGACAAGGTATTTGGGCAACATTCAAGGGTTTTCAACTGACAGATTGTCTGCAGATGATAGATGAGGGTGGAAAGTGGTATATGATTTGATAGTTTTAAAGGGAAGCCTTACAAAGGTTGACAATATAGAAAATAGCATCGTTAAAATCACATAGATCAGTGGAAAAACTTGGCATTTTTGTGTTTTAGATCATGAAATGGCTTTACTAAGACTCAAACTTTAATGTAGAAAAGATCTTTCAACATCAAATTGAGTATTGCATCAGAGTCCATGGTCCAGCAAAGTCGTGGCTTCTTTAGACAGTTCCTAATTAGTTTCTCCTTCATAAGGAAGCTCCTCAAGATTGTCGATTCGTCTCCTTTTCGAGTCCGCTGATTGCCCATTTAAAATATGCAAATTTGATCCGAAAAACAATGAGAAATCCATAAACAAAGCCGAGGCGGACAGAGATGAAGCCATCAAAAGTGGAGTTGCCAGCGGATTGCACTTAAAAGTGCCCAAAAGCAGTCGAAAATAATTTGTTAAACTTTATGGACTGGCGAAAACTTAATTAAAAACAATCCTTTTGGGGAACACTTAATTAAAGAGACTGGGTGTTAAGTTAATGAAGTTTTTTGTTGAATGAAAGACACAATTCTTCAGTTTTCATTGAGAAATCGTAAAAGATAAACAGATATGGTGGGGCAGAGGAGATAAACAGACCATCAATATGGTGTTTCTTGTTTCGTATTATCTTTTTTTCGGTCTAAAGAGGCCACACAAGCAGAGGAGGGACAACAAAGGCGGAGGCGGCAAAGCCAAAAGAAATGCGAGAAAAAAGTTTCCCAGGCCCTGAATACAAAATGGAGCTCCAACGAAGGAAAAAAGAAGAAAAGTATACAAAAAATGAGTACTGCGTAATACGGTTGCTCTGCTCTGCCACTGGTTTTTATATTCCGCCTCTCGCTCGCACATAAAACGGGTTAGGAAGCACTTTAAAGTAGGGTGTGCGAGGGAGAGGAAGTCCGCGAAAGAGGGACAGACAGAGCGCCGCCCAAAGCCACGCCCACGTCTATAAAATATGCACAGGTATAAGTGAAAGAAAGTTACTTTTTTAACAGAACAGCAGCTAGAAAGAAAGAGAGGGAGTCCGATCCGAAGAGAGCGTAATCCAAGGGAATCTGAGGTGTATTAGAACTTCCATGAACCAGCACCCCTTTCACTCATTAGTGCTAAGAACTTAATTGAAATGTTGACTTACTTAAGCTTAATTAACAGTCAACTCAGGTAACGCCTTCGAAACCACTCAACTCAGGTAGCCCTCTCTCGCTCGCGCACTCTCCCGTTCGCTCTCCGGTCGCTCTTTAGCTCATTTGGCTCTGACCAATCAGCTGAAGCACTCAAAACTCGTTCGACTCGACCCACACAGTGCGTCAGAGCGAGACGGCCAACCGAGAGAGGGCTGCTGAAAAAGAGGGTAACGAAAAAAAAGGAAAACACAAAAAGTTCAACCCATCAAGCTGAAGTTTTCGATCGTAACTTTGCAGTTGACTCTCGCGCACAGAAGCGTTCGGAAGTGAAATATATTTTATTAATAATATTACCCAACAGTCGCGGGCTAACACAGTGCCAGCAAGCAGAAATCGCACGGAAAAGTGATTTGCGAAATAGCAACGGGAATTTGGGGCTTTTGCAATAGGTAAGTGACGCCATTTTGTGGCTTTTTCGTTTGGCTTCCGTTAGAAGCGTCGCCATTTTGTGGCTTCTGTTCGCCAGCTACTGCACTTACGCATAAGAACTTCAGGCGTGCGAAAGGGATGGCTATGGGAGCGCTGCGCATGAGCAGTAGCTTCGGCTACTGGTCTTCGTTTCGCTTCGTTTCTCTTCGGATGACTCACACACACTCGCACTCACACAGTGCCACCGAATTGAGTAACAGACAGGGACAGAGCGATGATCTCGCTTCCTCAACTTGCCAGCAGCGACGCCTGCAGCGACGCCGGCAGAGGACGGCGGCAGAGGCGACTACTATTTCTTTCAGTTATTAGTAGCATTCATTCATTCAACTTTGTGCCGCTCGAGCGTGCGTATACAGTTCCCTCTCATCAGTATCAGTATCAGTAACAGAAACAGTAACAGTAATACCAGCATCAGTTCCTTCGCGAGTACCTTTAAAAGAGATACAAATCGATATATTCCAACTTGTACACAAAAGACACACGAAAGTCGCCCGATCAGTCAGCTAAGGCAATCGGTTTTCAGCCACTTCTCGACTTTCCCGAACACGCGTAACTCCAGTGCATCCGATTGGGTAAGTCTTTCTTCCGCTCCTCTCTTCAATGGCGTTCTTCTGCACGTTCTTCTGCCTGTCGTTCTTCCCCATTCCACACTTGCCTCGCTACCAGTTTTACGCCGCTTTCATTGGACAACTGAAGAGTGGGCAAAGAAGAAGCAGGCGAAGGCGAAGAACAAGTAACCCCACACGTAACACGGGTGCGTGTATCGCCCTCTCTCTCTGCCTCTTGGGCCTCTCTGTTGCGGCACTCAGTGTGCCAGAGGGAGAGAGGGCGACGCGTCTAACATGGCGTGCGTGTGGCCAACGGAGCTTTTTCGACCTCTGTGTGCGTGAGAAAGTGTCGCCATTTGCCAAAATGGCGGACGCCAAGTTCGAGCATTTCCCCATTGGATTGGGAAAAGTTTTTATCTTGACACAAATTCCCAAATCGGGTGATCTATTTTGGTAACACGTCTTAAACCCAATTGGGGGAATTTTTAAATTTGAAATGTTTATTAAGTTTATATTAAATGGGTCAAACCTTATTTCTTGAGTCCAATAATAAGCTAAAAGCTTTAATAAAAATTAAGATGGAAAATTTGTTTGAGACTTGAGATTTTCTCAGTTAAAAAAAGTGAGAAAATCCCCAACTAAGACCTGCAAATGCAACAAATGATTGATTAGTTTATAAAAATGTTTTCTTTCTTTAAAATTGTACAAGATACAGCTTTTCCGCATCCCATACTCAGTTTTCCTTAAAATTCCTTTTGGTTTGTTTTGATTTTCTTACAAAAAGTGACAGATGAATTTGAAAAGCCGTCGGCATTTGTTCAAGTCGAAGGAATGTAAGCTCGAAAAGTTGATGAGTCAGCATGAAGAAACTTCTCTTAGATTGGACAAAGCCTAGCTCGTCGAAGGTTGATCGCAAAACGCACAAAGCCCAGCGAATCATCGCCAAGAATGTCCGAAAGATCATCATCAGCAGCCGTTTTCGTACAAGCTTCCAAACTATGACTCATGGAGTTGTGCTTTTTCGATCGATTATGAAATACCAATGAGTGCGGCTCAAGCTACCAACAGATGTTCGAATACTCTTGCCTGATATTCCGAAATACCAAAGTCTCTTTCAGGTGGCCAACACTTGCAGGAAAACTCCCATGAATCCAGGGGGAAATTACTGAGAAGCAATCAGTTTAAGTGAAAATATAAAAAGGCAGTTTGTTAAGTTAGTTAAGCAGTCTGAAAAGCACCTCAGGACAAGTAGGTTAAACTATACTCATTTACTTCACTTTTACATTCGAGTTTTAAGCTGACTTTAGTTTGTTTATTTAACAATTTAAAAATTGTTAACAAATAGATTCTGTCTGGCTGCTTGGCTAAAAAGAAAAGCAAACGCTTTTCCAGCGACCATTTCTTTTCCGCTTGTCTGATCTTCGACCTCGTCTGGACCGCCCGCTGCGCTTCATCAATTAGAGTCTAATTAGCTAAGCGATTACGGTAAATGGGCTCAGCTGGCAGCTAATCTGCGCCGACTTTTGAGCAACTGTCATATCCTAACAGCTGAAGGTGAGAAGCGGCCCAAATCGACTTTCCTGCGATCCGAATTTCCCACCCGATTTGCGATGGATCCCAAGAGATTCCTCATTCTACGATGCATTGTCTTTTCTGTGGCTTTGTACCTTGTGGTGTGTTTGTGTTTGGGGTCGCCTTCCTTTGTTGCGCTGAAGTGGCAGTGCCACATATCCTAATTGTTTCCACCGACTTGTTGGTCCTGTTGCCAGGACCTCGAGAGTGTGTGGGTGTTTTTCCTGGGAATTCTGCGCCATTAGCACAATTAGATTCGTATCAAACGGGCCTCGGTGCCTTTGTCTTGCCAGCCGTATGTCCTTTTATTGTCATTTATTCTCGCTTCGGTTTTTTCCCTTTTTCACTTTTCGGTTGTAATTTTTAATGGCACCTTGCCAACTCACTGTCCGCCTCCTACAAAAAACGAAGGGATGCTCCGGGATGAGAGGTGAAAGAAGTGTGGTAATCGCTTTTGACCATATCCCGTCCTTCGACGTGTGTGTCACTGGCTTGAGCCCTTTTTTGGACCCAGTTCTGAGCCTGTTATCGCCCAGGCCGCTGCACATTTATCTCGGGGTGTTAAACTGTAACTCTCGGTCTGAGGTTCGAGGCTCGAGGTTCGTGGAAGTGGCCGACGCACTTACTCCGCATCGCCAAAGATCTTGCCACATATAATCCCACTCTCCGTGGCCATTTGCCATTTCATTTCTCTTTCTTTCTTTCCCATCGCTGCAAATCTAATTTCACGCAGCATTAACGCCTTTCGCATGCCCTTCACACGGCAACCCAAGTCCAGAGTCAGGATCACGCTGTGCGAAAGATCTCCCAGATCTTGAGATCTTCACAAGATCGCAACCTTGCCTTATATAGCAAATAACCCAAAGTGTGTGTGCACAACACTAATTATTTTCAGTGCGGATTAATGGGATTATCTTTGCGCTGGACAACAGTTTATTATACAATATTTGGGCAGTTTTCCCTCTGATCTGTGGGTGTTCTTCCTTCGCTTAAGCGGATTGCCATGTCCAGTTGCCAAATACTAACAGTTGGAGTTCGTTTTAAATTCTGGCCAGAAGAAGCTGCCAAGAAACGCCTGTTTGGATTTGGCAGGATTTCGAACAGGTTGTTCCATGGATTTAGATGATTGTTTGGCTGGGATTTTCCACAGATTAGAAAGATCGTTAGATTGTCATTTTAGTCTTTACAAGCAATATTCGTACAGCATCTTTGAGTTAGAGTTTAAGGTTGACTTTGAGCATTGTTTACTTAAACAACATTTAAGGTCTCATATTTGTCCCCCAATCCACAGATTCATCTCTCTGGATAGTCCTCTTGTCACTTTTATTATCCACATTCCCCAACTCATTTAACCTTCCAAATTGATGGGCTCACTCAATTGTCAGCTCGAGTTTCACCGCCATTTTCCCTTGCTGGGACTTTGCCTTTGTCATCTTAGGATGACTACAGACAGACAGACAATTCCATCGGCATTCGACGCATCCAGCAAATGGCCAAATAGAGTGCTTAACCCCGGAGAGCAACCCGTGGCTAATGGTGCTCCACTTAGGCCCACGCTCCCAGAGACAGAATAAAATCCGTCCAAATCCGAGTCCAAATCCAAAGCAAAGCATGGCCAAATGCGAGACCGATCGCGGACCCGGACCCAAAGAATCCATATCGAATGGATGGCCTTATGCAGGCGCCCTGTGTCGCATGATTAACGGCGTTAAAATGCCAATGTGACGCCACATTGTGTACACAAATTAACATTGGAGGAGTCTCTTTTGGCCAGGCTTTTGAGCCGAGCTCCAGTCTCCCGCCAGACATGACCAATGCGATCAGCGACCCAAGCCCCGAACCCAGCATCTCTCCCACTGGAAAAAGTGTATCCGAATGCTAGGAGTTTATGGTTTATATTTTCATTTACTATGGAAAAGCTATCTGTTAAGGCAGGAAAGGGGATTGACAATCAACTTTACTTTCTTTAATAACAAGAAAGTGTTAATGCAGATAAGATTTTCTCTCAGTGCATGATCCAAGCGAGTCTCAGTGTTATAATTTGAATATGTTTAGTGGGCATTAATGTTATAATGACAATAACTACGTACCGTCTGCGGCCGGTGCAGCACCCGCTGTGACGTTTGCCTTTTGTTGTCAACGTTAGCTCCCCGATGGTTGGTCCCCGAGCCGAACCCGTTTCCATTCCCATTTCGAATCCGAATCTGAATCTGAATCTGAATCTGAATCCGAATCCCATTCCCATTGCCAGTCCCAGTCGCAGTCCCAAAAGTGTTCCAGCTGCGAGCTGAAAGCACCATAACATATAAATAAATATCGAAATCGGGTCTTGCCGAGACGCTTGTCGCTACCAGTCAGCGCTGGCTTTTGTTTCGCGCAGAAAGATTCCCGAATAGCCGAGCGAAACAAAAAGGCCAGTAAATCTGGGAAATATATATACCTATATCCCGAAAAGAAAAGGCCATCCGAAAAGGGAGAGATCCAGCGGCGCCGAAATGACAAAAATAAAATTACATAAAAAATAACAGTTGTTAACTACCGCCCGGGTGCGGGTGCGGGTGCGGGCGTGAAGGGAAAGCACGGCGATGGGCATAAATTTCGATCGGCTACGCAAGGCGCCAATTAAAAATAAACTTGTTACAGCGCCACCTTAATGAAGTGGCCAAAAACAGGGGAATTTGGCAACTGTACTTGGCCATAACGCGGCGGGGGAGTTGCCAAAGGTATTGGCCCGTCTGCGTGATGACTCAGTTAATTTAGAAATGCAAACCGACCATGGGAACTTCAGTATTTATGGCCATAACTTGATTATGTTTGGTAAGGGTATCGCTATGGGAATCCATTTCATATTGGATCTGAATATATATCTTTTATTTTCCTTGCTAGTCTCCAGGTCAAGTGTAAAGAAAGAGTTAGTGTGAACTTCTAAGACCTCTTCAAACACACAAATTGAATAATTGTGTTTGCGGAAGTAACATACAGTCCTCCTTCCGTCAATGAACTCTGCTTAAGTTTTGGAAGAAAATATAAATACTTGAGCTTAGCACCCGGAGACAACGGTGAACAGTCGTCGGTGTCGTTGAAGACAAATTATTATAAAGCCCGCCGAAGGTTAGCAACTGTGAAAAACAGTTGTCGGGACGTCGGGTGATTTGTAAATGTCAACACCGCGTCCGAGGTGCGGATTTGGTTGCTTTTAATGAGTCATTGCCGATCCGTGTTGCGTGATCTCGGCGGCCTGTTGTGGCACGAAAGTAATAGCCATGTGTATACACAGTCGTGGTCAAAATAATAGCTATTTCTGTACTTCTACCTTCTTTTTATTTCTTTAAATATCCTTATTTTCCTTATATAAACTTTAAATATTAGTTGCAAGCCCTGAAGAGTGTTTAGTAACTATACGAAATCTCGACTTGTGCTATTCGTTCGACCGCAACTGTTTAGATATAAGCCTGGACATATTTATATATATATACGGTATATTCCGCTTGAAATTTATTGACCCATAAAAGTTGTCGCAGGCGTTGCTGTTGCTAACTTTATTTAAACCCTGCGTCTCCCTCTGTTTTAGGTGTTTGCCTTAAAGTGCGCCATAAACTAAAAGCCCAACCTAAGAGTCGGCGGAGAGCGAAAACTAAATAACGCCCACCGCAACGCCACCTACTGGTCACCCGTGAAAAAAAGGGGAGGAGAGGTGAAATCTCGGAGCAGCGATACGGGCCGAAAAAGATAAAGCTAGAGGAAGGAGGAAGAGGAAGCGACGTTGCCGCTTTTCACCGACCAATCAGCCAAAAAGGCAGCAATTAAGCGGGCCGTTATCTGGCTAGATAGCGATTAGAGGTGGAAATAAACCCCATTGAGTGGAAAACCCCCCGAGGAGCCAAAGAGCGCCATTGAGAGGGCCGCGAAGCGGGAGTGGAGCCAACAGCAATACCCATTTGCCGAGAGCGGGAGCACCCAGTTGGGAGAGCCCCGAGCAGTATCGAACGCCGTACGTGGAGCAGCACCCCACTCAAGCACTCAACAGCACCTCAGCACCGCGGAGCAGAAGTACACATATCGCCTGTCAAAATGTTTGCTGTAATGCGAATCGACAACGATGACTGCCGGTCCGATTTCCGCCGCAAGATGCGTCCGAAGTGCGAGTTCATTTGCAAGTACTGCCAGCGGCGATTCACCAAGCCGTACAACCTGATGATCCACGAGCGCACCCACAAGTCCCCCGAGATCACCTATTCGTGCGAGGTGTGCGGCAAGTACTTCAAGCAGCGGGACAACCTCCGCCAGCACAGGTAAGCCAAAGTGTCTTCACTATGCTACTATAAGTCCCAATCCGCAATCCATAATTCCCATGCACAGAACTCTTCGGTTTAGCTTTTCCTGATTCAAACTGATTTGATGTGATTTTCTATGATTTTATTGGCTAAGACTTCTCATTTTAAATAGAAATATAATATTTAATAAAGCCATAAGATGCCAATATTTTCTCAATAAGAAGTGCAGTAAATTCTCTCTAAATAGCTTGTAAAATGTTGAAAAACATTTAAAGTTACATTTGCATACCTACCTAAGTGTTAATTTGTTTTCTATTAAAATCATATCAAGTCAACTGAATCATTATTGCTTTCTAAACGATAAACTATATAGGTCGAATTGATAAAATCCAATATGATTAATATCTGCGTGTAAATATACAAATATTCAGAAACATAAGGCATGGAACTATCAAATAATGGTGTTGGTTATCGGTTTTTTGAATTTCATATTATTATAAAAGATAATTGTTTATTTTACCTGCAATAGAAGCAGTTTATAACATTCAAGGGGACTTACAGGGAAAGTTTACCTTAGAAAGATTAAATTTGCATTTAGAAAACCCCCTTGAGTGAGATAAGTTTCTTAGTTAAAAGTTAAACTCGCAAATGTTTATAATTAAAAAGGAATATTGTAGTTCCCTGGGATTTTTAAACTAGAATTTACAATTCAGAAGGCAGCTTATGCAAATTTCACAGGCAATGTCAAGTAAATGTATTTCTAAACTATTTATTCAAGAAGTTGATAATGTTAATCAGTAATTAGTTTACAAACTGACAGATTACATTGCAGATCAGTTTAGTTTTCAATTTAGCTGTATACATCAGCAGAACTCAGAAGTACTAAATAATAATATCAAACTTATCCAAAGACCTAAAGATAACCCCCGAATTTCTCGAATCAAAAGCTCTTTTTAATTGACAAAAAGCTCAATCACTTTATCAGCACTCCCTTCACCCTTTACATACCCAACTAACCCACTCAACCCACCGAAACAACACCAAACAACAACACAACCGAAATCATTTCTGGGCAGTCAGTCAGCAAGGCCTTGTTACCATTTGTTATTATAATTTTTCTTGGCTCATCACGATTTATTCTCTATTTCTCCGTTCTCTCTCTCTTTTATTTGTAGATGTAGTCAGTGTGTTTGGCGATAAGCTAAAATACTATATAAACATATATATAGATATATATAAAACCACACACAGAGCAATATATAAAGTAAAACCGATATCTAAGCACAGCAGCACCAACAACAGCACGCAATATCACAGCTATATCTTACGCACACTTAACGATTGAATGGGATCTGATGAGGCAACTGCAACTGCAACACACCCCGCCCACTTCTCCATGCACCACTCTCTAAACATATATGCCTGCCACTGCCACTGCAAGTGCAACTGCAACAGCAACGGCGGCAACTGCTTAACTACTAGATGCAATCTACAGCCACGACAGCGATCATAGTGAACGGAATGCTAAGTTCAGGTGTTGGTTTTCAATCTTTTCGGTTATCTGGTCTATACAATGCACTTGCCACGCCCCCATCAACAACAGCGGGCAATCAAAAGCTATCCAAATGTTGCGCAGGCGCAGCACAACAGCAACAGTTGCAACACTTGCAACACTTGCAACCGACATTGCAACAGCAGCCACAATATTTTCAATAATACTTGCAGAAATCTACACATGGACACTTGTGGGCGTGGCTGCTTCGGGAAGTGATGAAGGAGCAACCCTAAAGCAACTGGCAACTTGCAACATCTAATAGCAGAGAGCTTGCAACATCCTAAAAGCAGTTTTTAGATGCTTTTTAGCTGAAAACCCTTCTACCTGCAACTTTTACTTTAACCTCTGAACATTAGAGCACATCTGTCCTTGCAACATGCAACACCTAGCAGACATCTCTCCAGCATTCCCGCCGACAACAGCAGACAAACAACAGCAATCCCAGCAGACTTCTGCAACAGACCTAACAACAACACATGGAACATGTTGCTGCTGGCTCTCCCGCATGTGTTGCTCGTGTTGCCGGCGAAAGTGCAATTAAGCCAAAGCTTTTTGCGCTTTTCAAAAGGCAGGCAACAGCAGCAACACACAGGGCAGCTCACCAGCAACGTGCAACAGCAACAGCAACAGCCTACACCAGCAACTTGCGACAACAATCAGCTGCAATCATCTTGCCTTAAACATATTTTACACACACAGATACACACCCACACCCACTCTCGCTATATTTTACGAGTAATAAAAATTAATTACAATTTAATAATAATATTAAAAACGCAAGAAATCAAACGAGAAACCCCCGCACCTTCATCTTAAGTATTTGTATTTTAAAATCGAAAGAATAAACACGTTGAAAATGTATTACATAAAATTAATCATAATTAATAATAATAATAAACACAATTATTAAATAAATATTTACGGTATGCGATTGTTTTGTTTAAGTTTAAATTTTAAATTTTAAATTTTAAATAAATAGAATGAAAACGAAAACTTAAAAAAAGAAAAGCAACAAATTGTGCCCAAAATCAGCGAAAAATAATAAGAAAATTGTTTTTTGTTTTTGTTTCCCTCGTTTAAGTGCCCGGCAATAAGATTGTAAATGTTTTTCCGCTATTTATAATAATAAAAAATGAATTAATTAATAACGCCTAAACGCCCCCTCCCCCCTCTGGACATTTTCTGTTTTATTTCCCTCGAATAAATCAGCTAAAACGACAAACAGCAATTTATGATTAAACCTAGAGTTAAATGGCGAAACAATAAGTAATAAAATAAACATATTTATACTATTAAAATCAAAATCCAATTATAAAAAGTGTTTGTTTATGGGGGAAAGGGGGGCTCTTTAGGGTAATCAATCAAGCGAAAGATTTAAGCAGAGTTTAGGTTTTCCTTTCACGATGGTGTTCTAAAGGGAAAGTTCTTAAGTTTGTTTCGTAGGAAGAACGGAATTAGTTTTATAAAATTATGCAGGTGGGTGCTTAAACGATTATCTCAATTAATTCCAACTAGTTAATTACCAAGAACATCAGCAAGCTGACAGCTTACAGAGTAATTCTCATGTTTTATGCACTTCTGGCGTTTAGGACATAAAATGAATTGCTTCTTAGTTATCTAGCAGGTGAGAGGGAAAGATTGCTTTACTGGCTAGTTAACAGGTGTCGAGAAGAGGCTTTTAAATGCTCAAGTATATGCTATTAAAGCACTTAAGAACATGGATCATATTAGATATAATTTAGGCACTTAAAGAATGGTTAGACCTGGCTTTTCCTTAGAAGCAATGAAATATTTATTTTGGGAAATAGGACAAACATTGCTAGCAAACCAGCTTGTCAGACAAAACTATTTCATTTTTGTTAACTTTTTGCTTAAAGAAATAGCTTAAAAATCAAATCTTTTTATTATTTTGAGTAATTTTAAAAAATATATCTTTAAAATTCCTAAAATATTCCTAAAACCAATCGAATTGTTATCTGCAGCACGTGGGTGTACCTGTGTGTGTGTGTTCAGGAAACTTCTCACCTTCGAGGTGCTGTGGCTGGTATCTCCCCTTTGCGAGAACCCACTGTACCTGTGAGGGATGCGATAATCAATTCATCGCAACGTTTGCCTAGCATTTAGGTTAACTATTTACCAACAATTAAGCAAACTATTAAGACCAACTGCTCCTTTGTCGGCTCGCTCAATTGGTAAATACCGGCGGAGAAAGGAGAGGGCATATGATTTCACATGCGATCATAAATCATTTCCCAAGTTCGAAGTTCTCTGTTCTCCGTTCTCAGTTCCCAGTTCTCAGTTAGCGATTCCCTTTGGCCCGCTGCGTTCGTGTTAATTAAATATTGACTATGTTTTGATAAGCCGTAACATTGCCCCGGGAGGAGTCCTCTCACCCCGCTTCCAGGTTCGATTTTCCACAAATTTAAATGTTGGCACTACGCGGCAGGATCCCGGAAAAGGTAGAGCCAGAACCCGAACCAGATACCAAGCCCACGGCGAGTTGCACATAATGAAAGCGTTTCCAAATGCGAAACGAATGCTGGAACAGCTACTGTGGCGAGTGTGGGCCAGGACATATAGATATAGGGCCTGTGGTCGGGCTGCGGCCTGTGGTTATCTCGGCAGGTACAAAATTGGTCAGAATATTAGGTAGAGACACTGTGTATGATGATGGGCCAAGAAGGTGACTTAAATGCACGACAGTATTAGGAAGTTAGCAATACTTTAACTTAACTTTGATTCTATGTAGAAATATTTAGAATTTTATTTGATTTTTGTACTAACAATATATATACCCAAGAAGATAGTAGCTGACTGCTCGTTTTCGCAATGGGCTTTCACTGGGATTGGTCTCGCATTTCTCGGTGGCACTTCTATTATTCTGACCTCCGCTGTGGAGCGGCATGTGGTCGCCTTCCGAGGCACGTGTGGTTTTCCAGCTAACCGCGCCGAGGCTGCTGCATCCGCCGCTTCCTGCTGCTGCTTATGGCATTAACCTAAACTGTTTCCACCTTCCCGGCCAAAGGACGACGGCCACGCAGTTGGACTTCGTGGGCATCGAAAAGGAGTCAGTATCGAAGTCACATTCAGAGTCAAATCCGGGCCAAAAGGAGGCCCAGGCGGAGGCCCGCTGTGTGCGCCGTCACCCGCTGATTTTGTTGGCCGCACATTGGCTTAGGCCCGAAACTGGTCAAAACTAAACCAAACCAAGCCGATCCCATCCGTTGCGATCTCAGAGACTTATCGCAAATGGTCAGGAGGGGCGAGCCACTGCCCACCCACTCGCACCCAACCTCTGCTAGATATATATTTCTTTTACCTGTATAAACTGTAACTTTACTTAACATTTCTCATTAAGTTACCAAAAAATAATCAGCTCTCGGTCATTGCTATCATTTTGGGCCATCTTTCATGGCCAGGCCAGAGACTGATTCAACACTTCGGTAGCGCAATCATCATTTCCGCCTCTTAGGAGGTGACAACTTGGGTTTTTTCAAAGTGCAAATGCAGATTTCTTTTATGGCCTGATTCACCGCTCATCTAAGCCGCTGAGTGGCTACCAAAAAACTGTTTCCCATCCCACTGACTCACTCACAGTTTCTATCCGAGTCAGGCAGTCACATCTAAGCGAGATATTTGGCAACAGGTTCCAGCCTCCTCCAGCTGATCAAAAGCAGATCTCTAAGGTGCGACGAGTCGGCGGCGATATCTGGGCAACCTGAACGGCAGCCTCAGCAGCAGATTCCAGCTCAGACCTTTCGGCATGCGGAGTCGGACTTTGGGACCCGTTAAGCGACGGTGTCTAACTCATTAGATGTCATTTGCTGATAAACACGGGGTATACCCTACAAAGGGGTTGTATGACTCGGAGAATACCCCTTTGAATACCTCTTTGTGTATTTAATTTGGTTATTCATAACATTACTGGTTAGTAGCAGTAAGGGAATCCCATCTTCGACCTTCGTTTTCCCCTAATTTGAGCGTAATAAGTGATGGCCACATACATACTCGTATAGGTACTCCCGCGAGTCGTATCCCCCGATCTGATAGCATCTGTGCGACGGATCGGAATGCCTCGGCTGCAGTTGTCATCACGTAGCATCGCATAATTCAGCTTTTTACGGCTAACGGGCGGCCGCTCCTGTGGCGGCTGCTGTATCTGCAATTAAAAGAGCCCAACTACCTCCAAGTGCAGGGAGCAAGGCACTCTATATGGCCAATCTACACCCTCAGAGGCAGCTATATATATATATATATATAACTGAACGGATTTAAGAGCGGCACGTACAAACTCGCGGCTATTTGTCTGCTGACTTGTCTGCCTGCTTCTTAACTTATTTTCCTTTATTTATTTATTTTTGTTCCGCATTTTTTGAAGTTGCCTTTCGTTTGTCTTACTTGTGGCATTGTGATTGTGGCAGAGCCAAAAAGATTTGTGGCCGGCCAAGACTTGAGATCCCGGTCGAGGTCCAGGTCCAGCTCCAGGACCAGGACCACATCTCCGGCCCCAGTCCATGTTCACTCCCCAGTCTCAGTCTCAGTCCCATTCCCAATCCCAGTCCCAACTGGCTGCCTGTCGCTTTTAATCTAGCAAAGCAATCGTTGAATGCCACTAAACTTTTCACCACAACTTATATCAATTGTCGTCCAATGTACGACGTCAGCGCTCCCCTGATATATTGGATCTAAAAGTGATCGTAATCGCAAAGCGGAGCACACACGCCCCAAAGACGCAGTCCCAGACCGAGTGTCTCAGTGGAGCTGGTAGTTCGGTTGGTTGCAGTTGGCTTGGTTTCGTTTTGGCCAAGTCCAAGGCACCCAGGCACCAATTTGTCTGCACAAATTTGAGGCCAATTGCAAGGGGGATGAGTGAAGGGGCGCTCCTTAGCTAAGGAATAGAACAAAACCTATAGAAGGAACTTTAGTTTAAAACTAGGGATTGAAAACCTATTAGAAGGGCGAATACTACTTCCTTAGATAAGAAGAAAAATTGTTTAAAAAGAGCTTAAAAATATCAATACAATATTCAATTTTGGTCCCCTATTTTTCTTGGTGCACAACTTCTGTTTCCTTCGCCAGACTGAAAAATAAGTTAATGCCCACTGGCTGGGCTCCGGTGTCTCCTGGCTACCTCCTCGGTTAGCATTAATTTATGAAGTGATGATGACAAGTGGGATAACGGGGTCATTTCGCGCTTAATGTCGCCAACACGTAAAATGATTTGCATCGAAAGTCAAAACCTAAAACCCAATGCCGCGTAACTTTAGAGGCTGTGGCAAGGCTGCCAGATTGCGATTGCAGCTTCGACTCTGACTTGGATCTTGGATCTGGCTGCGACTCCGACTCCATTGCCATCTGAAGGCAAACTTATCGCCGCCGCCCGATCATAACAACACATTTTAAAGGGCTTAAAGGCGGGCGATTCGAGCCGGGCCAGCAAAATCTGAGGGACTGCAGCCGGTTGCAGCTGAAGCTGACATAAGCGGACCGCAAACGTGACAGCTCACTTCGGTTTGGTTGACAATCTGGGGAGATCCCCAGATCCTCAGATCCCCAGATGCCAACATCCCAGAACCGAATCCCCGGCAATTGTGCTTCAATATTGCTCCTAATTTGGCACTTAAATTCAATGAGAGCGGGGCATTCTTAGCTGTTTCTGCGAGGAGAAGCTGGGGAATTCTTCGGCCGGAGAGCCGGAGACCATGCCTTGACATAAATCAACGCGACTTCCAACTTTTATCACGATCTCCTAAATAAGGCGACGGCCTGCAGAAATCCGCTTCATACATTACACACACACGGAGTCGGCGTGGCAGTCGCAGTCACTAAGTAAGCTATCATCAGGCTCAGGCTCAGTCTGGGGATCGGAATCGGAATCGGGCTTCTCAACTTCAGGCGGGCTATCTCACAGCACTGAGAGAAAGTTGTAGTTAAAGTTG